CTTAATCACTTGTTGTCAAGAAAAGTAGACGAATTTCGAAATAATAGATTTTAAAAATTCAGCTTTTAATTTTAATTGTTTCTAAAAAAAAATATTAAAAAAGTAATACCTACAAATTTAATAAATATAAGCTTTAAAAATTCTGTAAAAGTAAACATTGTACAATTGGGCTTGTTATTTATTGTCTGGGATATTTTATCAACTGCTGTGTGAAATTTATATTTGAAAAGTGGAAATGAAGCGAAAAGAGATGAAGAATAGAAGAAGCTTTAACGAAATCTCTTAGAAGCCAAATGCTGTTTTAATTACACAAACACTTAGTTCACTCTCAATATGAATAAGAAAGTGAGAGAGTGAGTGAGAGAGAGGTAGTAAGAATATCTCCAAGTTTTATAAGGGTAGGTAGGATAAAAGTTAGAAATGAAAATGATTTTTATGTTGAAGTGGCAATGAAGATTTCTCTTCTTCTAATTTAATTAAAATTTTAATACGTTTCTAAGTTTTATTTATGAGCTTGTTTAGATGTAGGAAATACTGAAGATGACGAAACTTTTCAACGTCTATCAAACAAAAAAGTGGGAATGGAATAGATGAGAAAATAAAAGGGAAACATTAGGGGTTTCTAAAACCAGTGTTTGAAAAGACACTTACATATAATATTCTTAATGAAAAATAATTTTTGCAAGGCCGTATTCGCAGTTTCCGACGAAAACCCAAACTTAAATCCGAAGATTAACCGACCCAGAAAAACCTTAGGATTCATTCATCCTAAAGTGATATTATGCGACCGAATGGAGATGCCACATCACGATATTTGGTCAATAAATAAATGACTTTTATGAGAAAAGAGAAGAAGTTACATTAAATGAACCCTTAAATCCACTGCCTTTGCTACTGCCATTTCTACCAACACCCAGAACAACTTGACTTTAGCAATCATATTGAGTTTTCAATTTACATGAAAACTTTTTACAATTTCGGGTCAGCAGAAGATGAAATAAAGAAAGAAAAAGGGTGATACTTGAGGATCACACAATTTATGTGCAGAAGAAATTATGTATCAAAGAGTCGTTTATGGTTTCAATGAAGCCACCATACATAAAATCTACACAAAAAAACTGACAAAAACATCTTCATTTTGCTCATGCTATCATAGTTGAAGTATTTTAAGTGTCCTCAGTTCTGAGCAATGAAGAAAGTTTATTTAGTTGGAAATGAAATTCAGTGACGCCTTTCCCCATACATTTACTTTCATTAATTTTAACAATATGCTTTAGTCAATTGCAATCATTAAGTTATATCATCTCGTTTAATTTGTTGTAAAAAAGGAAGAATGAATAATGTAAGCAAATTTATTTATCACAGCTTTGCTTCCAGTAAAAGGCGGACGGATGTGAAAATGTATTAATGCGTAAAAAGATCGCTTTGTTAAATTGTATTTTCATTCTTGTTTTCATGCTCGTCTCTAACGAGATTCATATTTTGATAAATGATAGAATACTTAATTAGTTCCCGACCAGCACCGACGCTCCATGTGAACGATTTAAGTTTCCTTTGTGATGAGTTTTCGTAGCTAATTCAATAGGCATTTCCAAAAGAAATCAACGAAAATCAACTTAGCATCAATTCAATCCTCTAGCATGTTAATTTTATGTTGCTGTTTCAGCTGCATACAATTCTAAATAAACCTTACGCATGACATCTTTGCAAGTCCGTTACAACTACGTTACAACAACAAAATTATTTCCTAAATTTAAGAAAATTTAAGCAAAAGAAATTTTTATTTTTAAGAAAAGTTTCAAGAATTAGGTATAAATCAGGGAATATTTTTAAAAATTTAAAAACTTCTTTTGCTTTAATTTTCTGAAATATCTTAGCTTAGCATTTTAATGTTTATACTTATTACAGCGTTTATTATGAAATGCCTTCTTCTCTTCACATTTATGTCACTCGCATTCACATTTGCGTTCTAAAATTTAATTAAAGATAATGATGAGCTTCGTGTACCATCAATAATTACCCTTGCCAACAAACCTTTTCAAGTTGATGATGGAATAACATGCACAGTTTAAAATAAGAGACATTTTGAGAAGAATTAAAGATGCTTAGTGTCACAAGAAACATTATTAATTTGATAAAATTCTTTCAAAAGATTAGAAAGCTCTCAACAATGAATTTATAAAAGAAAGTTTTCCTCATATCTTTCTTTCTCCTTATATTTAACTTCGAATGAAGACGATGTATTCATGACTTTGTTCAAAATTTTACTGGTATATAAATTACTGAATTTGGATGAATATTTTTGAAAATATTTTCTTTCTGTTTGGTTAACGTTTTTAATGATTCATTACTTAGCCTCTGGTTTCACTTTATCAAAATAATTCAAATCCTTATTCCACATGTACCAAGTATATCTCCTTTATCGATAAAAAGGAATTTTAACTAGAATCTCTTTAGAAAGTTTCTATTTAATTTGAAAAAAAAATGAGTCAAAGATTTAATTAACTTCGTGCAAGGTTCCATTGTTACATAACATTTTTGAACTTGAAGCGTGTAAACATATTGTGTATGTTTGCTTTTGTCATTATCGTCATCATCATCAGTCATCCAGACCTAACATTATAACGTTGATATGAAAAATATATGCAGTATGTATAAGTAAATATGTAAGAAAAAAATAAGGCATTCTAACCCGAACATGATGCTCTTTAATTATATAAAGTAGGTATTTCTATTTTTTTTCCTTATTTTTTTTTATCTAAGAAAAATTTCAACTTAGAACTCTAACAATACATAAACTTTAACAGTCGACCTCTTCTCCCTTGTGTCATTTTTGGACTATGTTGAAAAGATTTTCGAGTTGATTACAATGTCAAGAGCTTCACACTCATACATTTACACCCACACCCATTTATACAACTTTTTTTCTTTTTCTTCTTAAATGTCTCTCAGTAATTTTGTTTCTTACTTTTCGTCACTACTCGACTGACTACACAGTTAGAGCACAGACAAATGGTAGAAGAGAAGAAAATAAAAGAGGTAAAATACATGAAATACAAACGGGGAGCTTTTCGAAGGGAAAAAGCACATTTTGTTTATAGACATTCGTTCAGTTACTGTTTACTTCTCGGATGATTCAGTCGCAAGAAGAGCAGAGGAAATAACTTTTTTAAAACGGCTTAAAGTAATAGTGCAACGTGATAATAATATTTCTTAATATAACATCAATAAATATTTAAATCGTTGAGAAGGGAAATTCACTGGAAGTAGAAACTTATGAAAGTATTTTGAAGTGATCTGACACTGCATGTGACTCTATGGATTTTTCATCCTCACAAGGGATAAGCCGCAAGAGAATTGATACCAAGAAAATAAAAAAGTTCTAGTTTTATTGTGAAAATTTGTTTTTATGTTCTAGATATTGATAGTAAGAGTTCGATCAATTTTCCCTCGCGTGCGTTTTGTCGTCAGCAGCTTTACACAACTAAAACTGTGTATATTGGATTGCTTTAAAAACTGTAATCAGATTTATTTTCATCGCTTTTTTTTGTCGTTTTCAGTTTCGATCATTGCTGGTATTATTTTGTGTTTAGTTCGGCTCAAGGCATTTGATTTGTAAAATTTCGTGCAAGTAACTTTCGGTTTCAAATGTGTTATTTTTATCGTCGTTTGCGAAACGAAATAGAGAATATTTCAATTTGTCAATAGAGTTCCTGAGATCGAATGGAAGCTAAAAAAAGCTGTCTTAGCGATAGAATGAAAGATGATATCATCAAGGATATCATAATAATCAAAACATGAAATATGTTTCGTTATATGTCACATCAATTAATGAGTGACAACACATCTCATAGTCAAGCATAATTTATGTTTAATGTGAATGTTATTACTATATATTAATACGAGAAGCATTTACGTCATGTTCCAGTTGTTGAACATCATGTTTCATTGTTATGAAACTTTTATTGACTGTTTATGAAATGTTTGTTGGGTTTTCTCAATAGAAATTTAAACTTTTAAAATGATGAGTCTTTAAAAATAATAATTTTTGTTGATTGACACATATTAAAGGATTTTTATAACAACTGCAAATGCTAAAAAAAGAAAAAGAGATTTCCTGCAAATTACTAAATATAAAATGCACATGTGATGTGAACAATCAAGAAATTTTCAAAACGAAAAAATCTATGAATAACAAATAACTTTGTCTCTCTGACACTGGCCGATTGCTTTATAAAATTAAAAGAGGGAATCGATTAGAGATGGAGAGAAAATCAACAAATAATAAATATAGAATCAATCTAAAATTGCTAAAAGCCGATGTGAAATGTTTTTGTTTTCCCTTTATCCAAACATTTTATTGCTTATAGTAATTTGTCCAAAAACACAAATTTCCATTTCCAAATGTCGACAAGTAAACCTTTTTGTTTGTTTTTTTTATAGAACGGTCAAGAAGTAGGCGCATTTTTGGGTTGGCAGAGAGGGTGAAGGAAGACAAAAAAACATTGAAATCTATTAAAATTAATTTTTTCGGTTAAAGGTTTCAACAAGGAATTGTATTCAAATTCTTAATTCATTGGGTTGGGAAATATAAAAAGGAACAGCAGAGATAATTGGGAGATCTGAAATTTTATTCATTCTATGTATTTGACTTAAGTGGTTGATTTACGCGGCAAAATCGTTATTTCATCATTAAGAGTCAATTGAAGCGTGACCTTGATCAAACTAAATATTCATACAGAGATGAAGAATAATAAAAGAACATTCATTTTTCATTATTGTTAAGTAAAGTTTTAATGTTGAGTTTAGACTAAGCGGGTTCTTAAGTAATTCGTATGCTAAATAATTAGACTGTTTCAATGGAACAAAATCAAGCAGATCCTACTTAAACTAACTAATCAAAAAAAGCATCAAAGATTCACTAAAGATCTTGACTATTAAAATTTAATCTCATTTAGTGTCATTCAAATTTTTATAGACAAAACATTGTTTAAAAACGAATGCGAAAAAGAAAATAAGCAAGATAAAATTTACATTCGTATATAACCATTTCAGAATGATTTTAATTATAATAAAATATGAAAACAAAATGAGTTGCATGACAAGAAATTCATTATTGAACATATTGCTGTGATAAGAAATGAGTATACAAAAAAAAACATTAATATTATCCAGTTGGTTATGAAAGAAAGACAAATACGAACATTGTCATTAAATATCAAACATACCGCGCAAATCTTGGATCAAAAATCAAATAACATAAATTCAAAACAACTTTTTATTGAAGCAACCGTCCATGAATAACCCCTTAGTTTCGTCTTTCTTTGCTGCTTATGAAATTATTTCACATTAAATGTAAGTTGAAAGAACTGAAATAGCTTAAATAAGCTTTAAGATAAAGGAATGACTTATCAATTAATAACAAACATGAATTGTGTTTACTCTTCTTCTCGGAAATATTAAAAACATACTTCGAGTTTTCTCATCACTAATCATCATTATGATGAAGAAAATGTTTTAACAACTACTCTAGATGTTCTCAATCCTTTCCAAATATTTCTTCTAAAAGATCTCATGGAAATTCATAGAAAACGACATTTTCCATAATTATAGAAAGCATCCTACTCAAAGTTGAGGTTAAGTTGCTGAGAGGAAAGTAATAAGAGGAAAAGTTCTTAATCACCATCTCTATTCATATCATGCCATCCTTAAAATCATCTTTATTTTCTTTTGTTTTCCCGTTCCATGTCATTTAAATCTTAATCTGAATGGAATTTAAATTGATTATTTTAACAGCTTTAAATTAATTATCAAGGCATTGATTACCCTATTTATAATCCGTTCTCGTCTTTTTTCATCCCCTTTCAAGATTGTATGATTTCATTGACTGTGTGGATAGGAAGAGAAAATCCTGAAATGATTTTTATGATGATTACTACCTGCGATGTTGCAGCAAAGCAATTCTCTTCATCTTCCACTTTTAAATACAAAACAGCCCTTCTTTCTACATTCAACTCTTTGCACATTTGTTTTAAAAATGATGCTTACAGGTTTACGGATTTTTCTGATTAAAAAGAAATGAAAAATTTTAATTACAAACTATTATGCAGATATACAAAAAAATAATTGAAAGAAGCGTGAGATATGAAAAGATATTCTAAATTTACAGAAAACAAAACAATAGACCAAGACCATACAAAAGAAATTTAAATTCCAAACGAGACTCATGATATGATTTGAAAATGTTGTATTACATTGTGCAACACATCATACAAAAGAAATGTTAAATGAAATGAAAAGTAATCAGTTATATTTGAATCATTATTATAAATATCTTTGATGTGTCGGAGGAACATTGGCTTTATGGAATCATGTAAGAATCAAAAACAACTACTTCCCGTCTTTAATGCTTTTCGACTTATTGAATCAAATATTTTATGCCGAGGTGTGCGGGTAAAGGGCGACATAGAAGTTCAGGAAGCATTATATCAAAATATTATTACATGAACTGTATGATCTACATATTTTATGTTTATCACCTTTTTTATATTTCAAAGCATCTTCCCTTCAACAATCAGAAAAAAAAATTGTACATGTTCTCTTTCTGATGTGAAACCAAAACAGCATCAAACATTTCTTCTCTTCTTATGTTATAGGGCTCTTAATGTTGGCATTTTAAATTTATGGCTTTTAATAACAATTTGCTTTAGCTCGCGATGGTTAGGAAAGATAAAAGAAATGAGAAACGAACGAAGTGAAATTGAATCGTCAAAGGATCAACGAACGACTGGAAGTTACGAAAATGCATGAGCGGTATATACATATATGTAGACATTATGTTATATGTAGACATACATGTATATTGTGTTTTGAGGATTCCATTACGACAGACGATGTGTCACAAATTCAATTATCAGGCTATAATTATTACCAAGTCACTCGTTTCTAAAATTTTACTACATTCTTGAAGATTACATAAAATCTTTAAACGTAAAATAAATCATTTTGAAAGCAGGAAATCATATCGTTCAGCAGGAAATTCAAAAAGTAATAATGTTAGGAAAGCAATTCATGAAAATTGCCATAAAAATATAAGAGTATGCCTGGTCAATTTCGGATAATATTTGAAGACACAAATGATCAAAACCATCATGAAATTTTATTACGGTTCGAAAAACCCTTAAGCATCAAATAATTTACACATTTATGTATTGAATAAAATCGTTATTTGGTAGAATGTTTTCTCTTAAATGTTGGTCATCAAAAGCATTAGAATTGAATTTTGAAAACTAAATTTCTGTTTTTGAAGAGTAATTTTCAGAGAAAATTTAAAGAGCAATACTTAGAAATATATATTTATTTTATTCATTAAGAAGCTTTAAATTTCACAATAAAACATATTCTAAAAACAGGAGTGAAGTTCAGATAATTTGCCCTTAATAACTTCAAAGTTTGAACTGGATGTTCTTACTTACTTACTTACTTAGCATACATTCTCCTAAAAAAATTAGCAAATTATTTATTATACGTTCATATTGATGGTATTGTTGTCAGAAACGTTACACCATTTCTTGAAAGATATTTTATCAATAAATGATTCAAAAACATCACATACAACTGATTCCGTATCAAATATCATGCGATATAAAATCAGTGTAAAATATTTTTCAATGTCATTTCTTTTGGGGAAAGTATCGCAGTTTTGTGAGATCAGTTATCATTATAATTTTTAAATAAAATAGATAAATGCTATTTTAAATCAAAACATGGAATAATAATGAAACAAACTACAAGTTGCATGATATTAGAGAGAGTTTACACGATAGATATCAAGAATCCCTAAATAACAGACGGATTGTCCTTTTGTTACAACAGACTTCCTACGTAAATATATTTCTTGGTATATTTCATCCTTTACTTTTTAATTATAAAGTTTCGTTGACATTCAATAAAAAATTCTGCTATAATCACAAAAACACAAGCATCTAAGTATTATTAAAATAAAATAAAAGAATAAGAAAATAAACAGTAACTTCTAAGTTGATTAAAATCAAATATCTACATTAAAAATTATGTTAAACAGAATATATTACAGTTAAAATTATAACTTGTTCGCTAATAATACATTTGCTAATAAAGAACTTGAAATCGTTTCAATGCCTTTACTTTTTATTTCACAGGTTTCATGTTTAATAGATGAGACCTTCCACGTGATCATTGATCTTGAATACATTAATTTAATAATGAAATCAATATTACCTTTATATTTAGTAATATTTTAAACACACATATCATTTATTTTATACACGTAAACATTAAAAGAAATGAAAAGTAAAATAATAATTTCAACAAAAACGAAAAAATAATTTGCATTTGTAAATTTGCGGTTTCATTGAAATTGTGTGCAGGAAACATAAGGCACCCAGAACACTGTAAATACTTAATAAATAAACAGAACGTTGAATCATCTGTCTATACCATAAATAAAAAAAATACTTTGACAACTTCTCGCTCCGCAAAATGTAAATAAAAGCGTCCTTCGGATCTTGAATTGTTTGAGGTTTTAAACTGAGTGTTCAAAAGCAAGCATCAACATTATAAATTGGTGCTAAAATAAATTCAAATACGATTTATATTCTATTTTTATTTATTAATTGATAAACATATTATTATTGAAATCTTTCAACTCAATCGAACGATAAAATTAAAACACGAGAAAAATTCAACATAATCTTTGAGCAGCCTTAACTCTTCATCATTAATAATAAAATCAGAGGATTCTCACATATAATTTTTTTAATATGTTATACATATATCTATATTCTCATACATTTTTGACGCTACTTAGGAAATTCTTGCATTTTTAATGCTAAATTGGTGTGATTGAATATTTTAAACTACGATGTTATAAATTCATTCTAACTCATGAGCAACCTGAGTGGTGCCCATTTTTGTTATAAAATGTACGTAAAAAATTCTCAACCTTACATTCAATTAACTAACTTCTTCAAATATGTAAGTGATATTTGAAATATAAAATACATATGAAGATATTTTTAATTTATAGTATAAATGGAAAAAAAACAAGTACGAAGTCTATATAATACAGCAAATTGTAATAAAAAAAATTATATAATATATCGGAATGAAATCAAAGAACAGAAATATCTTAAATAGAATTCAAGTGGCATCGTTACAATATTTATTTATGCATTACCGATGTGATTGCAAATGATGTGAATATGTACATACGTACCCGAGCAACACAACTGCTCATCTTGTTCGTCTATAGTTTCACTTCAGCGGATTCCGTGAAGTCTTAAATTTGGGGCTTAATATTTATACGATGGAATATGCACCTTATACGAAACATGCAACGGGAAGTTTACTATAAGGTGACTTTTAAGTTAACTTTTGCAAAATTTCTGTTTACATGTACTATTTTGTGAAATGAAAAAGTTTCATCGCTTTGATCCTACATCTGAAATTATGAGAAATGAAAAAAAAAATTCAAAGATGAATTAAGTCTTTGGTTTTCATAGTTTTCAGAATACCTCATATTGAAATGTGCTAAGCCCAAAACATAAGAAAGGAATAACAACAATTATTGTAAATTATCCTTCGCTGTGAAAATTACAATAGCATGACGTACTCAAAAAGCAGGCGTAACTTGAATTAGTGTTCATGGAATAGATAAAGCGACAGTTTAAGCGAATGCAATGTTAAGAGAATTTGAATATTTTTTTCATCACATGAATAACGAAGCTTTATTGTAAATAATGATTATAAGATGAATGTAAGAAGCTCCCGGACTGGCATCTTTCCTTTTACCATCATTTCTAATAAGCAGCCTTTAAGTTTAAACTAAGATCAAAGTATAGCTTTTAAAACGCATTAAAAACTTGTGTTGCACCATATGAATCTCTGACTATTATCCAGAACTTGATTAGATAGACATTAGTCGGACGTTAACATTGAAGAAGGTAGAATATTTTTTATGTTAATAAATATTAAGAATTTTTATTTTCATTTAGTAAACTGTTAAACTCGAAATATGAAGAGAAAAAAATATCGAACAGGTTTCACGATTTAAATTGAAAACAAGATTGCTTAAGTGAGAAAGTCACAGGTAACAGGCTTACAAGCTACATCATCAGGCAAAACAAAGAAAATATTTTCTAACTCGTAGATACTCAAAAGCTGTTTACGAACGAGAGAAGGAATAAGAGTGAGAAACAGCAAAGTGACTCGAGAGAATAAATGGACGTCAATAAAAAAAATCGTTTTGGATTACCATGGAAGTTTTTTCGAAACACAAACAAACAGCCAATTGCGGAAAAATGCTTGTCAGATCAATTTGAGACGTTGGGCTGTTAGTGTCGAGTGGTTGTGAAGTCTCGCGCGCAACTTAAGAAAAAGATTAAATCTGTTAATGATTTTCGTGGTAATATTGTTTGATATAACAATATAAATAAAGTGACTTAGTGTATATAGTATGTACATATGTTTGTATAATATAATGTTAGCAAGGCAAAACTTTAATATGATTTAAGCTTTGTTTAACTCGAACACAAAGCAAAGTAAAAAATCGATTTTGATTCAAGAACACTCTGAACCTTAACGCGTTCTAATGCTCATTGAAATCTATTTCTACTCGACATTTTTAATGAAATTAAAACTTTTAAATACACAAGGCAAAGTTTTAAAGTTTTATATGATAAACCAAATACAATTATGAGTAGATAGATAATTCTAAATCAATGAGAGATCTTTCAGATTCCTTAAAAGCTTAAAAACATTACAGTTTACAATTTGACAAAGTTTGCTCTATTATATTTTTCATTAGAATCTGTATTAACATTAGAATCTAACTTTCTAACTACGTGATGTTAAGGTTGTATTATATTAGTGCGTGGTTAATAAATAAATACGTATTTTATTACTTTTCTCTCAAAAAAATAAGTAGACAGTAGGTAATAATATTTAAGATATGAATAAAACTATGTTTATGATACATATTTAAAATAATAGAGCATTAAAATTTCATTTAATTTTAATCGTTTGCCCATAAATAAAATATCCATAAAAGTCTTCTGGCTATACTAAACTATTCAAAAAATAGTATATGCTTAATCAATAATTCTAAGTTCGTATATATTAACCATCTCCTAACCATACGTCTAAAGCTGCCATTTCAATGCAACCTCTTTTACGATTTGTTAGTTAACATTTCATTGTTGCTCAAAAGTGCTCGAATAGAATTATAAACCTTTTTGCTTGTTATTAGCTACCTTGAATGTTCTCAAAGCTCATTGTTAGATAATCAGGAAGAGAAATATTTTTTACGTATCTACTACCCCGACAGATTTGATTATTTCAGAGTCTCTTTTATTTGAGATGAATTTTGTACGATAATCTTAGTCCATTCAATCAAACATAACTTATCATATTTTGAAATATTTCAAGAATGTTTTAAATATAAACTAAGTATTTACAACTTCTGTTCATACATACCTAAACACAAAAATCAAGTTGAAATTGTTAACACTCGATCAGAATATTCAATTTCTCTTATTGCGGTTTATAATCAAACCATGAAATCACTTATTTTTCAATTTTTTTCTTTATCCGTAAAAAGCATTAATTTCGATTAGCGACATTGACACCGTTTTCATTTATTTTTGCATATTACAAATATTTAGTAAATAGTAAAATCTTGGTTTCATTATGAAAGATTTATATTATATAAAATAAAAGAAACAAGGGACTTGCTTTTAATAATGATAACGTATGGAAAAATTATCAACAGTTCTCTTCACCATAGTTGAAACAAGATAAAATATTTTAAATGTTTAGTTAATAAAAACAAACATCATTTGGGTTATTATTAACCAGCAAACATTACGTCATTTATCACGGTCGTATATAAAAAATGTTTTCATCGAAGTCTTTCAGAACAAACTCAATGTTAATTTTTTTGCAATTATTTCAGTTGTATATAGATGTGTATTTATCATCAAAAGTGTTGATGAAGAGAAGAAAAGCATACGTACTTGCAACAACACACATACCTGTTCAGCAAGTTCATATCTCGTAACATTGACATTCAAATGACGATGTGAGATAATCTTTAAACTAAACAGTCTACGTTATGTTTCTGATGCTTCTAAACATAACTTGTAGCAGTTTATTAAAATTTGAATAATTACAAATCCAAATTCAAGATTAGGATTCGATGCAGGATAAAAAATTGTAGGGAGTGATCGTTAATATTATTGAGTCAAAAATTGGTAAAATATGAGTTACGAAACTTATACAATGTTGGCACAATGGCAATCAGAAGTTTATTAACACATTTTCATTGTGATTTGTTCGTGACGGCATTTTTCTGTTACGTCTCAATTATATTTATGATGATCATTCTAAAAAGAAGCTTGAACTTGTTTCGCAGGTGAGACCTTGAATGTTTTCTCGCGACTATCTCAAGTCTAGAGTTTTATGTTAAATAATATATAAAGACAGTACGTTTGTATTGAAAACAGATGTTTGAATATTTAGTCACACATTGATTTTGTTTTGTTGTTGATCAACAAAGAAACAGCAACGAAGAAACAAAGAATTACCTAATACTTAGACATGCTAATTGAACGTGAGGTAGCTAGCAAAGTTTCTTTTTCATATATAAAAAAATTATAAAATTGCATACTGATTACATACATGATTACGAATTCAAAGACAATTGCTAGAAGAATAGATAATTCATCGCAGTTGAAGTGTCAAACTAATAATATTCCAGTTAGTTATCTCATCAATGAAGGTTTCAGACTTTTAAAATAAAACAAACTGCATCAAAATCAATGCTGATTTTATTAAATAGTATACTGAAATCACAAAAATGTTACATAAAGAGATATTTGCGACTGTAATAAGCATGATTCTAGTAAATTTAATTTAATTTTACTCCTCTCACTTATTTAACATTTGAAAGCTCATTTCAGAGATGAACTGACGTATGATAAATTCTTTAAATTTAAACTTCCAAATGCTATCAAATAAATTTTGTCAATATATTTATTGAGACGATTGCGCTTTGCAAGGTTACCTGATTTATTTAAATGTTTAAGTAATAACAAGTACTAACAACAACTTCACCTGTCCATAACAAAAATTCAAAGAATGGGGAAGAGATAATATTCTTTCAAGTACGTTTATCATCTCAAACACATAACAAAAACACATTTTCGTTTCGAGTACAAAAGTAAATATTTATGAATATTTCTAACAGTTATGAATGAAAGAAGCATTTGATGGTTTGTTAGTAATTGCGATTAAAGAGACTTAAATAAATCCTAATAAGAGTCGAATAAACAAAGTGAAACCATTGAATCGTATCATTGATGTGTCTCCTTCTCAATTAAATGAGGACGAACAAAACAAATAAATAACGAGACGAGATTATGGTCAATGATAAAGAAAATGTTCTTTTTTCGTTTTTCATCAAATAAATCGAGAATTGTCGAAAGCAAAGCAATGAGAAGAATCATATCAGCTCATATCATTTCATAAAACTATTTCAATATCAATAATACATTTAGTAATTATATACATACATATATGTATCTATACATATATTCCATGCCATTTGGTAAATGTTGAGGGCGAAAACAATTTAATGTCCCTGTATCAGAAAACAATCTTTAGGAATTTCTTCTGATGCTTCCATATCTATACATGACCAAGGAAAATCTAAGCATAAAACTATTGTATAGAAAGTATAACTTGAAGCAGAAACAAAGTGAATGACAAAAGGGGCGATGAAATTTGCTCCCGCCAGAGTATTTTTTTCTTTTTAGCTAGTTGTGCGTATGAACATAGCGACAATAAAAGAATGGAAATTTAAATGTAGCACAAAGGAAGTTTAGAATAAAAAATCAACGCCTCCGTTTCTTTTCTTTATCTGATGGGTAACAATATATTGGCACACATGAAAGTGTTTTGAAAAGAAATTTTCTTTTCTTTTTTGATAAAAAGGAAAAAGTTTTCCCACTAGAAATCTAATCATTTGTCGGCTTTTGTTGATGTCGGTCAAAATGGAATGATTCTTGATTATGGCAATGCCGAAGCGTACAAAATAAGAGCATTGCAAGTGTATATATATAGAATATATATTAAATAATATGTACAAAGATACAAAACAAAAAAAATAAGAGGCATGAAAATAGTGAATGAACAAACAACATTTGACTGCAATCTTCATCATCGGAGGGTCAAGAATCGCTTTCATCTTTAACAAGTTTTTTTCTTTTATTCTTTTTTTTTATCCATTTCTTTCCGGTTTTGCTGCTTTCAACATTGTAACATCAAATGCCATCATCACAGACACTTCCAATATTTACTCCTCTTATGAGTTTTTTTTTTCAAACTTGATAACAATTTATAAAGACTCAATAAGCTACAAAGTCTGTAGGAGTAAGAATTTAGAAAAGAACAATTTTTTTTTGGATAGATTATCTTTTACTTAGATATATTTATAGCTATGCAGGGATTTTTCTTATAATTAGTTTCTTGTGTTTTATTGCTATGTAAATATATGTACAAAGATACTTTGACTAACTAATTTTCTTTCTTTCAGTTACAGAAAATCATTTGACTTAAGGATGCTAATGCTAAAATGCTATTTGATAATGTTCATACTTAGCACCGTGGTAACTGGTGATTATATAAATACTGGCGGACCACGCGTCGTCACAGAGGGAGATGACGCTTTGTTAACATGTGTAGTAATGGGTGGATATCGTAATGACACTGTATTGTGGCGTAAAGGACCTTCGGAAATTTTAGCTGCAGGCTTAAATCGTGTAACGAATGACAAAAGATTTAGCGTCCTACACGATGATGCACCGAGCAATAAAAAAAAACCAGGCGGTGATGTTTGGGTGTTATTAATAAAAACTGTGAAACCTGAAGACAGCGACGTGTATGTTTGTGAAGTTAATAGTGATCCTATCATAAAAAGTTTTCATCCGTTACGAATCAAATCAAAAAATGGTACTTTCTATGCAAATACACTGGTGAAGGTAGAAAAGAACTCTGATGGGGATGCGATCGAATTACTGCCCCCAAGTATTGCTGGAAATGATAGTCAATATCATAATTTTCCTCCGACTATAACTCATGACTATACTGATTGTTGTGAGTCATTTAATGTGACAACAAAGTGTCTAGGATTTTGTACGGTTCACAATATTTTGGATGGAACTACGGGAATTGAACCGGAAGCTTGTGAAGCCGATTTTTCGAATATCATAAAATGTATGGCAGATGGACGTAATCATATGCCATGCTGTGAGAGAAAAAAGATTCCTGACTTGTGTCAAGACATGTGTCGTGGAGAATACACTCCTTTCACTGACTATCTTAAATCGAGGATTTCATGTGCAGCACATACAATACCAGGCCTTGAATGTATTCTCGAAGGCATTCAAAAAATTCCAAGCGCTCCGACTGCAGTTTTCGTGGAAGCATTAAATGAGAAATCATTACAGATATCATGGATGCCGCCAGAAAATCTAGCAGAGACTGTGAAGAGTTTCAAAATAAATGTCACAATTCTACAGTCTTTTGACGAGGATTTTTTGGCTAACACAACAGCTTCAACTATTTCTGTTAAAGTGCCTAGTGAATTGAATTCAACAATCATAAACAATTTGCAGCCGTTTACAATGTATTCGGTTTTTGTAACTGCTGAGAATGAATTTGGTTCAAGTTTGCCAAGTATACGCAGACGTGCTCTAACATTAAAAAATGATATGGTTAATGGTGGTAACAGTATTGCTGTCATCCCGAAACTTCCGGATGTTAAAGGATGCTGCATATCACAAGGAATCACGCACCGAACGTGTCTTGACAAAATGTGTGATCCAATCAAAGCTGATTTTACTGAAGTCCCTGACTTAATGGTGTGTGCGCCTTGGGCTAATATAACTTTCTCATGTTTGGCTAACAATATTGACCACACACCCTGCTGCAAATCAAGAGGGATGCCAGATGTTTGTCTATCATTTTGTGATGGAACCGTCAAAACAATAAATTTCAATGTTTTCAAGTAGGTTTATTGAAGTTTCTCGACTTATACATTTTCCGATCATTTCTTTATTTTCTTCAATAAGGTGCCTTCAATATATGTCCGATTACAGTAGTTGCTTATTACAAGGTTATGGCGTTCTCCCTGGTTCTCCAATACGCTTAAGAGCATTACTTGTTTCAAGTCAATATGCTATTTTGGAATGGAGGCCCCCAAAAGTTCTTGCTGATACAGTCAAAACGTATCACTTAAACATCAGAAAGTTGGGCAGTGGTGACGAATATGTAGTAGTTGAAAAGGTTTGTTGAATTATCCAGAGATATATTAATTTTGTAAATTAATTTATGTTAAGACAATAGAATTTTTTATCTTCTATTGTTGTGGTCATTTTATTGTGTTAAATTAATATTCAATGTCAAAGATAAACAAGGCTTTTATTTATTTTGAAGAATTTGTGTACGCATTTTCATGAAAAAAATTCAGTCAAAGAAATGCAATGTTAAAATTTTTCTCTTGATCGACGATCATACAATGATTATTTTCTAAAACATTAGATAAAATGCCATAATGACTTCTAAACTTGGATTACAGTTCTCATGCCATAAACTTGAGTTAAATTCTTGGATAGTTCATACTTGATCCCGCAAAGAAGTAACTTGGGTTTCTTAAGACATTTTCACACAAACTTAATTTTAAATTCAAGCCTAAATAATTTACAGTAGGACGGGCAAATAGCTTTACCTCATTTTTGATACAGAAAATTATAAAATAAAAATGATGTAAGAAATTTTCCAGAAATAATTTGTTCATGTTACGCATAATTGAAACAGATGGTGTTTCACTTTGTAAAACGCCTGGAATTTTCGTGTCATTCAAATTACGACTGGTTTAACCCACTTTTTTAATGTTTATTAGAAATTATTAGTCAATCAATCTACATTTTCAACGTTCTCAATAATATTTATCTTTGGTTTTCATTCATTCTAATACTCTTTTGATAACAGAGCACACCACCAATTATTTTGGATAATCTTGAAGCTCATTCAAATTATGAAGCTTATATAGTTGCTGTTAATGCTCATGGAAAATCGTACCCTTCACCACGTCTAATATTTCAAACAAAATCTGTCGTCGAATCAGATCCAGTAACACCAGCTTATAACATGACAACATGTTGCAAATATTCTGGGTATGCTCATTCATGAAAAAGCGTTATTTAATCAAAAAATGAAAACTGATTAATAAATCTTTATTTTTTCATTTTTGTCTCTAGATTGTTACCACAATGCATGTCACTTTGCTCATATGATATCAAGATGTCTGATTTACAAACGTTGGGAAGTGCATGTTTAGCATCAGTGGGAGTGGTTATAAGATGTGCTGCTGGGGGGAGAGGTTTGTAATATGAATTTTAAAAATAAAACTTGTTTTTAAAACAAATTTTAAATGCTTGCAAAAGATCATTCCAAGTGTTGCACTCGTCGAGGTGTATCAAGTAAATGCATGGCGAATTGTAAAGGTATCATGACGCTACCAACTGAATGCGTTTCGTACGCTGGGAATATTATCCAATGTTTTGAAGAAGGAACTGGTAACATTCCAGGACCGGTTGAAAATCTCCATGCAACAAGGGTTACAAATATTAGTATAACACTGAATTGGTCTCCTTTTGATAACGATACAGATAACAAACAGATTGGCTTCAAAGATTTTCTTATTCAGTATGGGAAAGTTGACAACATGACAATGTATGAGACTGTGATTAAGTTAGAGAACGAAGTTTCGTCGTCGGACACGGAAATTGATTTAAATAATTTGGAATCGAATACGTTATATCGTATTATGGTCGTTGCGCGAGGTCAGTATGGTAATTCTCTGCCCTCATCAATGCTTCTTATCAACACTTCTATGACAAATAACGATGCGTTGGTGTATGGAGCTCCATCACCACCACACTCATTAGTTGTGTCATCTCATGGAGCAACCTTCATCACAGTTTCATGGCAACCACCAGAGTTCTCACATCCCCATGAGAAAATATCTTACAGAATGTTTCATCGAAGTGGGAATAATGTGACAATTGTCGATACGAAGATGCTTTGGGCGAGGTTAAATCGCTTGACACCCAATACTCAGCATATCTTTTATCTTACGGCCATTGGTTCGAAAGGAACATCGCTACCTTCAGAAACACTTGTTGCTTGGACAGATCCAGCTTTGCCGGCTTTCATAGATGTAAGTAATCATTTGAGTTAGTATTTAATATATTTTATTTTCATTTTTATAAAATAGCCACCAACAATTCACCCTAGTGACTTTGTGTCAGAAGGAAATAGCATGACAATTTTATGTCTTGCATTGGGTAATCCAATACCAAATGTTAAACTCTATGTTGGAGGTCATTTCGTAAGAGCAGAAACGACGAGACACATGGTGACAACAGTTCATAACGTGACTACAGATATGGAGCATGTTTCGTGCTATGCTGATAATGGTAAAATATGACTGATGATGTCGAGATAGAATAACTAAGTTTTTTAAAATGATTATTTAATAGGTTACGGTGTTCCAATGCAAACTTCAAAAAAAATAAGCATCAATTTTGCACCGCGAATTCAAGCTGCGGGTATTCAAGTGGCGTCAGTGGGTGATTCAGTGGAGCTTAAGTGCTCCATCAAATCAAAACCAATTCCAAAGACTATGTTCTGGAAAGATCATGACGGACGCATTCCAGTTATACAATCAGCGAATTATGACATGACAATGATGAATGACATTAACGACCCAACTGCCTACACAATGGTCTTACATATTATGAAACTGAAAACTGATGATGTTGGTGATTATTTCTGTCATGCTGAAAATGCTCTCGGTTCCGTCACAAGACCTGTATCTGTAAGGATGAGAAACACAGCCGCGGTGACCAACATTGCTGAATGTTGTGCAATTCAAAATGTTTCATCAACTTGCATGGATGCGTGCAGTTTTTATCTTGACATTGAATCTGTAATTGACCGTCCAGAATGTTTAGCAGACTTTGATAAACTTATGAAATGTGCAAGTGACGGCAGTGACCATCGTGCATGTTGTGCTATGAAAGAAGTCCCTAGAAAATGCTTGAATTGGTGTCGAGGTGAAGCAGTTATTCAAGGAGGTCCAGCATGTGCAATTCAATATACAAAATCTATTGTGGGATGTTTCCAAGAAAATCAAAATAGACTACCGGGACCTCCACAAAACCTAAAGCTACAGAAAATTCTTGACGATCAGGTATTAGTAAAATGGGATCCTCCAATAAAAAATCCAAACTCTGTCGAGGGATATCGAGTATTTTGGCATAGTGCTGATTACCGAAATGAAAACCTAACGACTACTTTAAGTGGCTTAGGTACAAGTCGGTTAGATGCTAAAGAAACAACCATTAAAATTAATGGACTTGAACACAACGTGCTTTATGAATTGGTTGTCAAAGCTGGAAATTCTCATGGTAAAGTGAAAAATGAAAATTTTATAAATAATTAATCCAAATTTTTTAAGTACAGGTGCTAGTATTCTATCAGAGCCGCTCCGTTTTACACTCGACGATCAAATAACTTCAGCTCATTCAGGTGGTAATGGAAGTATTGTAGGGGGCATTTTTGCTGGACTTTTAGCAATTATTTTAATAGTTGTTGCTGCATTCTTATTCATGAAATCGAAGAAGCTAAAAAATAAGAATGCTAATGGTGGAGTTGCATTTGAGAATCCCAGCTATTTGAGAGAAACAAATGTTGAACAAGTGCATGTAGGATAAAGAAAATTAACTCTGTTCTCAATAACATCTAATTTTAAATACAAACTTTTTCTTTTAAAGATTCAAACAATATCAAATAATCCTCAAGAAACTAACAACTCAACAGCAGCTGTCATCACATCAAACAGCACATCATCGAACAATATTCCTACAGCTAGTGAAGTTAATCCAACGCTTTACGAAGAGTACGTGAAATTAGGAAAAGAAAAAGGCTTTAAAAAATTGGTGTCATGAGAAATAAGTCAGAATTGCAATACCATTTGTTGATAGGGTATTTGAATGAATGTTTTCTTAAAAAATATTTTGAACAAAAGAACTATAAAATTTGTAAACTTCTTAGTGCCGTGAAAATGTAGAAAAATCAATCAATATGTACTTTGTTAATACTTAACATACAAAATAAACTAATTTAAAGGACGTATTTAGATCAGTAAGAGACGTCATAAAAGAAGAACATGAAGAGTCTAGTCAAGGAATGGACATTAAAAATATTTCTCATATTTTTTTTTATATTTTAATAAATTAAACATTCTAGGGTCAAAAAATATGTGCAAATTTGTAAATCTGAGAAATAAAATTGTAAAATCCAAAGAAAAAAACAAATAGGTATTCATTGATTTTCCTTACGAAGCGATTTGAAAGGTATAGAAGTAGGTCTGTTTTCTGGCATACGCATACTAAGCTTTTTTAAAAGCTTTGTTCATGAAATTTTCTGTTATCTACAATATTTAACGGAAGAAAATATTTTGAAAATTATGATTCGTCCATATGATAAGTATCAAATTCAACAGGGTAAACTCCATTAAGACTAGAAATATTTAGTGGGTCGAACGAAAGTGTGCAAAAGATAAATATCACACGATTACGGTAGAATTTCACCTTAAATTTATTACAATCACTAGTGCAAATATTTTCTGCATTCATAAATATTACAAAATACTTGAAATGTAGTGCATAACCATTATATTTTACAGTTCTTCAAATCCTTTTCAAATATAAACAGAGATTTATTAGGCTTTATAAATGTATTTGTGCATTGTGTACGTCAAATGTGTACGCTTATAAAATTTAGTGTTTTCATAAAACAACTACAATACAGTTCTTATGTGATAAGAGAAAGTTGTGAAAACTTTAGACGAAATTCTTAATTGCAAAAGTTTATGAATTATGAAAATGAATACAGATGAAATTAATTCACGGGCACTGTCTAGTGACGAGAACAAAATGTTGAAGCATAATGTGAAAGAAGAAAACATAAACTGCTCAAAGGCAACAACAGCATCAACAGTATCGAAAACAGAGTTTACAATTAAAGATAATGACGGCAGATCATCACTCGAAAATCTACCTAATGCAGAAGTGGTGAAGAAAAGAAAACTCGATGAAAGTAAAATGTTAATGGACAATAATGAAAATTCTTTAAGTGTTGACAAATTGATTGAAATTTTATCTTCAAATGAGACAAACAGTGGTAAGTTACCCTCATCAACGATGTCTTCAGCAAACATCTATAAAAATGAGCTAGGAAGCAATTCACTACTGTCACCTGTTCCATCAACACTCAGTTCGCCATCTTCATCGTCATCTAAAATAGGACTAAGTGAATCAATTTTAAGTTCTGGTCCATCGCCTAAATCACCACTTAAAAAGTTTTCTAGTCCCCATCATACAAATGGTGGTAAGCCGATGATTTCCGATATGAACAAAAAAATGAAACAAGTGTCAAAGCGTCAACCTCGTGCTGTTTATTATCAAAGTAAAATTAGTGATAATTCAATTGGAATTAAAATCTGTATCAAGAAAGCTGTGGATGCATTAAAATCATTACCGTCACCTAATAATAAAACACCGAAGAAGCGATCACGAAAATCAAAAGCGAAAGAACATGAAAGCGATAGCGATGACGCTTATGTTAAACGTAGAAAAAAATCGTCTTCTGTAAACAATTATAGTAGTAATAATAATAATAATGATATTAATAATAGTAATATCAATAACAGCAACACAAATAAGCCTTCAGATGAACCTGTTGAACAGTCAGGATGGGGTAGTAAAATGCCAAAAGAAATTTTATTTGATGTGAGTTGTCGTATCTTAATGAAAAAATAATTAAGATGAATCTCAAACATATTTTCGTTTTAGATTTTCAAGATGGTAGTTAAGGAAGAAGGATCTATACCAGCCGCATGTCGTCTAGCAAGTATTTGTTCCTTGTGGAGAGAAGTTTCTTTGGACACGAAACTATGGCGAACAATTGATCTGAGTACTTATTTTAAGGAGAAATATCGAACTGAACTCAGACTTAAATGGTTTATAGAGAACCGAATGCTCGACAGCGAAGATGTGAACATAAGTTTTTGGAAGGTTACAAATACGCTTTGTGTTCTCGTAAAACTTTTTGAAAACTGTCCTAATCTCATCAGTTTATCACTTGCTGGATGGCGAGCTTTAACAGCTGAAGACTTAGATTATCTCGCTGCAAATTTTCCGAGAATTGCTCGATTAGACTTGAGCTCAATTAATACTGAACTTAGCGCTAGTAAAACCGCTGTTAATCTTCAATCTCTCGTTAATGCCATTGAAAAAATTAATAAACGGATGACACATTTGAATCTTGCACATAATCGCCTTTCAGGTATTCCTCAAATTACAACTGCATTAACAACGCATTGTCCAAACTTAATCATGCTCGATTTATCGAATGTGAAGACTATTGCTGTATCACACGGAATGTTTAATGTGGAAAAGCTTCAGGAAGGATGCCAAAAACTTAAGATTCTTCGAATTGCAAATTCGCATATTCAATTGTCGAATGCATCCTTACAAGAGCAAATGACATCATTAGGTTTTCCTGATCTTGAAGAACTTTCTGTCGCATCTCTTGCTGATGAATCTCGTTTAATGAGCGATGAAGCGCTTCAAAGGATATTGAAATCAAGCACAAAATTGAAACTTCTTGACGTCAGAGGATGTGCCCGACTTACACATGATAGTCTCATTCGAATACCAGCTTGGGACTTGAAACATCTTTTCTTATCAGGATGTTCCGCGACAAGGGATGTTGGGTAGGTCATAAAGTCATTATTGAACATTAATTGAAGCAATGAAAAAACATTTTTATATATCAAATAGATCCGGGCTTGAACTCATCGCATCAAAATGGGCTCACAGTTTAATCGAGTTTGACTTAGCGTGGGCCACTGTACAGAAACCACTTGACAATGCTTTGAAAGCATTAGCCGATAAAAGGGAAGAGAGTCCTTTGAAGTAAGTTGATTTGAAGAAAATACAAAAAGAAAACATATTTTATAACATTCGTTTATTTTTGGCATTTAACAGTCATCTTAATCTCTGTGGATCAGCTGTTTCAGTCGAAGCTGTAAAAGAAATTCTTGACAATTGTCCATCATTAATTTCAATCAATTTAGCATCATGTCGTGGTCTTCCGCGCGGTATTAAAAGATTACTTCAAGGTAAAACACAACTAAATGAACTTCGTGAGAATCTTAAAAACGGAGATTAATTCGAATGCCTCGTATCGTCGAAAAAAGCGACGTTGATGTTGAAAAGAAAAGTACAAAAAATCAAAACGAAAACGAAAAAATAGTGAAATCAAGTAAAACAACTACAATACAATATAAATACGGTGCAAAAATTTGTTTTCGTTGAATAACAAAAAAATAAAATAAAATACAGAGAAAATAAAAACTTCAAGAACCAGTAAACAATCTAAATACAAACCTAGTTGAAGTTTTCAAAATTTTTTTGTTTTTGAATGCAAATTTTAATCATTCCACTTAAAAAAAGTAATTTCAAAACATCTAGAACCAAGTGATGTCAATTCAGGAACCATTAAAAGAATATAGACAAGTGCAATAGTTAATTGGAGAAAACAAACAATTAGGTATAAATCCAAAGATTTTTGTTTACCGTCTGACATCATATTCAAAACAAAAAATTATTGCAATTAATCAAAAAATATTCATAACAGACCAATTGGGCACAAAAGAAATAATTATCATGAATAAAAGACGATTGAAAAAAAAACACAGAACTTGTGCCTAGTGAAAAAATATTACGTACATACATATAAGCGGGAAACATAAAAAAATTTCACACGCTGTTGTAAGTGAGTAAGTAAGTTAGATGTAAATTAAGAATTATTGAGGGAATTCTTCTTTAATTTTATTTATTTAAATCTAAGGAAAAAATTTTCCGATTCGATTATGAATTTTCTTTTTTTTATCTTAAACAGTTTTACACACATCAATGTTATAGAAGGCATTTTTGTATGAGGTTTGAATCGTGTGCTGAAAATACCTTTTGAATACTATGAATACTCGCAAATAGCGTTTAAAAATTCGATCAGACAATTTCACAGTTCTACTCAAATATGTATTAATTAAACACGATAAATAGATTTCACAAGGAACAATTTGATTAAAATGCTAATTTAAGTTAAAATGTAATAATTGTAAGATTAAGATAAAAAAAAAGAAAGTTTAAGGTTGAAATAGAATGAATGATTTATCTACTTATATTTGTATGAATGCACAATTAAAAAATGCAATATGTAATATATTTCATTTGTTCTAATCAGACATTAATGATTTAACAACAATTAATTTAGAAAAAGTTATTATGTTCTTGTTCACGTTGCAAATTTCACAAAAAGATGATGAATAAATTTTTTTATATAATTTTAAGTAAAGTTTTTATTATCATAATAAAGATATTTATTGATTTTGATCTAGTTGTAATTAAATTATCTAATATGTACATGTCAAAAAGAGAAGAAAAAATTCTTCTTTCAAGGAAATATTATGATTTGTTTTGAATTCTATCTAAAGAGAAATGTTTCTGAAGAATATTATTATTAGACTAACATTTTAAGTCTTTATAATAATAATAATAATATTAATAATAATAAAAGTAATAATATGTAATTTGTAAATAATAAAGAGTAAGGTAAAATACCTTTGTTACTAATTTCAATGTGTAATTGAGAGAAAATAATTTTAAATTAATCTGAAATAAAAGCAGAAATAAGATATGAAAAGTGACTTCAAGATTATTTTTCCATTTCCATGTTTTAAGTATTTATTTATATGTATTTATATAATGAAAGTTTTATGCAATTTACATACAAAAACTTCTGCATCGTATGTGCGACTCAATTGTTTGAATAGATGACACACTCGAAAAATTCATCGAACTAATAAATATCTATTTTGAACGGAAATTCGAAAGATAATTTAATCTCAATATTTATTCCAATAAATTAAATCGTGTAATTTAATATTTGATAACGATATCAATTTGGTTTTTTCATTTTTTACATTAAACAGCGGTTAATTGAGCTGCAAATCCTTACATAAAAGTGAGTTTTTTTAAAACAAGAAGTGTTAGTTTAAAGTTATACTGTGATGATTCTATGAAGTCTCCAATATTTCAAATTCTCAAATTTGGGTTGGTGTAACGAACGTATTTAAGCAATGCCTGAAATTATTAATGTTTTGGAAAAAAAATTATAATTGGTAATGGAAAAGAAACTTTTTTTTACTTACATCATTTTCTTCACAAACCCATGGTTTCACGTGATGACATGCTAAGGAAAAAGAAAATGTAGTAGATATTAATTTATTTAAAATTCATTCTTATAACTTACCGACATCATGCTGAATAATTTGATTATGAGATAGAAAGAAGAAGAAATATTTTAATAATTGTGTATAATAATTGATTTTTAAGTTATTGTGTTTAAAAATTTACCCAATGAACACCATCATCATAGAAGTTGTTAAGAATGGCTAAACAATTCTCATTGGCACCTCCTTGTTGAAGTTCACGGTTGTCTGGCTGTGGTCGGCCTATTCCACCATTTTCTGACCAATCGTTTTGTCGACGATCAGTAGTCGGTGCAAGTTTTTGCAATTCGGCTGTCCAAAACCATCCATTAATACTAACTGGCTGTAAATCTGGACGATCACATCCCATGAAGTCACAAAGACGACCACTCGTCCAAATGTATTTTTGCTTTAAATGATAAATCAATTTCATGTATGATGAAAACTTTTATTTGTTCATCAGTGTCTCAAATATTTGAGTTAAATATGATTTGAGCAATTCGATTTCATATTGGCCAACGAATATTTATGTTGTAATTGTATTTTGATTATTTATATCAGGTATGAAGCTTCCATTGTTTTGTGAAATTTCATAATGGGTAATTCTTGGATAACCTTTCTGACGATATTTTGTAGGTTTGGTTTAAAGAAATAAAATCATAAAAGAGAAGATTAAACTGTATTTTTTTACTCCGAACCTGGGATTCTCTTCTCGTCATGATCTTCCGTAATTAATATTTAACTTCAGAAAACAGAAGAGAAATTAGAATATCCAGCGTTTTGAGTCTACTTGTAAGTAGTTAAAAATTTTCTATTGCTTGCGAAAAAGTAAAAGTTTCAATTTCTTAAGCCTCCAAATGTGAAGATTTAGTTTTATTCAACAATTTGCCTTCCATTTCTTCCAATTGTTTTGTCGTGTTAAACTGATTTTCATTTAATTTCCTTTTTTTCTTTGTTTCGTTGTTTTTGTACGTGCAAATTATTCTTTTTGAGTAATGAAATCGAAGTAAATGGTTTTTGGCGCTGGTCCCACATTTACACAATCAAGCAAACAAACAAGACTTATGAATATTTATGAAAAGCATGACTTCTCTTGACAAATTCAAGTGGTGGGAAGAAATGTATTCAAAACTTCACGAAGCATCAATTAAAATGAGATCTGATTAAATATAATCAAAAAAAGAGTTTAAGAAAAAAAGGCACGGTTTCGGCTTCTTTTTATTATATTTATTTATTTCTTTTATGCACTGTCATTCATTTTTTTAACAAATATGTCTCAAGGAGTTAAAAATATATACGAGTAAACTAATAAATATGAGTGTCAACAAAACATCGACAACCATTAAAGCGAATGGACTCCATTGAAAGTAGACATGATGAGACTTTTAAAATTAACAAAGAAAATATGAAGATGATGTGACAGATAGAGAAGAAAATAAAAGTAACATAAAAAGACGGAGAAAGTTGATGTGAAGAGACCTTTAAAAATGTTTATCGTTTTTATGCATTGAAACAAATGATCGTTTCTATACAATTCGTTTTTAGATTATCATAAATTATGTTATTTTCAAGCTAAGCATTCGATACTGAATCGTTAAATTTTCAAAACAGTTTTAAGGTTTCTGTTTATCATAATTGTTGAGAGATCGGTAGCTATTTACTATGGGACCGTCAAAAAATAAATTTTCAAAATGTGCGAAAAAACAACAATTTGAAAAAGTTTCGAATTTTATAAATTCACGTGCCTTCATTTTAATGAAAAACTTTAAGAGATGTGACACAAATACCAAGTGCTTAACAGAAGACGGACAATACTTTTTTAATCTCATTAGCATTCATGTCCAAGAAGCAGATTCGGATTTGATCCAGAATAGGAATGTTTGTACGAACGTAATACACGTCAATGAACTCACCTTTCCATCGACAATTCTTTGTTTAATCCACTCATTCTCTGGTGATGTTTCGACTGATACTAAATCCATACAGCGTGAACGACAGAAGTTTCTAGCTCCCAACCAGTCTTCTTCCTTGCCTAAATTTAACACGGAAAGTTTAGTTAAGATCACTTTTTTTTTTTATGTTATAATCCATGACCTTGAGTTGATGAATCTTTCCATGAGAACCAATAGCCTTTTCCATCAGGGGTTCTGTCATGAATTACTCGTTGAGCACAAAGCGTTGGAATAGGTGGTTCAAGAACTCTTCCATTTGGAAACTGTGCTATACTTAATCCCACGACATATATTAAAAACACAAGAACTTTCATAATTTTAATCACAATCAAATGCTTTCAATTTAATTTAATGAAAAGAAACAGAAGAAAAAAATTAAACAATCAATTCAATGTTATCTGAACGGAAAATGAAAATCAACTGACAAAAAATGTAAGCTATTACACCCTTATATATAGAGAAGTTGGATTATTACAACACACCAAGCTATGAGTGTCAGTCAAGCCTGCCTAGAAGGGGAACCAAGCGACTGTGAGACAAACAGCAAAGAAAATGAAATAAAAAGCCGAACTAATAATAATACAAACAGCAACTGTATAAACTCGTATGTACGAAGAAGATGGTTTGGGGAAAATTGAGGTAAAATAAAAAGAAAGCAGTGAAGAAATTAAACCTTACTGAAAATCATATGATCGAACAAGATGTAGCACAACTCACGTAAGTTTGTTTTTTATTTTATTCTTACTGTTTTATTTATTCCATGGTGTGTTAAAATAAAATAAAATTACCCTCAACACGTTCAGCTTACTTTTTGAAGTGAAAACACGGATGATCGATACATTCGTCAGATATTGAAATATGATTTACGTCTAACAATAAACATTGCGAAAGAGAAATATATCTGACGAGATCACTCCACCTTTTCTCTTGTTTGATAATTAATATTATTATCTGGAAGTATTTTATAAACTTTCGATGTCAAAGGTTGGGTACACAAATAAAAATTATAAACTACAATCAATTTCAATCTGGATAGCCTCTTGAACTTGATGATGCTCAAGTTCAATGCTGAAGTTGTTAATTATTTTTCTCTCAACTCTCATTTCTCTTGAAAGAGATTTTATTTTTCACATTTTGTGAATGAAATGTTTTTTGCTTTTCTTAATAAATTGGGATACGATTAAATGCTTAAGTAGCTATCATTATCTGCTTCAACAAATCAATGATTTGCCTTACGTTATGAGAGACTCTACATGATTGTGTTAGCAATTATATTGCATTGGGCTATTATTGTTGATAGCACTCAAGTTTTTGACTGGTAAACCGCCTGTTACGCATCCATCCAATAGCAACGATTCTCTTTTCAAACGAAATAGATGAATACAATATTAACTTTTGATTTCTTTGAATGACATAAAACTTAGGAATACAAAAAAAAATTATTTAATTGTATTGTATCAATATTCATGTTTAACTGCAGTTTTCACAGTGCTTTACCATAATTATAAATTACTACGAAAGAAAATTGTACAATGTCCTTTGTTGTTAATACTTAAGCAAATAATTTGATAATGACTAAGAAAGACATCCGAGATGTAAAAAGTTAATATACAAAAATCAACATGGAGAAAGTTCGCAATGTACGTATTTCTATCCAATGTATTTATGTCGTCATTGCGAGTGTTTATTCGGTGAATTGATTTACACACGACATTCCACTGCAAGCGAAAAACGAGTAAGTACAGCTTAAAGGAACTTCTTCAATAGTCAGGAATAAGAAATACGGGTTGAAGGAATTCAAATAATTTCTTGATGAAACGGAATCATTCAAGTTCACTTTTTTTAGCTCTCGGCTATATGACCTTGTCCACAAAAATATTTATGTAACTTCATTGATTTGAAGTTAAAGACAAATATCATCGTTGATTTTTTTTTGTCTTATCTAATTTATAATTCAAATCAAAATATTTGAGAACAAACATTAAATATTTTTTAAAACTAAAGACTCTTCATAGTAAAATTATGCACTGATTCATGTTCTTTCGTTTCCATCTGCAATTTTAATGCCCCTTTTATCTTCTTTTGGTTGTCTTGACAACTTACCTACATAATGGAAAGTTGTTTCAGTTTTTTCTCTAAGTTTACATATTTCAAAAATCGATTTTTGATTACCGGAAAACGTTCTAACACAAAGTCATCATAAAAATAATATCAACAAACAATACGAAAGGGTGAGGAGACAATACGATGACGTCATTAATTGAATTTGTTTTTTCCATCATTTTTTTTCCAATGCCAATTCCTTCAACAAGATGATTTGTGTGATGGTAAAAAACTGAAAACAGAAAACTGCATCTTTCTAAACGTTAGGGTGAAGGAGAAAATTCTTTTCTGACGGTTCATGCGCAATACTTACAAGCCACGATTAAACTTTCCATATCAACAAGCAGTATACAAAAATGATAGAAATGAGAAAAAAAACAGGCGAAGCACATTCGAGTGCCATGCACCAGCAAGAGAGGGAAAATCAATTCGCATTTCGACGTCACCGTTTCTCCTTCGCAAACTCAATTTCGAAGTTGAAGCGATGAATACAGTTGGATCATTCATAAGAAATTAGGGTAGTTTTCAAAGGCCCTGGTTGGAGCTTTTCGCATTGAAATTAAAAAAATCAGCTTCATTTTGTTCAAATTTGTGAATTGACAGTGAATAAACGATTTTTATTCTAATAAAAAGTTTGAAAAACATGAGAAACATTGAAAATTCAAATATCTTACTTTTGAAATAAAAAAAAAATTTTGATTCTGGGAACTGTGCAAAAAAACGAGAAAATTTTCTTCAGGCTTAGAAACTAAGCTCAATTTTAAGTCAAACTAATAGATAGATTTATGTCTGGTGTTTTACTATTATTTTAAGACCATTTTTAAACGTATAGAGAAAATTTATTTTTGTGAATCGAAAAAATTAGTGAAAATACTCGAATGAAATCGGAAAAATCGGATCCACCTGAACCACCCCCGCGAAATCCGCTAAGAATTATGGCTTCCATAACTAGTTCTGTATCATCAGAGGTAAAATATAATAAAGTTTTAAAATATTCAATGAAATGTATTAATATCATTATTTTAAAGAAAACTGTCATCTCACCTGAAGCAACGTCACCTTTAGGTGGATTGGAAGTATGTTCTGATAGTAAAAACTCAAAGGATTCTCCTACGTCAAATAAAACTAATGATAAAAATGATGAAACATCAATCACCGCTGAGTCCGCCTTGGAGACCACAGAAAAAACTTCATGTAAATGAAAATTTAGTTTGCTTTGGTTATCATGTCGAAAATTCACAGAAGAAATATGCGCAAATGCTAAAATGGAAAACTTGTTTTTGTTGTTTTTAGGTAATAAAACGCCACACGACGAGACTTTCTCGAAGAAGGAAAAAGAAAAATCACCCAACGATTTGACCCCTGCAGAAAGTGAGCATGTTGAATTAACAAATGAAAATGAAAACACCAAAATCGAGCGGCTTGAGAATGAACTTCGAATTTCTAAGGAACTAATCCAAAGTCTTAAAATCGAAAGAAAAAAATTGCGTTCGGACAAGAATGATTTACTTCAACAGGTCAAACATCTCTGTTCTTCCTTACAAGAGAAGGAACAAGAGTTACGTAATTTTATCAGGAAATTTGATCAGCGAATACGCGATTCCGAGAGTAATAATATCGTCAAAACATCCTCGGATAGCGAGCGTTGGGATTTAATTAAACATGCACACGATGAAGCAGAACGGTCTCTCGCTCTTGCAGCACAACTTAATGTTAAAGACATTCAATTGAAACGAATGGAGCAGCAACTTTTAGAAGTACGACATCAGTTGTCAGGATGCATATCAGATCAAGAAAGTCTCGTATCAATGGCGCCTATAATTTCACCATCAGTGGCACACGGAATGATGAATCATGGTTGCGAGGAGAGTGAAAATCCAACTGGATTATATGGACATGAAAGAGGCTCTTGTAGTGCTGATTCAGGTGTTAGAACAAGTGACCGTGAAAGTGCTTCAGGAGATTTAAATCTTAGCGATGGTGCTTGCGAAAATGAGGGACTTACGATTGATTCTGATAGTATATCATTAATATCAAGTCATCATAACATGGCCCAATGTAATGCCACTAAAATATTTATAATTTCTATTTTCCTTTATATTAATTTTTTTCTTTAACAGATAGTAAAGACTATAGTCCCAGTGTATCACCCATGAACACACTTGCACTAGATCGCAATGATCATCATCATATAAAGTGGGTTAATTTAATTAACAATCATATGCATATATTAGATTTAACACTCAAAACTTTTAGCTACAATCGATCTGCCCATCAGCTTGATTTACCGATGGATCTTGAGACAGGCTCAACATCAATGGTTCGTAGAATCAAAAGTAAGCCTTTTAATTCGCTTGTTGGAAGATCAGGTCGCGGTGGAGCATGGGGAAGTATATCAAGAGTTTTCGCCCGATCGAAGAACCGTAACAAAGCAACAGTACAATCATGTGATGAATTCCAATGGAATCCAATGTCAGAAGAAAACTATTCAGAAAAGATAAAACTTTTGCGAGAAGCGTCAACTATGCCAATTGAATTGTGGCGGTCACCACAAATTGCAGCATGGCTTGAAATAGGTCTGGGAATGCCAAAAGATTGCATACGCTTTTGTTCGGAGAACGTTAAAAGTGGAAAAGTATTACTTGAACTCACTGATGCTGAATTAGAGAGCGGTTTGGGAGCAACACATCCAATGCATCGAAAGAAATTACGGCTGGCCATTGAAGAACAACGACGTCCCGATCTCATTCGTTATCCAATGATAGGTCAATTGGGACACACGTAAGAATGATTGAAAATTATATATATAATAAATATAATTTCGAAACATTTTCAGATGGTGTGCACTTGAATGGTTGCATGAGATAGGACTCTCACAATATTCTGAATCTTTCATGCACTCGCTCGTAGATGCTCGAATGTTGGATACTCTCTCAAAGAAGGAATTAGAGAAGTATTTGGGTGTCACTAGAAAATTTCATCAAGCTAGTATTGTGCATGGCATACATTTATTGCGACTAATGAAATATGATCGACAAGCATTAGCAATGCGACGATTGCAATCTGAGAGTGAAAATATTGATCCTATTGTGTGGACAAATCAACGTTTTGTGAGATGGATTCGTTCCATTGATTTAGGAGAGTTTGCTGATAATTTAAGGAGTAAATTATACACATTTTCCTAAATTCTACGATTATCAACATATTTATTTTTAGACAGTGGCGTTCATGGAGGTTTGGTTGTGTTGGAATCCTCTTTTTCGGGTGAAACTATGGCATCAGCTTTAGGCATAACATCATCTAAAAATATCGTTCGTAGACATTTAATCACTGAATTTGAAAGTCTTATATTTCCATCTAGGTAGTAGAAGTATAATTGATTAATTGGAATTACCTTAATACTTACACAATGTTTGCTTCTCTTGCAGAAAAAATCTTACTCAAGGAATCCGAGCAGGCACTGGAATAGTTTCGTCTTACGACCGACATGGTAATGTAAGTAATTCTTTCAGCACTTTTTCTTTATCATTTTTTTACCTGAGAAATATATTTATATTCTATTTTCTGCTTAGAATACATTATCAAAAGGATATTATGTAAATCCAAATGGGAGAACTTTTAAGACTGGATCTTTACAATCTCCAACACATTCATATTCCAGTAGTGAGGGAGGAAATTATGCAATTATGGACAATAGATCCAAACAAGATACATCACCAAATGAAATAAACAATCACAACCGCTATTCAGCACCTTTGAATTATCAAGGTGAAGATTCAATTGCTCGTGTTGGTAACATGAGCGTGAATAATCGTCGGTCAGCACCGCCAGAATTCGGAGAAAATTGATTACCAATAAATGAAAATATAAATGTATGAGCCACAAATGTTTTATTGTTTAATATCAAACTTTTCTGAAACACCGATTAAAATATCATTACATTTATGGACCCAAGGAAAGCAAACTAATTTGTCTCTTTAAAAGTGTGAATCTTTAAATTTTGAAGGCATTTTATTGAAACTTATAGCTGAAATAAAAAAAAAGACAAATCGAAAGTTGTTTATTTTTCTTTACATGATAAATATCTTAAAATCTTTAAAAAAACTTGATATATGATAAAACAAAGTTTTTTTCTACTTTAAACATATTCGTGTATGTCTCGAATTTTTTAATTATTATTTAATAATAGTATGCATAATTGCCCTTTAGATTGATGTCATGAAAATAATCAAATTGAATCCATGTTTTAATCCATCAATTAACATTAAATCCATTTTTTTATATAACAATTTAATCTCTTAAAAAAATATAGGTTTATTAACATTTGCTGACGATGTAAATCCAAAAGTATATCTTGCGGATGCAACATTGATGACCCTTTTATAACTTTTGAATGGCTTTTCATTCTACGATAAATTTGAGATCAATTGCAAAAAACCACAATCTATTCCAAATTGTAATTTCGCAGAAACACGCATTCAAACTTTAAAATTAAAAAAGTGCAATATGTGTTCAGTATTTTTCATAAATATTCTATTTAATAAGCGTTTAATAAAGGAATTATATTGGAAAAGCGTTTGCAGTACTTGTAAATCCATAATACAATTGACTCGGTGGATAGATATTTTTGAAAAGAAATAGTTGAAATTGAACTAACAAATAACGAGCATTTAAAATTCAAAAACTTACTTTTCAATCGAAGTTTGCACAAGGTAAGCCTGCTTTCGTTCTTTTTCTGTGCAACTCGTCGATATAACAATGTGAGAAATATTTTTATTAAATAAATTGAGTAATTCCTTGATGTGAAATGTGAAAATATAAAAGAATTAAATTTAGAAAGTGCTTTGTTTGAACAACAGCTCAATTTCTTTTGGAAATTGTTGGATTTTCTAATAATTTGAATTTTTTTATTTTTTTCATATTGAATTGCAAAATGTTTATCACTGATTCGACATTAAAATATCGATATAAAATATACATCTTGAACATTTTTGGAAATCTCTTAAATACATTAAATTTTTATATTTATTTGTTCATAGTCTTTTATAAATAGTATGTGCAAAGTGTCATTCATTTATTTATATTTAAAATTACAATATTTTAAGGTTAACTCAATGTTATCCTTTGCAGTTACACTTTTTAAAGTTGGAAATAGTCTTTATTATTTTGTCTTACTAGCAATATTTTTCTTTTAGATTTCGATATGGGACGTGTTATCAGAGCACAACGTAAGGGTGCTGGATCTATCTTTAGATCACACACCAAGAAACGCAAGGGAGCACCTAAACTTCGTCCATTGGATTATGCAGAACGTTCAGGATATTTGAAGGGTGTTATTAAAGTAAGTGAAGATATTTATTAATTCATAACCCTGATTTCCTTGGCTCTTATCAATGTTATATTTAATTGATATGAGAATGCAATTTGGGTAAAAGCAAAAGGTAAATTAGGCCTTCGGTGAGTGTTGATACAAAGACATTTTACCTCCATATATTCTTTCCAATAAATGAAAAATTAGAAAAACATTTAAGTATATCCATTTCTAATATATTTTATTTGCAGGAAATAATCCACGATCCCGGTCGTGGTGCACCTTTAGCTGTCGTTCATTTCCGCGATCCTTATCGCTACAAAGTCCGCAAGGAGTTATTCATTGCTGTTGAAGGAATGTATACTGGTCAATTTGTATACTGTGGAAAGAAAGCTCAACTTACAGTTGGCAATGTGTTACCTTTAGGACTTATGCCTGAAGGAACAATCGTTTGTAACGTTGAAGAAAAAACCGGAGATCGTGGAAAGATTGCACGTACCTCTGGCAACTATGCTGCAGTTATTGCTCACAATCCAGATACCAAGCGTACTCGTGTTAAGCTTCCATCAGGTGCAAAAAAAGTTCTTTCTTCATCGAATCGCGCCATGGTTGGAATTGTTGCTGGAGGTGGACGAATTGACAAGCCTATCCTGAAGGCAGGACGTGCTTATCACAAATACAAGGTGAAACGTAATTCATGGCCAAAGGTTCGTGGTGTGGCTATGAATCCAGTTGAACATCCCCATGGTGGTGGTAACCATCAGCATATTGGTAAGGCTTCTACAGTCATGCGTGGAACTCCCGCTGGTCGTAAAGTCGGTCTCATTGCTGCTCGTCGTACCGGTCGTATTCGTGGTGGCAAGGGAGATGAAGGAAAAGGCAAAGAGAAAGAAAAGAAGTAAAATGATTGCGATATAATCCTGTACGACAATTCCATCTTACAAGTACATCTATGTATTCGAAACATAAAAAAGAAAAATATTGAAATAAATTTTGAAAAAACCAGAACTGATAAAAAAATTTATTTATTCTTATTATGTAGCATGCAACATTCTGCAGACATTTTTTTTGTTAACAAATATCAAAAGTTAAGTTTATGTTTTCATGAATAGCTCGTGAATGGCTCAATGTGTAGAAAATATTTCTTGAGACAATCGATAGGGGCGACAGACATGAATATTTTTGTAGAAGAAATCCTTTGTGAAAAGTAATTATTGAGGAGTTAAAAAGGAAAAAAATTGCTGTGGTTGTTTAACCTTTGCGGATATGTCTGAATCTCTGAGATTTCCAAACTGTTTCACCAGTGACACTAAAACCTTAAAAAGTCATTTCAAACCAACTAAACGCACTCTGAAAAATCGAAAAAAATCGAAGACTATCTAATGAAAAAAAATCGTTTAACAATAAGTATCTTGGAATGGTAAAATTTTAGGACTATTAAAATAAAGGTAAGTTTGTGTAAATTAAATTAAGCATTGCGAAAAAAAAAACTAATAAAAAAATATTGAAGCGCTTCAATTCACTCCAGTGATTAAGAAAATGCAAAAATAAAGAAAAATGAAGTTCGTCAAATTCCTTATCTTTAACAAAAGTTTGAGTAAAATTAATCTATAATTTAGAGCATACGTAAAATCTCTTTTTTAATGATAATAATAGAAGAAATAATTTTTTAGTGTGCATAAAATACAAAAAAAAAGGCAAAATGCCCATCAATCAAGATTTGAAGCCTCCAAAACTTGATTTATCAGCCCCACCGGCTTACAGTCGCGTCGACAATCATCCGCAAACAGTTCAATTGCCCCCAATAATTGAAAGTGACGCAAATCCTCATGGAAAACTACCAACATATGAAGAAGTTCAAATGGAGAAAATTCTGAATGACGAATTGCCAATCCCTCAAATGCTAAATCCTCCGCCCCCACCTCCAATCCATCATTCAATGCGAGCACCTTTACCAATCCAGCAAAATGATATGGCATTTATTGCGATTGAATCAGGAGACGGAGAGATCAGTAGTGACAATGGGCTTTTGGGGACAGACATTGTATTCGTAACAGCTTTCTTTGTGAGTTTCATTTTTAACTGGGTTGGCTTCTTGATGTTAACCTGCTTTTGTCACACAATCGCTGGCCGATATGGAGCACTATCTGGTTTTGGACTGTCGCTTGCAAAATGGACATTAATTGTCAAACATTCAACAGATTTTGCGCACACCAGCAATGACTGGCTGTGGTTTCTTATTATGACGTTTGGTATTTTAATTTGCATTCGCGCGCTGCTACAATATCTGAGCATTAAGAAGACATGGAGGATGCTTTCTTCGTCTGCCCAACAAAGACTTTTATTTTTTTATTAAACAAAACTACTTATTTTTAACCGTAGCATTCTTCAAATGAAAAAAACTGGAAAGAAAGTTTCACAAAGCATCATATTAATTAATGGACCACAATAATTAAATTTGAGGAAATGCAGAAAAATCTAAATAGTTATATACAGACTTCATAGATTTGTATATTTTTTTACTTCTCAGTTAGAATATTTCAAAATAGTGTGTAGATGAGAGAAAGAACAGAGTTTTTCGTCCATTTAAGACATTTATGATATTTCTCATCAAAGCCAATTTTCTCTGTAGTTCTAATTGTCAAGAACAACTTTTGAAGAAAGTGAAGAAATAAATTTTAGTTCCTATTATGATTTATATTTTATAAATGTAACTTTCTTTCTAGTTGAGTTTGGAGTTTTTTTAATGTTATTTTTTAATCGGAAGAAAAAGAAATGGAAAAATTTGATTTGCATAATTAGATAAGATTTTTCAAAAATTACACAGGCAATTGTAAATTAATTATCATCAATTTTGAAATAAAGAAGTTTAATATTGTCCATATTTTAATGTAACATTGAATTATAAAAAATAAAAGAAAAAAAAATTAAACATAGATATTGTATTTATATGCTGCTCACTTTCTTCTGAGCTTCAAATGCATGGCGAAGTTTATCCATTTCACGCACGCTAAATGTCAATGTTGCCTTTTGATAATAATCGGGAATCATTTTAATGTTNGCAATAAATGATGTTTGCCTCAACCATTCCCGTGGGTGTCCACTGCGGTGTTTCGAAACCAACTACATGGTTGCTCCTCGTTGCCTTCTCCCCTGTGAAAAAAAAATAAAAAAATTCCTAATAAAATAAAATAAATTACAACACGAAATTTCCTAAAGAGTATCTCAATCAATCCACTCGATGAAAGTATCTTGCCAACTTCATAATATTCATCATACAATTCAACAGGAACATATCCACTTGATATTTGCATGCTCTACCGCTGACAAATGGGAAGGAGATGCTGATTGTGGTAAAAGAAGATTTAAATCGCTTTTATTCCTCTTAATTGAAGTTACAACTGGCTCGGATTTATGTCTTCATCTTCATCTGATGACGAAACAGCTTCGAGTTTCTTTGTTGTGCGAGCACGTTTTACTGGTTGTGGTGTTTGTGTCGTATCATCAACATCAGATGAGAATTCATGATCAGATTTAAAGAGTGGACTTCCGGGATCAGATGGAATATGTTTCACACAATCTTCACTTTCACTGCGTTCGGAGTGTGACGACGGCGTTTGCCATTGTTTATCAGCTGGTTCAATCTTTGATTTCTTCTTACGTCGAGCACCTTTGAATGATTCATCGTCGTTGCTGCTTTCTTTCTTCTCATCGTCTTTATCACAATATTCTTCCTTCGTTACATCATTTCCGTTCTTTTTCTTCTTCTCAGCATCCAATTTTATTTGTTTAAGCATTTTCTCTTCCATTTGCCGACGTTCAGTTTCTTTGATAATCTTTTGTTGTACAATTCGTCGTGATTGTCTAACTGGTGCTTCAATCTCTGTTGTATCAATGACTAAAGATGCGTCAATGTACCTTAACAAACCTGATCTTTGTTTGTTTTACTTCTTTTATTATCCACTTTCTTAGATTTTCCGATCGAATCTTCACCAGCTGAAGACTCAGCATCGTTTCTCTTACTGAATCGTCCCCTTTAACTTTTGCGACTGTGTCCGTTTTCAGACTTGCTCTCCACAGCTTCATCATCAGACTTTTACTTGCAGATTCTTTACAAATTAATGTTTTTATTGCTGCAACATCTTCATTTTCATCGTAGTCAAATTGCAAGTTTTTGAATGTTTATAATTTCTTGTCTTCGGGTTTTATATCATTTTCATCTTCAATTTTGACTTCTTTCACATCATCAATTGCAGTTGATGGAGTTTCAGTTTTATTAGCTGCCTTTCTTGATGCTTTAAATGCATGGCGAAGTTTATCCATTTCACGCACGCTAAATGTCAATATTGCCCTTTGATAATAATCGGGAATCATTTTAATGTTATCAATCACATTGTTAAGCAGATGACTTTTCTCGCAGTTTATTCCAGGTGCTTTGTATTTGAGGATTGTAAAATGAACATGAAGATGATAAAACGATGGTTGATAGTGAAAATATGCACGAATTTGATTTGAATTTATATCGTACTTTTTCTCAATAATTTCAAGGCTTTTTGAACGAATATTTTCAAGAAGAGGCAAATGATTGGAGTCGAGATCACGAATAGATTTGATGTCTTTTCTCATCACAATTGCTAACAAATATAAAGTTTCAATCTGACCATTCCACTTATAGTCGGGAAGAAGAATGAATCCGTTTTTGGGATCTAAATCCTCATACAGAATTCTTTCTGTTTCCTGCTTGTGCTCTATTATGTTGTATACCCAATCAAGTGTGAACTGTTCATACTTCAAGTAAGGCAAAGTAATAGTTATATAATCAACAGGAGTTTCCTCTATTAAAAAAAGCATTTGTTCCGTATATTTGATGATATGCTTTTCAGTTGCCGGGTAGATTCTCGAAATTTTCAACGCTATAAGGATGAAATTTAGAAAAGTAGAACATTTACTCTTGCATTATTTGGATGTTTTTAGATACTTACAACTGAATCTTGGATTTGTTGCGCCAATAAAGTTTGCGTAGATATCATTTGATAGAACTGTTTCTACTAAATCAGTATGCATCAGAAAATTGCTGTTTTTATCTTCTGTTGTGAATGTTTCTTTTGTAAATTCAACTTTCTCAATTATGATAAGTGCTTGATCAATTTCGCTTCTTGTTGGAAACTTGCCCAACAGTCCTATGGTTCTTTTCTCTTCATCATTAAACATGATTCGATCGAGCTTAAAATTTTTTAAACTCAAGTCATCACAGACTAAGTTATTACAAGTTGATTTTCCATTATCTTCATTCATATTTTACGTTTTCAATTATATTTTGTTTCTTTTAAAAATTGATTTTTTTTACTATAACTGACAGTAAATTTATAATAATTAGGTTTGTGGAAATTACACAAATGATTAGATGTTTATGTTTTGGATGATAACTGTCGAACTGATAGATTTCATTGTAAATATCTTGGTAAATATAAATTTCATGTCAATGAGACGGATCCTCTAAAAGGGGCATACCAATATAGCAGGGGTACTTAAGAAGATCTTTCTAACGATAATAGACGGTTTAATAATAAAATTTCTTATTCTAAGAAGTTCGATTATGTTTTTGACATATAATATTAAATATTTACATTAAATTAAAATTTCCATAATTTCATGAGTACAATTATTCTTTTAAAAAAATAGGTGCAGAATTAAATATGAACTGAATATATGATGAATATTAACACATCAGTTAAAAAGACCCGTCCATGAAGCAATCAATTTAACGAGATTTCTCTGTAAATAAATATCTGTACCTATTTTTATTAAAAGGGTGTAATAAGTTATAATTTTATTCAAGGCCTACATTTTTATTATTTAACATCACAATTATAAGATATGGTATTTTAATCACGAATTCAATAAAAGAATTGTTGATATTGAAAAAAAAATTGACTCTAGAGTGTGGACGTCTTTATTTAAATATTAACTGACATGTTATATTTTAATAAGCTTACTTTCTGAGAAAATCATTATCTTCTAACAATAGTTTGTAATATTTTAAGGCATTGTTTTCGTCTGTTTCAACAAGAACTTTGAAGTTTTGGTTTTGTGCTTCACTCATGTTTTTAATTGTGAAAATAAGATTTAATCTCTCTTCCTTGTTAAAGCATTTCAAGATGTCAATAGATATCTCCAGATTTTTTAATGAAATTACATTATCTTTAGGAATTGTTGTAAGATGTTCATCAAAACAAATTACAAAAACATCATACCAAATTTCTATTAATTCATTAGCATTGTCATGTGCAAGCATACTTAGGAAGTCATCGTTCGATCCAATATAATCTTGAATTGTCAAAAAACGAGCTTTTTGATCATGGTCAAATTTTTTGAGGAATTCAATGATTTTAAATATTTTTTCTTGTGTCATGTTAACCAATGATTTAATATGTAATAAAAAATTATCCAATGATATATGACAAGTATCTCCAAGAAGTTTGATATTCAATTTATCATCGTTTGCTTTGAAAACATCATAAATCACTTGAATCATTTCATTGAGATCAATGTTTTCATTTAAATTCTTATATGTTTTAATCAAAGCTTCATCATTCTGAAGCATTGCAACAAGTTCATCGAAGAGCTTACGATTTTTGCAATTATCTCCCATATGGTTTATGATAGTAGCTTGAACCATGGTTTGAAATTCTTCTGGCGACACATACATTATCTTTGACTTTGACCAAAATCCCTCAGTGATTGACATCATCAACATATTAGTTTCATTAAATTCATCAATTGATTCACTCAATTGCATTAGCGCAGATTTAGGAAGCTTTAAAACGGCGTTTGTTGACTTATGTCGAAATTTAGTAAAAATTTCGTATCCTGTAAGAAGAGCTTTTGCACTGTCTGTGACAGGTCGTGCTGCTCCACTAAAAACACTCATAACACGGCTAGCTGTCGCGAACCTCTTTGTTATCTCAACAATCGCTGCACTTTGTGTAATTGAACTCAAAATTTTTGTGCTGGCTAGCCCAATTGTACCAAAAGTGCTGATTTCTGATCCCAACCCAAGCCATACCCAGAATGCTTCACGATTTTTAAAAGGATTAATTGATTCACTGTGACTTGCACGATCACGAAGTCTGAAACCAGCTCTTCCAACTCCATAACTAGCACTTAAAGCCATTCCACCCATCATTAATAAAGCAGTTCCACCTTTATGTTATTTATCAAGAGAAATGAATTCATAAACACAACAATAATATAACTTTATATGTACCCGTAGCAAGTGTCACTCCAATTCCAGCTGCTAATCCTAAAGCACCGCTTGCAATATCACAAGCCATTAAGGTCTTTACTGGTCTATTGCATTCTGCTGAATCTTCAAAAGCAACGTCAAGTTTATTTTTTTCATTTGGTTTCAATTTTAAATGGCCATCTCTAGGATAGAGGATTTTTGTAGCAGGAAGAGTGTTATTCATTTTCCAGTCTTCAATGTTTTGATAAACTCGACCAGTATGATCAATAAATTTCTCTTCCTTTTCATCGTGAGATGGTTTAAATCGAAAAAGTGGCAGAGTGAATAAAGAATCAGAATAGAAAAAAGACACAGGAAGGATTGTAACAAAAACTTCGCGACTACCGCTAGCTTCCTGTTGTAGCTTAGCCACGATATGTTCGATTGGTTCAAGATTCTTTCCTTCATAAAAATATAAACAACCATCTCGAGCAAGACGAAAATGATCAGCAGTCCAATTTTTCAAATCAACATTAGGAACGAGAGAAAGAGAATAACCAATGGTGTTAATGAAATTAGCTCCTTCCAAAAGCTGTGACGTATCACCATTGGACAATCCACCTCTATTGAAATATTTCATTAAAGTTTGTCTACCAACAAGTTCCCTGAAAATTAAATTTATAATAGATAAACTTAGGTCTATATAATACAAAACTCCGTTAATACCATTCCTCACTATTTATAGGCTCGATTTCCATTTTTGATTACTTTTAAATTTCAGAACGCAATTCCTGAATACTGTAGCAACACAAAATATTTTTAAATATTTAAAAACAAAGAAAAAGCAAAATAAACAAAAATGTGGTGAGTTCACAAGAGAAGCAAAATTGTGTGGTGAATAAGTTTTTAACAGAAATGACATCAAAAACGGGTGTTAGATTTTTGGTATTAGGTAGCCTTAGTTTTGTTTCCGTGCTTTTATTTACATAAAAAAGTTCTTTCATAAGTCTTTTTTAACTTTACTATTCACCCATATTTATTTTAACAACTTTCAATGTTACATCTCATTAATAATTTTTATGTCCATTTTTACAATTTCTTAAATTGATCTAGATAGATATTTTTATCTAAAGATTCATTCTGTTTTGGTATAAAATCAATCTTCTTTTTAAAAATGTTTTCATATCTGTTCAATCCAGGTTGAAACAATAAATCATCTTCCAAGGTAATCAAAATTAAAATTTTTATTTATTANGACAGTCGGAAGGTCCATGGACAGTCGTAAGGTCCATGGACAGTCGGAAGGTCCATGGACAGTCGGAAGGTCCATGGACAGTCGGAAGGTCCATGGACAGTCGGAAGGTCCATGGACAGTCGGAAGGTCCATGGATAGTCGGAAGGTCCATGGGCAGTCGGAAACTCCACACCGGCCGGAGTAACTTAAAATTATGCGTTAGCATAATTTGAAGCTCCCCATGTGGAGCTTCCCCATCTCCAATTTATCTAAAGATTCATTCTGTTTTGGTATAAAATAATTCTTCTTTTTAAAAATGTTTTCATATCTGTTAAAATCCAGGTTAAAACAATAAATCATCTTCCAAGGTGATCAAAATTAAATTTTTTATTTATTTAACAATTATCTTAATCATTCTGTATTGTCTTGCCACCTCTAATTCCAAAAAGTTATGCGTTAAAAATATTTTTATAAAATTTTTAATTTCTGATTTAAATTTCTATCCTGGTGTGAACATTTGGATTGTTTTTATTTGAAACGATTGTTAACTCTTTTTTTTACCTAATTGTTCTGTTTTCATGCACGCTATTTAAATAATCTATGTTAAAATCATTTAATCATTGACAACATTTTAAAAATACATATGAAATTAGCAACGGTTACAAGCAATCAAATTAACAAGTGCTCATATGTGCCCAAAAACGAAAATTTATAATAAATAGTATTCACTAATAAATTACCTACATTATATTGTCATTAATTGATGCTCTAAGTGATATTCCATTCAAGTGGAATAGCTACACATAAAGTATATTTATTCATGTTCACAGTTCATTAAATTCTAATAGACATAATATTTCTATTTTTATCTCACAACCCCTTCAAAATTAGATGTAAACATATAGGATAATTTTAATATCGATTTATTCTTGAAAATATATTCTTAATCATCAATTTAATCGAGCTGAATTCATCAACAATTAAATAGCTTAACTTTGATTTAGAAAGACATTATGTGAGTTTGAAAATCCTTAGGATTTTCAGTGATTAATCACATATACCTATGTAAGATTGTAATGAAAAATGAATTCGTTATTGTCATAATATCTACGGAAGAGAACTTTCATCTAGCTTAAAAATCTAATTAATTCTAGATTAATCTCGCGTATATTGTCTACAAGTATTCATTGTAATATTCTCATAAAGGGAATTCAAGGAGGGAAGAATTAGTATATAATATGTTTTTCTATAAAGCTTTAACTTCATGATTTTACTTTCCTCATAAATAAATATACAAACCCTAAGTAGAGTTGTTTTCATAAATTTTAAATCTCTTCTTTTGTAAAGTTAAATTTTTCAACAACATTCTTATAATTTTAAAAGTATCTAAACTATATCCCACAAATGTTTGAATCCTTTTTTCTTTAAAATGAATTATAATGAATCACAAAAAATTTGCCTAGCGCTTTTGTCTGCTGGTTTTAAGTTCTTTTTTAAGTAAGAGGGGGAGAAAGAAAATAAGAAAGGAATGGTAATAATCACGTCCGTTTAAATTTTTAAAACATAACAAACCCATTTTATAAAAGTGCTTCGAAAGCTTCTTAGTCGATAAAACTTTTCAATACGAAAACAAAGCTTTCGTATTTTTATTTTTTGACAGTATTTTTGATATTTTATCCCTCGCATATCTTATCAAGGTAATTGAGAATTGAGTCATGGGAAAGAATAGTATCGCAACCTTCATTGTATTAATGAACACATCTGCATTCGACTAGAAATATACTTTTTTATGTTTGGTTATTGGATGAACAAATGAAAGAAATAGAAACAAAGAAACTAGAAAGAAATCAAAATTTAAGGAACACGATTACTTATGAGTTTTCATAATATGGTGTCTGCAAGAGGAAATAACATTAAATGAAAATGTTCTGATCATTACGCTTTTGTACTGCTTATGAAAGATAACGACAGTCATAAAATTTAACACAAAAATAGATAATTAATGAAAACTTAATTACATAATCTCACATCCCTTCATTTTCTTTGAGGGAATATTTGATTTTAAAATTGTTTTTTTGAGTTTAGATTTTGAATAGAAATAATTTACGCTGATGGTGAGGATGATGCATGAGCGTTCTGGCGGCGTAAATCTGATTTTATCAGGCTCGTAACAATAGAACCAACAATGAGACAAGCAACCATGACTAGATTTGCGGTAATGTCACCAAAACCTTTTAAAATCTCAGAATAAAGGATAGTAAATGTGATTCCAAAAACTTGGGCGCCAGCGTTCAATAAACCGGATGAGGTACCTTCAGGTTCAGGATAAGTAAGTTCAGCAGCAAATTCAAATCCTACTGGAAGATATCCTGTCATGAAGAAGCCAAGAAGTGCTGATGTTAAATAGACGATTGAAATATATCCAGTGTTAAGGGTGAATGTATAAATCACCATTCCAATCATTGTACATATGTAAACACCAAGAGTTGTTTCCCTGTGCAAGATACAATAAAAGTATTTGAAATTGACATTTTGATCAATTATTAACTCTCACTTGAATCGATGAGTTTTATCCAAAATAACGCCACAGCAAACGCTTCCCATCATACCAGCAACAACAATGCACAAACCAATTTGTCCCGCATCCTCTTCGGCCCCGGGATAGTGAAACAAAACGATTTGATTTAGCAATGTTGAAATTGCGTAAAATACTCCAACTATGAAAACAAGAACATGTTTGAGTTACTTTGTATTGATTGAAGTAAAATAAAAAAAGATCAATGCTTTATATTTTAGTTAATAAATATGCAATTATTTATAAGGAGTCAAAAGAATATATTTTAGTGATAGTTCCTTTGATTATGTAGCAATGATGTTAAAAATTTTTGAGAGATAATAAAAACATTTTATTTTATTTGAAATACTCACCGTTCATACCATACGAAACCAAAAGCATTGTGTAGTTGATGTTGAGAATAAGATTCTTGACAGAATGAAGAAATGGAGAAGACTGATTGGGTTTAGGTTGCTCAGCGATTGCTGCACTAGCACTTGGTGGTGTTGGTGGAGCCCGTTTAAAAACTATAAATGGGTTAACGAAAATCAACTTTTTTCCTTTAATATTAATAAGTTTGCGATATTTCTTACAGCAAACTATCATCAGAGCAAGAATAGTTGTAAATCCTGCGACGCAATAAAACATGAACAGTAGATCACGTCCAATTAAGTTTAGATCGTCATGATTTTTAACCAGCATTGGTGGAATAAGAAAACCTACAGCAATACCCAGCTGTAAAATATTAAAACTTTATATCTAGCTTTTTCTCCATTTCTTTACATGTATACATATCTTGGTATGTAAAGAGATGAATTCAATTAAATAAATTGCTTTTAAAATAAATAGCAGTGAAGAGTTTAAAAAAGTATCGTATTGGTATGAGCTCTTATCTACGAATAGTTGGTCTTTTGTAGACGAAATGAATTCATTTGTTATCAATCTACGAAGTTCATTTAAATGTTATCTTTGAATTTCCCTCAAGTTCGTCAACACTTGCAATAAATTCGACTGTGAAAATTCTATTTGTTTTTCACTTAAGTTTTAAAACCTTTTCTGAATTCTGGTTTGGTTTGAAGTTAAAATTTTTGAGTTTGCAAATCTGAAAGTTACTGGTTCTTTATATAATAGAATGAAATTTTCAGCTTTAACTACTACTTTTTTGATGGTTTTTATGCTGTTGTAGAAAAATAAAACTGAACAGTCATTACTTCAATTTATACACCATCCGATGCAGCAACAAAATGAAACATCGCATGAGTGGACGAAAATAGAAAAATCATTCAAGTAAAATAAATTTTGTAGTGAAATGGAAAATGCTGTGGCTGAAATGATCATATTTAATCTGTTGAAAAAATCTATGTGACGTAATATCTTAAGAAGCTCCTTCCCATTTTAATTTAATATCTCACTTTAGTGCGGTCGAGTGATGGAATTATTGAATAAAATTCTCCTTTACTAGATAGGATTATTGTGGTGAGACATTTGCTTACCCATTATTTTGCTGATTGTCTATTTATTTGATAAACATATTATATTCTTAGGTTTTGCGCATCTTGCAATATATCTTAAATGAAATTTATCCCAAAGGTTATGGCAATAGCAAGGAGTCTATACCCGAAAAAGTGATTTGTATTATATGATCTATAAGATTGGTTCAAAAAGCTTAGCAGCTGAATAGAAAGTTCAGATAACATTATTGAATGAAACATATCTTGAGCCACAACCCAGTTAATTTGAAGGGATTCGAATCACGTTGGTTATGATGTCTGAAGGCATATTTATTTAGTAGCTTTTGATATGATACAACAAAGCTCCTTCACGCTCTCATTCTAGCGGAAAAATGATTAAGAAAAGATATTCTGATCACGTACTTAACTGTTCTCAAAATTCGTGTATCAATAGAATCTGTAACAATGGCGGAAATGTGTAACGAGCTCATTTATAATAATTTGTTTGTTTTTTCCTATTAATCACAACAAATGACTAACAGGATCATGTTGAAATTCTATTATTACAAATGTAAGACTGAAATCAAAAAGCTCTTGATGAAAGCTGTAAACTTCTGAATAAATTACTTGAAGAAAATTCCGTTCCGATTCGACTAAAGATTTGTTTAAAGTTCAAAATAATGTAAAGCAATGTCTTGACCCTACCTACACCATGAAATGATTAGCTACCGACAGCAAATTGAAAATTTGATGAAATTTTTTTCTGAATTATTCGATAATGCTGAACTTTGATCACATACCATTAAATTTAACTTTAACAAAATTGGAGTAATTTACTGTATAATTACCTACTATGTAACCTATACAGTGTAAGTCGTTAAGCCATGAATTTGTAGAAAAACCTTCCTTATAGTAGTACATACCTGATTCCCAAAAACTCCAATACTGCAAGCAGATGAAACCTGATTAGGACCAAACCAGACTGCTGCTAATTTTGCTGGGAGAGACAGAATGAACACTTGTGACACAGCCACAATCGATTGACCAATGAAAGCGACATAAAACAGATCTGGTTGAACTCCCAAAACTTTCACCCATGCTCCCAGGCATGTACCCAAACAGCCAAAAATTGCTGCGATCCTTAAACCCTAAAGAAAACAATGAAAGATAAGAATGAGTGTCAATAAGTATCAATTTATTGTAAGAAGTGTCATGGTGTCAATTTATTTACGCTGGGTTTTCATGAATGATTGAATAATTTTAGGGTTGTAAGAAATAATTCAATTGATATTTCAAATATTCTGTATTGACATATATAAAATTAATCTTCTAACTGAGGGTCTACTCATATCTAATTAGGTAATTTTCATCGTTTAACTGATTTTTCGTTAAATCTCTTAATGAATGAAAATATTAACAAATTAATGTGCCCTTTTATGATGTAATATCATGTGAATGTTTGTAAAAGATTTAAGGTGCCGAACATCTTTCAGACGAAACAAAAATAATTAGGTAGAAAACTTTTCAACTTACAACAACAAAAGTACAAATCAGAAATGCTGATTGCAAGTTATGATCTTTCGATTATATTCACAATTAACTTATTATCAACGACTCCTTGAGAATCAGAAACGACACTATTATGACTTCCATCACGATTGATAATTTATTTCAACAGCTTTATAAATGATAAATTTCAATTTTAAAATTGTCTTATTTCCGCGATATTTCATAGAAAATAAGAGAATGCTTTATTTCATTTCAGATCGTAACGTTTCGTAAACACTCGTCGTGAATTGCCAATTTATCATTCCATAAATATTTCGCAAATCTATGCGCAATGTGGAATAAAAAGTGATAGAAATTTGTTATGTGTCGTTTGAATTAAACGAAATAAGGAAATTGAAAAGTAAATTTTTTTAAACAGCTTAATGTCATGCAAACGAGAAGCGTCAGAATTGTGTGATGACGCAAGGCCAAAAATTTATTAAGCAGTCAAAATTGAAGTTTCGAGCTTCCTTTAGTGATTTTGATTTTTAATAACTCAAAAATCCTTCAAAGATTTATCTGATTTTTTTTATATTCACGGTATTAGTCCTAAAATAAGATATTTAATTTATTTTTGCATTTTCTTATTACTTCTCTTCTTTTCTATTGAAAAATCTTACAAAATTAAAGATGTTGCCGCTATTATTTTAAAAACGTTAAAAAACTTTATCCACAATTGTGAGCGTACTTTTCTCTTATACAATTATCTTCTCTTATACAATTTAATTCAAATGGAATTCTGAATGACGCATAATAAAAACAACTTTTATTTAACAAATAAAGCGGATACGCGTCGTTATTGTAAGAAAAGGAAGAGCTTAAAAAGGGAGTATGTTTCAAGACAGAATAAATTAGATAAATGAAATGCGTTATAAAGACATTTAATGATAAGAACGAAGGAACATAGAATAGCAGATTTTTGTAGAATTTGGCAATATTTTCGCTTCAAAGGGTAACGTTATGCAGCAAGAATTGAAATTAAAGCGGATGATATTAGGAGATATTGCAATTGATCTCAATGTCATGTATCGTTTTTTTTGTTGCTGCGTCATTAATTGTATTTCATAAGTCAATGAATATTAAGATAGAATACAAAATTACTTCCATACCTAAAATACTTCGCTTCTACTACTCTCTATATATAAATTAATTTAGTAGTTTATTTAGTTTTCCGCTATATTTTGTTTTAAACTCAAGAAAGTATGATATAAGGGGAACTTTTGACTTAAATGGTGTTTTTTATTCCACATGAAGTTGCACAGAAAAACTCAAAGAAACATATAGAAGAAAAATCGTATCTTTCCGAAAATTTTCCAATACGAGCAACGAATGAGAAAAGAAAAATTATTTTTCTTCATCTTTATAAGTTTGGTAATTGGCGTCATTTGCTTTGTATATTTTTTATTCATATTTCTTCAACCAGCAATAAATTGGCTTCGTTTTGTTTTCCCTTTTCCTGATTTATTTTTCTGTCATAAAAGTATCTATAATAAAGTAGTAAATATTTACAAAATACTTACAAGCTTATCTAATATCCAGCTTCCTGGAAATACGAGAGGGATGTAGAGAATCATGTAAATCATTGATGTCCAATCGATCCATGTTGTTGATACTCCGTAGTATCTTGAAGATAGGGAACAAACAGAAGAGATAGTTTATATTTAAAATGTGTAGAATAGATATTAGCGAGCGGCAAAAGCGATAATTCCACTAAGGTTAACTTAAAAGTCACCTTATTGGAAACTTCCCATTTCAAGTTTTCTGTAAGGTGCCTCTGCGGTCGTATATTAGGCCCCACATGTAAGACTTCACGGAATCTGCTGAAGGCAAACTATAGGCATACAAAAGGAGCAGTTGTGTTACTTGGGTTCATGATGAAGAATTTATTTAGATAATTGAGACGCATGGGAGCAGATTGAAAAGGGATATATCACATTGCATCTCTGTAGAGATGTGAGATTAAGACTTTTATTTAGATATTCAAGTATAAATTAACTGATGTTTGGAGAGCTTGCGATTTGATTGCTTTTATATTCAATTTTACCAACAAGGAAGTAAACTTAATTATGCTTTGTAATACTCACTTCTCGATTACATTTGCAATAATTGAAAACTGTATCCATTGCATTGAGTTTGAGGCCGAATAAAGAACAAAAATTGCTAAAACAATCCATCTTTGTTTATAAACTTGGAATCCACCTTGAACAAAAAGGAACGTGATACAATATTGTACAATATTTATATATATATATGTATATGAAGGTAATTTTACGGTTTCCATCGAATAACGAAAAGTTCGAAAAAGAAATTTGCACATCTCCGTCGAGAATACAAGAATAAATCCTTCCAAATATTTCACAATCTTTTTCGCTCTGGTTAGGTCGTAAATACTCTATTAGCAATTTTTCTTTTTTAATTTCCCCTAAAAGTCCTACAAATATTTAACACTTATAGATTTTTTATGAGACGTGACAATAATTTCTTATTACATCTCTGAGTGGAAAATCTTTCAAAGTATTTCATTAAGTTTTTGACTTGATAAGTTTCAAAGTTTGTTCAACTGTATAACTATTTGTTCAATATTTTTCAATCTTTTCTATTCAAGGCTATGATGAACTTTTTCTGTTCTTAAAGTAATTCAACTTTATTTCATGTAGAAAACTTTCTCATCCTGAATATCCTACCTGATATTTCTTGGTTATCTCCAGGTTTAGCAGGCTTAATGAGATCTGTTGATTTGCTATTCGAAATATAAACGTCTCCAACGCTGTGTGAATGTTTGAGATCCATGCTTTTATTTTCTTGCATTGCTTGATTTGTATAATTTTATAAGCAATTTTATCAAAAATATTTTATATCTTGAGGGAAGGAATTTTTTTGTTCCTTATGAAATATATTTATTAGAAATTTATTGTCATCATTTATTCGCAATTCATGCTTTCATATGATAAAGGCTTATAAATAAAGGTGACAGTAGAACATATCCAGTTGATGCTGAATTGCTGATGCACAAATTTTAAGCAGGAGAAGAGCAGAAGACGGAAAAATCTAGGAAATGGAATGAGATTGTTGAAAAAGGTTGTCAGATGGATCAACAAAAGAAGTTTTGCTGCACAATTCAAGAGGCACTTAATTTAGTCTGTATTAAAGAACATTTATCATTCTCTGCGACGAAATTCTTTTCACATTTTTCAAGTTAGCAAAGAAACATTATTTAGTAAATATTTCTACTATACATATTTCACTTTTTACAGTTGGCTAAGGAAGTGAAATAAATTTCTTCACAGTATCCAATATGGAATCAGTTTATACTCTTAAAGAATTCATATCAATGAATTACAATTAATTGCTTATAGATTATTGTTTATAACTAACAAATTATCATCACAATTCCCATTCTGATTTATTACCATGACCAGTTGGATTTGGTATTTAAAGTTTGAATAAATTTCCCTCTCTAATTTCATTCACAACTTGTTCACGACTTCTTAGTCGTGAACGACGCATTGCGTCGTAAACACAATTGATTAAATATATTTTCAATGATACGCAATTGAAGTTTGTAGTACCTAACAAAAATATAAAATTTAGCTGTAAAATGAGAATTTGGCGTTTTTTCTACAAATTCTATTTCATTCGATTTTTTGCAAAGAAGAATGGAATTTTTATCAAAACCAAATTTTTTTTTCATATTTATCATTTATCTGCTTTATAGAAAGCATCTTGAAAATGCATTCAAAAATGTTATTTATTATGTTGTACGTCTTAATGGAAATCAAGTGATTGAATCAATGAAATTATTTTCTTGATTTCAACTGAGTTTGAATTTTTATGGGCGAGATTAAATGACAATTTAAATAAAGTCATCACGCTTAATCTTTTCTCTTCTCTAAAGCAGTGTACTGGCTTGTTTTTAAAAATTCATTTACAATATTGACATGGTTTTTAGTATTCAAAAGGTCACATCAAAAGAAGTATAAACAAGTTTTTTCTATTTTTTCTTATAAATACGAATTTAAAAGACTAGTAGACTAAGTAAAGAATCTCAAAAAATCTTTCTTAAAATTTTTACTTATGCTTTAATTTAACAGTAGAAAAACAATAACTTCATATTTCCACACACTGTTTTCCACATTATTTTTTCTATTAATCAAGATTTATATTTTACTTAGTGATTGTCATCACAAACATTATGTAAAAGCATCATTAGTACATATATTCACTGAAATTTCACTACGAATATCATCAAGCAAGTTTCTCTTGTCTCTATTTTAGTTTTTTTATGTTATTTTCGTTTTCATTGAGTAAAATTTCAAAATACGCATAACAAAAAGGTATTTGACAAAAATTTTATGAAATCCACTTCATATTTTTTTGTGCATTCTTCGCTCTTCATTTTTTATTTGATTGACAATGATGATATTGTTGCTTGAGGGATATTCACTATACAAAGTGTTTATTTTTGTTTTAATATTTATCATTTGATATCCCTTTTGTGTTTTAAATCCTTATTAAAGAAATAATTTATTCAAAATTTGATCATCAAACAACACTTACAGATAGAAAGAATTTTTCAACACTTTTATTCTTTTTTCGCTACTGAATTGATATTATGTCACTTCTGTTTGCATGAAAATTTGAAACGACCAGCAGTACTTTATGTTATCAATTGAAATAGCAGAAAATAAAATGAAAGCAAGTTTATTTGTCAACAGTTGAAACGCAACTGAAATTTAAGTGCTAAGATTCGAGCTACAGTTCATACAACGAATTTGATGTTTTTGAAGCTTTGCTGATGAGTCCAAAACATTCTGGAGCTGGAAACATTGGGACTCTCTCTTAAAATTTTTCTCGCTCGCATCCTTGTGACGTCGCATCATGGTTTTTTTTTATAAATAAAAGACTTACTGTTTAGGCAATATGAATGAAATGATTTTGAACACAACAAGATCAATTTATATCACACAACGGAAGCTATTTGAGGTTTTCTAAATTGAACAATTAAACGACAGATTCACAAATTTAAAATAATGAAATAGAATCACGTAAACTAGCGGAAATAAAATCCCAGATGAAATAAATCTTTTTTTTTATAGTTATTGCTGAATGTTTTTTATCTCTCAAGCATTTTCCAATGTTCACTGTTTTTCTTGTTGAATGATGAATTTGGAAGAAAAACAGAACTTGAAAACAAAATTTATTTACAGCTTCTTGTAGAGATGCTTTAAACTTCTGAAAGTACGAAATAATGACATTGCGACATCCACAGATAATATAAAAGTCTCTCTCAGCTCTTTCTGACTGTTACCATGAAACACATGAAGGTTTTTGTTTCTAGTATGTATACTTTTTCCCAAAGCTCAAATTGATTTTGAATATTTAGTACATTGAATACAGATGTGGCACTTAATATTTATTCCCGAAAGCTTAACACTTTCTAGTTTTTTCAGATATTTTTGACACAATTTCTGTTTAATGATAAAATTTCGCAGAGCCCTTAGAGTCAATTCCGGACGTATAATTAATTATTAACAAGATATCGCTACCTAGTTGATGTTGTTTAAAAGACATAAAAACTGTTCGTAGCTAGAGTCTGTTAGTTGAACTAATCTCCTTATTAGTTATAATGCTTCGACATAAGCAATTAATTTTTTTCTCTTTCTTTTACATTTTTTATGGTTTTGTTTATTAAAGAACAGATTTAATTAGCTTTCACAAAGCTTTTTTTAACAATCAACCATAAAATAGATTGCAGACGTCTTCGCCCAAATTGAAACGAAAATTAGGCATATAAATTGTTTTTAATCATTAAAAGAGTACAAAAAAGAAGTTCATATTTGCTTGCCTCCATTCAACAAGGATGCTTTTAGAACACCTTAAAATATGATAGCTATTTGATTTTGCTCTTTTTATATGAAATCTTATTCAGGATAACACAAATTACAAATTAGTCAGATTATATTTTTTGTACTCTGATACAATTTTCACAATAAAATAAAAATTGTAAATTTATGGCGTTGAAGACGAACATATGTCTAAGTTATTTAAATCAAACTAAATATAATTTATAAAAGGCAAAAAAAAAACTGATACACTTGTAAGTTTTATCGAATATATTCCACCTACCTATATAGATTATTTTGTAAAGTAGCTCTTGTGAGCTCTATCATAATAGATTGTGTCCAAAAGATAATATGTAAAATTCTCGCATTGTCACTTCTTCACAGTCCGTTTTTCGAATTCTAAACGATAACTTAAACATCTACATTATTAAAACTTTCAGGATTTTTTTATTCTTCGTAAGATTACAAATGATATTGCAATGATGAAATGACACCGTATTGGGAAGTAGAAATCTTATGATAGGAAGGAAAGGATATGTTGCAATTAGTTTTTTGATGTTTTATGGGAATATGTAGGTTGTAATATATATTTTTAAAGAATTCCTTTGTCTATCTATCAACTTTAATTTTTCTGAAATGTAAATAAAATTAAATTACAAGTAATAAATAGTTTTTTTTAGAAACGGTGATTTTTATGAATATTTTATTTTGTCAACATTTTATATTTGTTTTTTTATCCACTCAGTTTATTTGTCAATAGCAATTTGAATTAATTATTGTTCATTATTGTTCTACTTACCTAGCTATAATTGTCAAAACTAAGTTTACAATACAATTATAACAGTTGGCTTTCTTTTCATTCTTACATTTGCATTATAGAAAATTGTGCTTTCTATTTAGTTTTAGATGAACATTCAATAAATATGATTTTCTTTCGACTTTTCGGTTTATCATTGCTTAAAAATAGAAATTGTGGAACAAAATATGAGAAAAGTTTTCGCTTAATCAACTTATTTTGGATCATCGTCAATTCTTCTACATTTATTTATCTCGTTGTTTCACCATCATCGAAAATATTCGCTAGAAATTATTCACAAATATCACATATTATGGAAATGGCTAATTATCTGTTTGCCTTATTCACAAGCTTCATTATTCTTATTCACGTACAAACAATTAAAAAAGAAGATTTGCTTTGGTATGAAAAACTTCATCAATTAGACCGCCTTCTCTATGATAAGTATCGTGTGAAAATAAATCACTCTGTTATCAGACGTTGGAACTTGTGGAAAATTGGGATAACATTTTTTTGTCCTGGTGGTTGCACGGTATTAAAAATGATTCATGCAACACAAAGCGATAATTTTACTCTCCCTTTTTATATTCACAACTATTTTTTGAAAGCAACCATTAATCTATACTTCATACAAAGCTTTATTCGAATCGATCTTATCAGGTTTAGAATTGAAGCTACTCTTGAAGCTATACAAAATTTTGTGAAACGAAATACACTCGAACGGAATCTGGCTCTGGTTGTAGACGCAACAAATCATCACCATAAGTTTCCGATACCGAAGATTGATGATGCAAATGATGTTCTACTGATTAAAAAGTTCTATGGAATTCTCTTTGAATTAATGAAGTTGTGGGAAAGTATTTTCGGTTGGCCAATACTCGCAAGCTTTTCATTTTCATTCATCGACTTGACACTGAATTTATATTGGTTTTTCAAATCCATTCTCAACATTGATAAGTCAATACGTGTCATTGATTGCTTATTGGAAATCATTCCTTTTGTTATCGTAATCAGTTGTCTTACTTATTCATCTTTCGATGCAAACAAAAAATCAAGAAGTGTTATTAATTCTATTGTAAAATTTGGAGCAAACACAACAAGTATTAACATTCATATGATGAAGGAATTCCTTACACAAATTTATCATGAGAGGATTGAAAATACCGCAAACGATTTTTTTGTTGTAGATTTTCATCTGTTTTCTTCGGTGAGAACATTTTGATATTTTCTGATGTTTCAATTAAAGTTCAATAAATAATTCGAGGAATTCAAATTTTTTTTAAAAAAAGGTACCCAGTGAATATTGATTAAATTTGTTTCTTAGATTCAAATAAATTTTATAAAAAAGAATCCCTTTTATTTATGCAATACTCGTGACTGGATTATATAAAAACGTTCTCAGTTGTTATTCTCGTTAATACATTTTCAAATGCTCTCTTTTTCTTTTATACTTCCAGATGCTGAATGCTATTGTGACATACATGTTGATACTCATACAATTTGCTATAAGTGAAAAAACGGAGAAATAATGCTTGAAAGCATTGATGTCAGCACATGTTGAACAAATTGCGGAAAAGGAAGTTTTTGAATTTTCTTCAATTTGATGTAAATTGTGAATTATTTTATAGATTTTACTTTCTGGAGACTTGAATATTGTGAATTGTTAAATCTTTTTTCATCTTCATGTCATTTCATGTTAAATTTTGAAAAATTTATATTCAATAGAAGTTATATTATGTATTGGAGCTTTACTTGGAATTGCTTAAGGATTTTCTAGATTCGATTGATTAAAATCTTTCTGATTAAAGTAAATATCTTCAAATCTAATAATTATTGACTTTCTAATCTTTTATTCTCATATACCAATTTAAGACACGTGATTTTTAAAGCAAAGCATATATTGTTACATGTTGAGTTGAAAGAAAAATAAAGTTATCCTAATAAATTGAAAAAAGTTGGTAGCATCAAGTGAGATGTTCGATTATTTTTTGACATTGAGTCAATGTAAATGCAGAAAGCATCACATGATGTTGTTTCATTATTCTTCTTTATTTCTCTCTTGATAATCGTGCACCTCTCTCTAATAGCACGTTGTTAACAAGCCAGCTCAGCACACTCATACGTTTAAACATTCCTTTCTTTCAATTTTTGAGAGTCAGCTAAACGTAGAAGTTTAAAAAAAACTATTTTTATTCCGCGATGTGTTTCTCGTTCAAATGTTTACTAAGAGTAAAATAACACCATACCACGTAAGCATCGTAAATGTGTGCGATCCTACTAAAAACTAAAAGTAAAAAAATAAAAAAAAGCAAAACAGAAAGACGAAAAGACGGAAAGAGTGAAAAATGCTGTATGCTAAGCATATTTCTCCTTTATTTAATAATATTTTGTGAACAAGTGATCAGTGGCAATAAGCATTCAGTGTCAACTTTACTGTGCTACGGCATCGTAGCATGAAATTGTCCGCCTATTTGATAAGGTTAGATAAAATAAAACTTTATTTCACTTCCAATATTCAGATTTATGCTACAGATAAGAATAAATAGTAAATGAGTTGTTCTTCTATTCGAAAAGATGATCAACATTTCGATAGAGACTTTCATAATAATCAGTGAAGTCGTTAGCCATAATTCAATCAAGCAAGAGTGTAAGTCAGAATGAAAGTATTGAACAGCCAAGATAATCAGCGACGAATCAAGAAACATCTCAGCATTTAGATTTTTATGATTCAATTTCGCAATTCCGTAGTTTCAGTGCTTTGAGTAAATGAATCAACTGTTTCTCATGACCTTAACAATTTCTACCAATAAATATACAACATGCGATCGGCCTAATGTTGACATCTGTTGTATTCTGAATTCTTTTAATTGAATCAGTTTCAATTAGATGACAAGAGAGTTCACATTTTTATGTTCTTTACAGATCGTTTTTAACCATCATTCCGATCAGTTGAGAAAGTGCAAAAGTGATTGAAAATAATGGAAAATTCCAATGGATCTGCAGTAAAATCTTTGGAGAATGGGAATTTATCAAATGGAGAGGTTAAGACTTTAGAGACCAGCAATGAAAAGAGGAAACGTACAATTTCATTGATTATCATTTACTTCACATTGTTTTTACAATCACTAGGATTAGCTATAGCAATGACAGGTGTCTGGCCCTTTCTCGACAAAGTGAGTTAACTTTACTTGTGGTGATAATTTTTTTTACTGATTATTCGCTTACATTAGCTCGACCCGCATGCCGGAAAACCTTTCTTCAGTCTCATACTTGCAGCCAATCCACTTGGACAATTCATTCTATCGCCAATTCTCGGGTATTGGACAAATAAAGTGCCATCAATAAGAATTCCAATCATTACGTCTCTTGTGATGTTCTGCGTATCAAGTGGATTGTATTCGTCACTAGATTTGATTGAAAGTGGGGTTAAATTTTGGATGCTTGTCGTGAGATTTTTTATGGGTGCAGCTTCAGCTAATGTTGCTGTTTGTAGAAGCTACATTGCAGCTGCAACCAAACTTGATGAAAGAACTTTTGCTCTATCAATGGCTTCACTTGCACAAGTTTCAGGATTTATTGTGGGCCCACTTTTACAAGCTGCATTCACACTTCTTGGTGACGGAATAAAAATATTCAAATTTTTTCCTCTAAGCATGTATACAGCACCAGGATGGGTAAACGTCATCCTTGGGGCATTAAATATCGTAATCTTCTTACCGCAATTCTTTCAAGATCACAATATTGCAGTTCGCGAACAGATGCTAATTCAAGGAAAGGAAAATGCAAAAGAAACATGGAAATCAACTAAAATTGATTACCTCGTCGCATGGTCGTTGATTTTCTCATACTTTATTGTCGCCTTCAATCTCGTTATTCTCGAATCACTTGGAACTCCATTAACGATGGAACAATTTGCATTTACAAAGAAAGAAACTCTCAAATGGAATGGAATTTTAGTTGGTGTCGGAGCTTTAATATCATGCATTATTTTCTGCCTTCTTCCTCGCTTGTGTCGTATATTTAGAGAAATTGACATATTGATCTGGGGCGGACTTCTGATTATGACTGTTGGTAAATTCGTATACATTCCTTTCCGAACTGAATTGCCACAATTGTCGATTGAACAGAATTTCACGATGGAAAATGGAACAGTTTTTGTGAATTCAACATTAGGTTGCCCTGTAGTTGAGCAGCCTTGGTGTGAATGGACTCCAAGACTTGGTATACCTGAGTTTGTTGTTGGATATTTCATGGGAGTTATCGGGTGAGTTTGGTGACCTTTGCAATTTTAAACCCCCAATTTTTCTTATTCTCAACTTTAATTTACGATTTTTTAAAAAAGTAAAATTTAAGAAATATTTATTGAATTCTTTTATTTTTCATTTATAACCACAGGTATCCAGTCGGAGTCACATTAATTCAAACATTGTTTTCAAAAATTCTTGGGTCCAGACCTCAAGGAACTTGGATGGGAATCATGCTGGCAGCGGGGTCAATGTCTCGCATTATTGGTGAGTGAAAATGCAAAAAGAATTTTTTTTGTAAAATAAATAAATCTTACATGTTTATTTCATAGGTCCTGTGATCATTGTTGGTGGATACACTAAATTTGGAACTATTTGGACATTCTCCGTTACAACTATTGTTATGATTATTCCAATAGTTTTGCTATATATGTTGCGCAACAGAGTAGTTGGAAATGGCAGTCAGAAAATTGAAAACCCAAATAATATAAACATGACTGATGTAAGCACACAGCAACCCAAAGGTTAAAATTGTAATAATAGTACTGATATTGTTAGTAATTTGTAATGTTATGAATTTTCATTATTTTCTAAAATAATTTTAATATAAATACTGAAAATTTTCTAATCCCGTCCAATTAATTCATGAGAACTTTATAAAACAATTGTGATCCATGGCTTTTTCAAATTTCATTCGAATAAAGTTGATTGATTGCTTAGAATTATCTCATTTCAATTGATTTTTTTTTATTCTTTTCATTTCATAATTTGTAGTGGAAAAATAAAGATCATCGCTTTATCAGAAAAAACAATCGCATTAAATTGGAAAAGATAAAACGAGCCGTACTTTTCTAGTTAATAAATAGATAAAATTATTTTGAGTTTATTATAGCATACCTCCAGCAAATTTTCTCAATATCTACCTGATTTTTTCACTCTTTTACGGTCATATGATTTACTTTATTGCGAAGTTTTGTGACATCAATAAATAAATCACACCTGGGATGATTTGTCGAANTGCTGCAAAAGAAGGGGGAAAATGATTCCTGCTGTGACATTGAGAACTCCAATGTATTCATTTATATTGGCACACAGAACTGGAGTAGATGTTTATATGTAAGCATGAATTTTATTCACTAAATTTTTGAAGTTGTTGAAAATTACCTTAATAATTCAAACAATGAAAGTTATAATTTTTATTCTAAGTTTTGTTTTTTTCTTTTTGACTAAATACTTTCGATTCCTTCCGAATTCCCGATAAATATACCTTGAATGTAAAAATGTGAATCCTCCGAGCGTTTCATAGGAAAAGAAAATATACTGAAGGAATTTGAATGATAAAAAGATTCAGATTCATCGTTGTTGGATGTTTCAATGACTAATGAAAAACATTCAGCATCAAAAGATTTTCTGGAGCAAGCAACATTTGTATCATTCATGGAGAACAAAGCGGATAAAACTCTGATTCCCAAAATGCTTCAAATCGTTTTTTTACTTTAAGAAGTTGAAGAAGACTATATGAAGCATATTTTTGCTGAAAATTGTTCATCTCGGAAATGGGTATAAATGAGTAATAAAGTCTCCCATGTCCGAATTGAGAAATATTAATGAAAGTGAGGTGAATTTTTAAAATTAAAAAGTAATAGATATAAATATGTATGATGTAAATCAAAAATCTTTTGAAAATTTTTAATTTTGACCGCTCTCTCATACATGCAAATTCCAAGAAAAACTAAGCAAATTCTTGGAAAATGGTCATTTTTTCATCATTTAGATGCATGCAACAAAAGCGCTACGATGAATTACCCCTTGAAAGTTATCACTCTACGAGAGGAAGAGAAAAGGAAATCAAAATTAGCATGAAAATAAAGCAAGAAAAGGAAAAGAGAAAATAAATAAAAAATAGCACGAAAAGCTTTTTTCTCATTTTAGGCGCAATAATCAAAGATTTCAGTGAATAGATACTTCATTTTTCATACTCATTTAAATAAAAATTATCGTTTGCTCGAAACTTTAAATCGATGACTTTTCGCTATTCATCATTTTCTTGATATTTACTTTCAGTTTTCAGCTTTTTTACACGCTTTCTTCGTTAATTATTTATTTTCATTCATAAATATTTTTTGTTCCTTGACCTTTATAGAAAAATAAAACATCTTCATACGAAATAAAAGGAAAATTGTCAATGCAATTCAAAAAATAATATTTAGATGATGTCTTTTTGATAATGTACCACGTCGAAGGTTGTTATGCAAAACTACAGTAAAAGTTATATCTAAATGTTTCAAAGCAACAATCATGTTTTCAAAACATAATGACTGATAAGAAATGCCATGAATGTGATGAAAAGGCTGAAGAAACAGTCAACGGAGTTATCAAATTAAAATTTTCTTAAACTTTCATTTTTATATTTTTTCTTATTTTAGAATTCGAATTTGCTACATATGTGCAATATTACTTCTATGTAGTGAATGAACTGGACTATGCTTGTTTGGAAGTTGTTGAACAGCGTGTAACGCACAGAATTGAATTGATGAGAGAATCTGATTAAAAAGACACACTCAAATTATGTTTTATTCACAATTTCTGAAGCTGTGTTGTATTTAACCACAAGCTAATTGCTAATAAAGAAAATTTCTTTTTTATTTTTAAATTTAATAAAATGTCAGAATAATAATTTGACAATACAAAGCCCTTTCACAATTTTGATGCTTTTAAGAAATTATTATCCCCGTGTTACTTTGGATCCAATCAAGGAAGCCTAGATAAAAAAATTTAAGAAAACATCAAAATTAATTGAATAAAAAAAAAAATATAATTTACTAGAAACTCGTGCAAAGCCAGTTGGGTAACCTCTTTGGCACCCGTTGTCACTTCCAAAACTCACGATCCCTACTTGAACTTGTCTTCCACCACTTGTTATAGTCAAGGGACCACCACTGTCGCCTCGACACGTAGATCGACCGTTAGCTCCACTTAAACATATATTACTTGTGGTTATAATGGGTCCATATGTTTTTGTACATTCGGCTTTAATCAAATGGTTGAAAAAATTAATTTTTTAAGGAACTTTCTTTTATTGTATTCTCACCATTGCTGATAATAGGAGCGTTGATGTATAATAATTTTGTAGAAATATCTACACTTGCGTCATTAACTTTTCCCCTAGAAAATCAGTTTTATACATATGTAGTGATTTTTTATGACCTTTGTTAATCTTACCATCCAGCAACTAATCCTATCGTATTTGTCAAGTCTATATTAGCCATCGATCTTGCCGGCAGAGCGATTGGTTGTATTGCTGAATTGAATGATATCGGTTTTCGTGAGGTTTTTACGATGGCAATATCATTCAAATTTGTAACGCTGTTATATTTAGAATGAACTATTACATCTGAAGGAAAAATTTCTAGCTCATATGGCGGATCGTCATTTACGATATCAATGATTCCAGCAAGTATATCGGCTGATGAAAATCCACTAAAGCAGTGTGCTGCAGAAAGGGAAAAATGTGTCGACAAAATTGATCCTCCACATATCGATTGACCATCTTTTGTATATACAAAGAAAATGACTTGATAAGGAAACTGATAACGGACAGCTTGAGTTCCACCTTAAAACGTCAATTATAAGAATAGTTCAGTGAGCTGATAATAAAGTATTTTTAAAACCTGAAATTCTTCCATTTAACTTTACTAAGTGATCACTATCCATAAATTTAGCTGGCCAACATAATGAAGCAGAAATAAATAGAGAGATAATCCAAAGTAGTCTCAACATTATGAAATTAGATTTTATGTATCACAAATTAAAAGTTGATGATGCTTACAGATGGAAGGCAACTAAGCAACTACCTATATATGGTGAACTTACAGCTTTATTCTATTTCTACATTTCATTATCATGAGAAAGAAAAAATAAGATTCGATAAGATAGAGGCTAAATCCCTAAGAATCCGCTTCAGATATCCGCTTATTTCAATGTATATATTTGTTTACAATCAAAAGGTTCTCTTTCAAATAGAAAATATGTAAGCACTCCAACTTCACAAAGATATCTTTTAGAAAAAAGAAAGCGTTAGGCCATTCGTTTTCCAATTGATGAATATTTTGAGGAATTTTGTTGTTTATATTTTTTTTTAAATTTTTTTTATTACTTTCTGAACTTACTACTCAATCGTTATTGAAGTTTAAAAGCTAAGACATGATAAATTTACATTTTCACTAGATCTCAAAAAATTATTATTTTCAATAGATAATAGATACAACGTATTTTAAACCTATAAAGAAAAGCTTTTTAACGTGTTTTTTATTTAAAATATTCACCACTTATAGACTTTCAACAATGCAATGAAACGAAACTGAAAATGGACTTCTTGAATAAAAGTAAATAAACAACTTTATATGAAAAGGCTATTGAACAACGTTAGATATAATTTATTGAAAAATAAATAATAATAAAATAGTTTAAATCAAGAGCTTTTGAGAAATATGAAATAAGCTCAGATTATATTTTTATAAGTAAGAAATCTTAAAACATTATCGAGGAAAATTCATTCAACTCAAGAAAAATCAATGTAGATATTTATATCTATCTCGATCTATTAATTCAATATTTTACTACGTTAGGAAAACTTCTTTAATTCATTCGAAATATTAAATGCATTTAAGGAGAAAATACGCAAGAAAGGAAGCTATGATACCATTGATTCTTCAACAGCCTGTTACATGTTGATGTCATAACATTAACACAAACCACGTAAATTCCCAAGGTGTGAAACAGTTCATCGTTCAAACGCGTTTTATTCATTAGCGAATGTAAAGTAGTAATCAGAATTGAATAAGCTCTTTCAGAATATTATTTATTTTAATTTTGAATAACCTATTATTAAATATAACTAAATACTAATAATAATAAAACATATCTACTTGATGTAAACACAAAAAAAAGTATTCATTCTGATCAAAGCGATAGATCTTTCGGTGAGTTTCTGAAGTATTTAGATTTAAACTAAAATTTCTAATGATATTAGATTGATCTTTCTATTAGAAGCTGCAGATGCTTTTTTACGTTCTAAGAATTGATGAAACCGCATAATCATCGATTTTATATTATATCTTTGGATGTTAGATTTCCAGTGAACTTTGGAGGTTTCTGAAAGACGAGTTTCAAATTTTCAAATCTAAGTTGAATATTAAAAAAAATACTTTAGGATTATCTAAAAATAATACTGCTCATGGTCGCGGGGGTCCAATTTGTTATTTAATATAATTATCCAGAACTTAACTAAAAAATAGTCTATTACTGTAAACACTATATTTATGACATATTGTGTTGTCTTTCTGAATATGTGAAAAATAAAATGTGTCCCCTACGAAGAGAACCTTTTCTTTCTTATTTTATCCGAAATTCAAGTTTTTATCAGATATTTCAGTGCGTCGCGTACAAGTCAGAAGTACGATTGTATAGAACGTGTTCTATTTCAAAAGTAAATTCATAAGTACAGAATAGAAATTTTAGCAAAATATTTGAGTAAGTAAGAATAATACGAACACGTTAAATATTTGTAAGCAAATTTTAAGATTAAAAAAATATACATTTAAAGCTTACAAAATAATTATATCGTGAATTGAAATTCTTTTAAAACGCTTTAAGAATGAACGAGATGACGATTGCATTTTAGCTATTGTAAAGCAATTAAAAAGCGCCCAGCTTAAGGTAACACGTTCATAATGTTAAAATATTTATTCTTCAAAGACCTCATGGATTTATCTTATCAAAGCATGTCTGGAGAAGATATGAGAACGACCCATTACTACAGCTTATCACGCTGTTCATACATGATGTCTGGCGTTTTTTGTTCTTTGTATTCCCCCAAAAAAAATCATGATGACTAGAGTGTCAATTACAAAAATTATTTGACTTTAGCCAGGTAATGTCGTGAAAACTTAGACATGCAGATGATTTAAAAATATTAAAACTTTCATTGAAGGCACTACACAATTTTTCGTATTTTAAATATTAGATATAATTTCATTTTTTTATAAAATGTTTTTCATTTCGCAACATTTTAAGAAAATTAATAATAGTTTTATATACCTACATATGTACTTACAAATATCAAAAGGTAAAAGAAGGTTTCATTAAGATGCGTAAGCAGGGGATTTCATATACACATATGGGTATTTGAAAAATTGTAAAATATTTATTGATTAAAAATCTTTAAACTTAAATCAAACTTATAATTCTAATTATGAAAGGTCTACACTAATATTTTTATTTTATACATGACTCATACTGTATATAGGAATCTTATCTTATAAAATTAAGAGTTCAAATACATCCCCACAGAGCTTCTACAGACAGTCATGCTAGATCAAGTCGCTTTAGTGTTGGGAATTAAAAAAGCGATGTAAATGAAATAATAATCCAACTGCGAGTTTGATAACGAATTAAAAACCGGATTAGAGCAGATCAGGGATCAAAAGTATATCAATAACAATTCCCTTGACAATTTCAATTTTTCTGAAATGTCATTATTTTATAATAATTACAGAGAAAAAGAATTTCAAAATGCGCCTTTGATATCGAAGCATTTTTAATTAGATTTTATGATGAAACTAAGCAATATAGGTAATCCTGATTTGTGATCAATGAATAGCAAATTTTTAGAAAATGAAAATTAGAAATAAATGATGAATCTGATGAGTCTCTAAAAGAGTTACGAATATGCAATATCCATATGAATATTTTTGTTGTTGATGTTGAAATTAGTTTTAAACGAAGTTTTAGAACATATTTTTTAATTGAAACATACAATTATCACACTAGACACTCGGATTGATTCGTTATCTCTCGTGTTTTGATAAGAAAAAAAAAGTACTGCATTCGGAGAATACTGAGTAGAAAGTACTATGAATATAATCAGTTTGCGTCGGAACTTCTAATATAAGAGATTGACTTTAAAAATGTTCATTGAAATAACTGGTTTTACACTTAGCATTTCAGAAAGACCGCTGCTATATCAAAGAAATCATTTTCGACCTGAGAGCTTGAGTGAACCCTTCGAATTGACACATTATAATTATTCAAAACAAGCTGATCAGTTTAACTATGTTCCAAGAATAAAATTAACAATATCACCTGAAAGTAGCCATCACTTTGGTCCATCGTCAGTTATTATGAAAGAAAAAAATGATCAATTAATTTTAGACAGTCATTTAAATATGGAAAAAATGTCTAATGCTAAACAAATCTGTAGATGGGAAAATTGCTTTCGGTAAGTTTTCATTTTTATAAAACAGACAGATATTAAAGGAAGAAATTTTATTGAGTAAAAAATCCTTCCCAGTTTTTTTATCAATGTTTTAATGAAACTATTAGGACGTGTTACACAGTCTTGTGATAATTTTTTTCTTAAAACTTTTAAAATTTTCTTAAAACAGAATTTTCGAAAATTTGGAAAAGCTTGCAAATCATATAGGTACAACGCACAGCTCAATTGGATTGAACAATCTCTATTACTGTAAATGGGAAGGCTGCCAACGTTCTGAACGTGGTTTTAACGCTCGTTATAAAATGCTTGTGCATTGTCGTACACATACGAAAGAAAAACCTCATAATTGTACCTTTCCTGAGTGTAATAAATCTTTTTCAAGGGCCGAAAACTTAAAGATTCATATAAGATCGCATACATTGGAGAAGCCATATAGATGTTCGTATCCTGGATGTTTTAAGGCATACAGCAATTCAAGTGACCGTTTTAAGCATAGTAGAACACATTTCAATACCAAGCCTTATCTTTGCAAAATTCCTGGATGCTTGAAACGTTATACTGACCCATCATCATTACGCAAGCATGTTAAAAATTTTAATCATGATAATCTAGGTCAAAAAATTAAAATCTTGACAAGTAATAAAAAATCTATGGATTTAAAATTTATCTCGTCTTCAAATCAAATTGTCAACAATTTTTGTGATTCATTGAATATTAAAAATATTAATTCAGTCTCAACTTGTACATCTGACAATTGTGCTAGCAACTTCTACAGAATGCAAACTTTAGTTCTGGATGAGCCTTTAGATTTAAGTTTAAAGCACAACAAATAAAATATTTAACACTTAAAAATGATGTTTAATTAATGATCCATCCACTCACATGTATGAAAGTATCGATTAATATGGATAAATTCATAGATTTCCAAAAGTAACAAAGAGATGAAAGTTAAATGTCATATACCTACAGATTCAGAAAGTGGTAAGTAAAGTTTAAAATAAGTTTTGGGAAAATATAATAAAACATTTTTGTAGCAGTTGACATAACACATTGGTGAATTTTTTCCAACTTGTGTTGAAGAATGTACGAATTGTGTGAATGTGTTGAAAAATGTTTCGAAATTTTCACCACGTTCCATTTTCCAGAAAAACATTTGCGATTGCGTCGTGAGTCATATTTGATGCAAAAGTGAGAGTTTTTAAAGATTCTTATAAGAAAATAATGGCAGTGAAAAATTAAAGTATTAACAAGGAATAATTCCCTATTGATAACATTATAAAGTTCGAGAAAATCTTCAGGATAGACTGATTTGAACAATTTTATTGTGCTTTTTGTTCCAAAAGATCGATGATTTTCAAAATCTAAATTTTTTAGGGAAAAAATAAATTCGTCTTAAAAAAATTCAAAGGAAAATTGAAAAAAATAGTCAAAATGCCACCAAATCTTGCTGATAATTGCAAAATCAAGGTTGCCGTTCGGGTGCGACCATACAGTCGAAGAGGTAACATTCAAAAGTAGCAAATTAGTTAAAAACTTTTCATATTGACTTTTTACTGATCATGAAAAATTCTTCAATTTTAAATCAATAATTTTTTTTGCAATAGATTTGATTTGCTAAAATGAAAATAAAAAGTGTATTTGTACACTTAGTATACCTTTAAAAGATAAAAAGCAATGCGACAGTAAAATCATATCATCGATTTATTTTTAGATCCAATAAATGTTTTGATGAATTTTTTCATTCACGACTGTGATGGAATCCATGATTTTTATTATTTGTAGTAGAAAGTCATAGAAGGTTCGAGGTCATCTAAAATAATTTCATCTAGAATAAGTAGGAAGTAGAAATTCTGCAATCTTTGTAGAAAAGTTAAGATGCAATGTACATTTTAATTCTCTCCTTACATAAAATCACGTTAAAAAGTTAAATTTATTTATGGGATAATAACAATTTCCTTGCTTTTTTCTCCTTTTGATAATCAAGAACTCGAATTGGATAATGAAAATGTGATAGAAATGAAAGGTCAACAAACAATTTTGAAACATCCTGATAGCTTAGAAAAGATGGATAGGTAAATATTTTATACATTTGGCTATATATCAAAATTGGGTTCTTCAATTCAAGAAAATTTCGAAATTAAAATAGAGGAAAAACATTTAGATTAAAAAGAATAATTAATTTCATTGATTTCTTCAATATTTCAAAAATTATATAGGTAACAATTAAATTAAATAACTTAAATTTCAATTATTTTTACATCAGGAAACAACCAAAATTTTTCGCATTTGATCATTGCTTTTTCTCAACTGATCCAAAAGCCCGCAACTTTGCATCACAAGATATTGTTTTCGATTCAGTCGGTCGAGATATCCTGGACAATGCATTTCAAGGCTATAATGCGTGTATTTTTGCATATGGGCAAACTGGTAGGTTCTTTTGTGATAAATATCAGATTCTTAAAGATAAAACTTTTTAAACTAGTGTTCTTCTTATTTAATTAATTACCTATTTAATTTCTTTATTGTTATAGGTTCAGGCAAATCTTATACGATGATGGGAACGGTGGAAAACAAAGGCATAATTCCAAGGTTGTGTGACTCCTTGTTTGAGTCAATAAATGAGAAACAAACCGATGAATTGAGTTTCAAAGTAGAAGTCTCTTATATGGAAATATATAATGAGAAAGTACACGATTTGCTTGATCCAAAAACTAATAAGCAGTCCCTAAAAGTTCGCGAGCACATTGTTTTAGGACCTTACGTAGATGGACTTTCTCAATTAGCTGTGACATCATTCGAAGACATTAATAACTTAATGACGGAAGGAAACAAATCTCGAACTGTTGCAGCTACAAATATGAACGCAGAGTCAAGTCGGTCACATGCAGTTTTCTCCGTAGTTCTTACACAAACATTGAAAGATACCATATCTGAGGTAACTGGGGAAAAGGTATCGCGTATATCTCTAGTAGATTTGGCTGGAAGTGAACGTGCGGTGAAAACTGGTGCAGTTGGTGATCGTCTCAAAGAAGGATCTAACATTAACAAGTAAAATATATTCATTTATTTTATACATATGGATTAGTTTATAAACAAATTTAATGCTAATATTTTCAGATCACTTACAACACTTGGATTAGTGATCTCAAAACTTGCTGATCAAGCAAGTGGAACGAAAAATCGAGACAAGTTTGTTCCATATAGAGATTCAGTATTGACATGGCTTTTAAAGGACAACTTAGGAGGCAATTCAAAAACAGTGATGTTAGCAACAATTTCGCCAGCTTCTGATAACTATGAGGAAACACTTTCAACTCTTCGTTATGCAGATCGAGCAAAGAGAATTGTGAACCATGCTGTTGTTAATGAAGATCCAAATGCTCGTATAATCAGGGAATTAAGAATGGAAGTCGAAACTCTGAGAGAAATGCTGAAACATGCAACAGCGGGATCACCAATGGGAGATCGAGTAGATATTCATGACAAATTAGAAGAAAGTGAAAATTTGATGAAACAAATTTCACAAACATGGGAAGAAAAACTTGTAAAAACCGAAAGAATTCAAAGTGAGAGACAACAGGCACTTGAAAAGATGGGAATAAGTGTTCAAGCAAGAGGAATTCAGGTTGAAAAAAATAAATATTATCTTGTGAACTTGAATGCCGATCCATCTCTAAATGAGCTACTCGTGTATTATTTAAAAGAATATACTTTAGTTGGTGGACGAGGAGCAAGCACGGAAAATCAGCCTGATATTCAACTTTATGGTCTGGGAATTTTACAAGAACATTGTATTATCACTATTGAAGAAGGTGATTTATTTATGGAGCCAATTAAAAATGCACGTTGTTTTGTCAATGGATCAAACGTCTCGAAGAAAACGATACTTCATCATGGTGATCGAATATTATGGGGAAACCATCACTTCTTTCGAGTTAACTGTCCTCGATCATTACATAATAATATGAATATGTCATCGTCAGAGCCACAAACACCTGCCCAAACAATCGATTATAATTTTGCTCGAGAAGAGCTAATGCAAAATGAATTAAGCAATGATCCAATTCAAGCGGCTATTTCGAAGCTGGAAAAACAGCATGAAGAAGATAAACAAGTGGCTTTGGAGAAACAGAGACAAGAATATGAGCGACAATTTCAGCAGTTGAGAAATATTTTATCTCCAACTACGCCTTATGCACCTTACGCTCCTTATGATCCCTTAAGAATGGAGAAAATGACACCAAATACACCAACTTCACAAATGAGAGTCAAAAAATGGGTCGAAGAACGAGACGAAATGTTTAAGCGATCACTTGGACATTTAAAAACTGACATTATGCGTGCAAATGGATGTGTTCAAGAAGCAAATTTTCTTGCTGAAGAAATGGGAAAACAAACTAAATTTAGTGTCACATTACAAATTCCGCCCGCAAATTTAAGTCCTAATCGAAGGGTAAGAAAATGTTTTCTCTTACTTTACATATTTGTTTACATTTTCGTTTTTATTTATTTTTATAGCGAGGTGCATTTGTTAGTGAGCCAGCAATTCTTGTCCGTCGTTTATCAGGAAGTCAAGTTTGGAGTATGGAAAAGCTTGAAAATAAGTTGATTGACATGAGAGAAATGTATCAGGAACACAAAGATCGTTCATCATCAGTAACGGTAGTTCTACTTTCAATTTTTAATTTTCATTTTTAAAATCTTTCCTTTTTGTTTAACACATTATAAAAATTACCTGTATTTTAATTATCTACTTTCCACTGTACATTTCTATCGCTAACAATATTCACTAAAAGGTTGATGAAGAACACACAAAGGAATGGATAAATGATTTAACTGATCAGGTAGAAAGCTTTAATCTTCTGCTTCAAATAATTATTTATTTTAATTGCTTCTAATTTAAAAGCTTCTTATCATAGATTATTATTATTATATTGTACAATCAAACAAATAAACTAATTTCTGATCTTTTTCTCTTCTCAAAAAGGATGAGAACAAAATGAAATCGGATCCATTTTATGAGTCCCAAGAAAATCACAATTTGATTGGTGTTGCAAATATATTCCTAGAAGCTTTATTTCATGACGTGAAGCTGAATTACCATACACCCATTATAAGTCAACAAGGAGAAGTTGCGGGTCGCTTGCAAGTTGAAATTGAACGTATTGCGGGCCATTTCCCTTCGGATAGAATGTGTGAATCGCAATCAGAAAGTTCTCAAGAATCGCGAGATGACGACGATTATGATAAAGAAATCGAATGTCAAAATCAAGTGACCTGTCGAATTTCAATTAAACAAGCTAGTGGACTCCCTCTATCACTATCAAACTTTGTATTTTGTCAATATACATTTTGGGGTCATCAAGAAGCTGTTGTTCCTGTTGTCAACTCAGATACTTTATCAGCAATCAATCAAAATATGACGTTTAACTTCGATCACGAAAAAGATTACACAGTGACTATTACAGAAGAGTTAATTGAACATTGTGCTGAAGGTGCATTATCTATTGAAGTGTGGGGTCATCGTTCTGTTGGATTCTCTAAATCTAAAGGATGGGAGGTTGAACAACAGCAAGCTAAAGCCAGATCATTAGCTGATCGTTGGGCTGAACTCTCAAGAAAAATAGAACTTTGGGTAGAAATTCAAGAGTTGAACGACAATGGCGAATATATTCCTGTTGAAGTAATTGAGTCCAAAGAAATACTAACAGGAGGAGTTTATCAGCTTCGTCAGGGTCAACAAAGACGTATTCAAGTACGCGTAGCACCTGTTCAAAACTCAGGAACTTTACCGATCATTTGTCAATCTATAATCAGTGTCTTAGTGGGTAGTGTGACCGTCCGATCAAGATTACAAAAGCCAATGGATTCATACCAGGAAGAAGATTTATCAATATTGAGAGAAAAATGGAGTGAAGCTCTTGGACGACGAAGGAAATATCTTGATCAACAAATACAAAAGTTAATTCACAAAGAAGGCAAGAAAGATGTCTAATTAGGTTTTTCAAAATCTTCCAGAATTTAATGAGATATAATTAACAGATAAAACAGAGCATGAAAAGGAACGGGAAATAAGTCTTGTCAATCAATGGGTGTCGTTGACAGAAGAAAGAAATGCAGTTTTAGTTCCTGCTGCTGGATCTGGTAAGATTTTTCTTAAGTAATGTTAATAAAACGACTTATGATATTCTGTAGGTATTCCCGGTGCTCCTGCATCTTGGGATCCACCACCTGGAATGGAACCTCACGTACCTGTCTTATTTTTGGACTTGAATGCTGATGATCTTTCTGCACAAAATACCAAAGATGAAGTGTCTGTCTCAGGGATAAATTCGATTCTTCCGAAGGAGCATGGAAATAAATTTTATATGCTGCAAATACTTCAGCATGTTGAGAAAGATATTTGTGCAATTTGCAGTTGGGATTCTTCGATTCATGACAGTCAAGCATTAAATCGAGTGACAGAAGGTAATGAACGCGTTTACTTGATTTTGAAAACAACCGTCCGATTATCACATCCTGCTCCAATGGATCTCGTTCTAAGAAAACGGCTTGCATTAAACATTTATAAGCGACAAAGTATTACTGATAAGCTTAAGAAATTCAGAATAGTTGGAAGAACGGGAGCCACACACCATTCCGGAGTGACTTATGAAGTTGTTTCAAATATTCCAAAGGCATCAGAAGAATTAGAAGAACGTGAGTCTTTAGCACAAATTGCAGCAACTGGAGGTGACTGTTCATCTAGTGATGGAGAAACATATATTGGTATGCATCGTCGTCATCATTTGTTGTATATAAGATAATTAAAGACACGCTTTTAACAGAAAAATATACTCGAGGTGTATCAGCAGTTGAAAGTATTTTGGTGCTTGATCGACTTCGGCAAAGTGTAGCAGTAAAAGAGATTGAAACAATACAAAACAAACAACAAATGTCAATGCGAAAAACAGCATCTGTACCCAACTTTTCACAGGTAATTTATGTTAGATATTTTTATGCATTAATGAAATGTTTTTTATTTCGTAAAGTCGATTTTTTAATACTTATCTATTGCTAATAACGACACATTTTCACACAAATTTTAATTTAAAATGCGCACTAAAAGGCTGTAAAAGAAGCTGCTCAAAATGGTGGTGTAAGTAGCTGCTACAAGAGTTCCTCTTAAATATATTTATATACAGATATATTGATCTTAATTAATATGCTATCTAATTACGTGAAATGAATTATTTTATAATTTAAAAGAACTAAACTTGAGCCTACTTAATAATAAATATGGTTTCCATTTAAAGATTATGCGATTCGATACATCAATGGAGTCATTAATTGGAATTGGACGTTCTGAATCTTTTGTTGATTTGAATAATTCGGAGCTGACTAGAACGTTGCTTAATTCGTCAGCTAATTTCTTTACTAGTTCAGGTGGTAAATCTCAGAATGTTATCTTGCTTATGCATAAAAACTTTATTATTGTTATTATTTATAGGTAATGGAAGAAATCGCCATAGTTTTAGTGGAAAGTCGTCAACTGAAGATGGTGCTGTTGCTAATGTCACTGGAAGTGGAAAACCTTTTGGAATCGGTGAGAATAGTTTTTTTTTAGATTTTTGAAAAAAAACTAGAAAAAATTTTAATTCATTGACTGATTCCGCAAATCACATATTGCGGTTTTAAAAAATAAAACTTCAAAGGTTCATATTAATAAAAGTTAACAAAAACAATTTATGGTATTTCCCGCTATGATTTCATGAGCGCTATTTATCAAAGTTACTGTCTAAATAGTGTCAAAATATTTCCTTAGGAGATTTCCATATTCATAATCGAAGCCTTCATTTGAATTTCATTAATGTTTCCAGAATTGCTATTCATTAAAATCAAAGTCTCATTTACAGATTATAAGTTTATACTTTAATTGAATTTTCAATTTTGACATCATGACAAGTTAAAGTTTCTTTGTCCCAATTTCTTAGAAAAAGAAATATAATAATCATAGCTATGTATTAGCCAAAAAATAGAAAAATGCTACAAAATTTGAAAATTTGATAGATAACAAGTACGGTTTAAATGTTATAGATATTTTTGTTCTAAAACTAGAATATATCCAAACTTTATCCTAAATAATAAGAAATGACAAGGTTAGATGTTGATTCGATTCTCGGTGTTTAACAAAGTTTTCTTGACATTGGATAACAAATGATTTTTCTTTCTTTTTTCTCTTTTTCTCTCACTTTTTTATGGGAAACAAAAAAACACTCGAATTCTTTTTTTCATTTCCCTTAACCTCTGAAAACATATTCGAAAAATCCACAATACTTTTTCTTTGTTATTTTGCCCAATTTCATAACTTGAATTCTATCCACGTTAAGGTTCCATAGCAATATTGTCAGGTAAAGAAAAGTAAAAATTATCTGGAAAAATTATTTCAACTCTTTCTTTCTGCATTTTTATTTTATTTTTTTGGCATATTTTATCAACGGTAGAATTTACAATATTTATGATGCTTCTCCAAGGAAACTTCCTATTTTTTCATAAAATCAATCTTTCAATAACGTATGTTTATTATTTTCAAAGAAAAAAGGAGTAATAAATGGACAGATTCTTTTAAATAACTTTTTGTAACTAAAAATAGTTCAAAACCCTTTACAAAACTGTTAACATAATCCACAGAAGCGAAAGTTAAATGTTAAGCGTTAACAAAAATTTTGGTTCCAAAGTATTTTTTTATTTTACCAAAAATGTTTTTTGCAATGATATCCTACTTATAATATTAGTCAAATTAGGTATTTTTTAACATCTTGCATGAGTTGCATAGATAAGTAATTTCTTGAAACTTTCAATGTTGCGTAGTATTTTTTTTATTGTTATTTATCTCTCCGTTACGTATACATTTATTATTGTTAAGTTAAATGTTAGAAATTACTAATTTATTTTAATTAGATGGAACTGTATAGAAACATTTATCTTTATTTCCATGCAAATGGTGTCTTTACAAGAAAATATTTGTGTTCTGGCAATAATAATGTCTCATGACGTCTTCTTAAAAAAAATTATTCTATGAGTCTAAAGTCAATCTTTAAATTTTCCTCCTTTTAAATGAAAGTGAAACAACTTTTTATTCAAAACAATTGTCTTGAAAACTTCAATTAAGTATTTTAACAAAGTTTTTTTCTTGACTCTACAAATAAAAGTAGAAATATTATCTAACGATGGCAATTTTAAGAAATACAATAATGCTACTGGCTCCTTTTCTTTTAACAATGTGCTTTCTTTTTTCTGAATTAATATCGATAACTGTTGGTTTTGCTATCGTGTAAAAGTCTCAAATATTTAGTGACGTACATTCTTTAACAAAAAATTCATATTTAGATAGTACGTAACAAAAGTAAATTAGCAATTACAAAGATAGATGATTGATAACTAAAAAACAAATTAATTTTGAGACATACTATATGGACCATAATGTCTCTTACTCTTTTTGTTACTTGACATTGAGAAGTAGAAAATGGATATGTATGTTGAAGACAGATATTCCAAGACATTTATTTGTTTGGTACTTTTATTTTTATGTTATAATTTCAAAACCCAAGTTAAATCAATGTTATTACTATATTGATGGGATTACACTTGAACATATTTTCCTAAAATTTATATTATTACATACATGCATTTCGATAACCAATTTTATTTCTGTAACTATGGAATGCAGCTCGACCAACGTTCCTTAATCTAAATTTAAACGTTAACTCATTGAGATTACCACCTGGAAAGCGTACGTGTATTAACAATTTCTTAAATATTAATAACACTACCTAGTATTTTTATGAAATTGATTGATATGCTTATGAAACTTTAATATTGATTTTCGTAGCTTCACCAGCAAACACTAAAATGACTCATCGGATGACAACACTTCATGAAGAGCCGATTCATCAGAATTTTCTTCCTGAAGAGAGTGAAGATTCATTCAGTGATCCAGAGATGGATTATGATCAGAACACAAAAATGAAGTCAAACCCAAACGACTATTATGCTGGTGTTCGCATGAGGTCATCTCACACAATCGATTCATTTATGGATATTGAGAAGAAAACAACAACTACATCAACAAACTTATTAAATTATAGATTTCTGATTCAAAACCAAAAGTTTCATGCTCTTAGCCAATTCCAAAAAGGAGTCCAGGAGAAATCAACGAAGCTTACAAAGCCAGATACCGTAATAGGTTCATCGCCAAGTATGAACTCTTCAACTTCGAGTGGTTATGGATCACAAGCTGTTTCAATAAGCAATTTAGCAAATGAAGAGATTCTCTCGCAACAATCTATTGCTGCTGCTAAAGAGGAATATATTTCTGGTAAAATTTATTTTGACACAACCATTTAAACCATTTTTATAAAGCAATATGATGTATCTTCAATTTTATATTACAGAGTTACCACAATCAACTTCAACATCTCTTAAGGATGAGACCGCAAATTATCTTCAGAAACGTTTCAACCCTTTTATGAAGGAAAACTCGGGTAAGATAGAAAAAGATAAAAGTAAAAAAGTATTAAAACTGTGTGATGATCATCCACTGATGGATCTGGAATTCAAAGACAAAACAAAATCCAGAAGCAGTACATTGGATGGTTCTCATGCTGAAATTAATAATGATGATGCTATTATGGCGTGTTCAGATAAAAACATAATTTCTATTGATGATGTTAATCAAAATGCATTAGAAAAAATGAAGATTGGAAAAACAACTTCTAAAGATATCAGCAAAAGAATTGAAAAAGAAGAAGATGAAGAGAATAACAATATTGATGCGCAAAAAGACGGTGAAATAAACAACAAGGAAAACACAAAAACGAGAACTATAAAACAACAAGATATAATTCATAATGTAACAAGAAGCAACGATAATTTGAAAGGAAATAACAAAACAATAGAATCAGATCAATCGTTATCATTAGTATCAGCATCAAATGATCAACATTCAAAATCTGGTGGTAAATAATAATAACGATAATATTTATCAATTGGGAAGCATTTGTTTTATAATTCTTTCTTTACCAGGTGAGTCAATTCCCGAATGGATCATAGAAGGTGAATCTGTTCTAATACGTCCCTATAGTACAAGTGGAGTGATTTCATTTGTTGGAACAACCCATTTCCAGGTAATTTTAATTAACAAGTTACCTATAAATGATTTAATTCAAAAATGAGTCCCCAATTTGATATTTAGAGTGGAATTTGGGTTGGTGTTGAGTTAGACACTCCTACTGGAAAAAATGATGGAACCGTCCATGATATTCAATATTTTTCATGCCGTCCCAAACATGGAATTTTCGTAAGAGCCGATAAATTGATTCAAGACAAACGTGGTCGGGGCATGCGATCGTATAAGATGGCAGAAGCTTTAAAATCGAAGCGTAAGGAAAAACTTTTTTAGAATTGCGATGATATTGAACTTTTCATTTTTTATACATGTTCAGCTGATTCATCACTTTCCAATAATAAGATTCGCAACGATAACAACGACAACTTGAGCAATCATTATAAATGATCTTATTGTAGGTGCGCTCATCACTCTGTAAGAGCTGAGCGAGCGTCACTGACTAAAGCAAGTGAATGCAAAAGGTTGCGCAATATGATCATCCAGAGAAAACGACACTGAACTAATAGAGTTGTTTGTTACTAAGTTAAATTTTCTTAGGATTAGAAAAAGAAAGGAAGGTTAATACCGTCACAGTTTTAATAATGATAATGTGATAAACAAATAGAAAGCTGCAATGGAAGTGTAGAGCCAAAGCTTTCTTGTCGTTTGCAATACTTAAATATTATCTATAATTTTCTTTTGAAAAGCAGACTAAGATTTGTAATGAAAGCATTCCAAATATCCAAGAATCCATGTATTATTGATAGAGCAAAAGTCTTACATATATGTTTTAAATATTTTTTATAAGCTTTTTTGAAGAAAAACAAATATTAACTAAAAACAGAAGATAGACTAATACATTTTCTCTTATTTACTTACTTACCTTCATTTACAAAATGGAAACAATGTGTATAAAGTTCTAAAATAAATGAAACTAACATTCCTTCCCTAAATCACAAAAAAATATCTTATTAGATTCTAAGTAGTAGTACTAATCGTAATGGTAAGATTATTGGGAAAAAGTTATCTATTTCTCAAGATATACATATAAAGCAAAATTCCTCGTACATTCAATTGTTAGTAAGAAAAAATTGTCACATTAAAAGAATTAAATATTAAATAATATTTACCAAAGGTTCAAAAATATTTTAATTCTCAATCTGAGTTTAAACATCAACAAATGTCATTTATAATTGTACACAAATGTATCCGATAAAAATTGAAAAAGTAGTTACAGTTAAAAAATTAGAGCCGAATATTCACTATCTTGTGAAAAACTAGGTATTTGTTCAGTTAAGTGCATTTGATCATTTTGATTTCAATTTCATTAACAAATAATTGAAAATCACCCACATTTTGAGTCTACCTGAAAAGTATTAGATATCTGCCAGAAAATTACATGAAGGTTTACATCATATAAATATGTCAGAAATTAATGTTAAATTTTTTGATGTATTAATATTTAGGATATGTACATAATTTTGAAGCTTCTTAAAGCATCAACTTGAAGGTTCTTCGTTTTCCTTTACATTCTGTCAATAATTCTATATTTGTAGTATGAAATTTTCTGAAATGCGATAGTTTAAAATCAAAGAAAAAATCAATTTAAGATTTATGCATACTCGAGCTTATATTTTATCTGTATAGCTCGATCTTATGAATATATCTCGTAAAACCAAAAACAATGTGCAATATCTTGCATTAATTATATTCTTTCTATTTAAAGACGAGCCTTAATTCCAATTTCAAAAAGAAATAAAAACACCTAGGTATATATCATTCACAACAAGTCTGAAATCTTAAGATTTTTGTAATTGTAAATTTATAAGAGACCGTGAAAATTTCGTGAATTTGATTAATCAAATCAATCGCAATCGAAAAAATCCGTAATCTTTCAGGCTTAATTATCTAATGAATCTTTACCTTTCTATTTATCTATTCTTAAATACCACATTTTTCTTCTAATTGCAATCTTTATTTGTTAAGAGTAAATAACTAAAATTTTCATATAATGAAATGTGGAGAAATTTTTTTTAGGATTATTAAATTGTCATCTGCTATATTACTTACTTAACCCAATGCAATGAAGTTTTTATTCGAAAAAGATTCGTCCTTGATCTGATGACATGTAGAATAACTTTAGTTGATAAAGTTAATTGTGTCATCAATTTCATTCCTTTGATAAATATGCGCGCAACATTTTCCAAGTTTTCGCACAGTATTCAACAATTTCTTAGAAAAGAATGGCAGAGATCTTGTTAGAAATAAATTTATTTAATATTTAAGCAATATGTTGACATATATGTTTATTAGATATTGATTATTACTTAGGAATGATCGTGGATGAGTTTCATCTCTTAATTTATTCACCAGGGACTGTGTCTTCTAAACGTCTTATGAATTTGACACGGACTTCCGTTGTTGAGTCTCCTTTTATTTGATCTTGAGTGAACCAACACTGAACTTCTAGTTGCACCATTTCTAATGCACCACGAATGCAACCATTGATGATGCCATTATAGCGAAGATTCATCATATCAGCTGGTAGTTCAACAAATTCTGTTAGAGGATTGTTATCAAAGACAAGAGAGAATTCGTCACCCGATGCTGCCCAATTTGTAATAGTTGGTTGAATATTCAGATACATCCTGGCAAAAATTATAATCTAATAATATATTTCTTCATTCGTAAAATTGATTTCACACCTGAATGCTGATTGAATCTTATCGGCTGGGTCTCTCATATCAAGACATCTTGACGAATTTGTTTTAGAAAGGAAATCTTCAATGATTCGCATTCCCATGTTATATCCCAATCTTTCTAACTGCTTGTTCACATCTTCAACATTTTCAAAGTCACGAAGCATTTGAGTGACAAGAGCTCCATAAGTCAAGGTCAATAGTTCTGAATTCTAAAATAATAAAAAACGATTAATAATGGAATTAAAAAGGAATTTTCTTATATCTCTATGTTAAAAAAAGAAGAAAAAAAAGATAAATTATCATTTTCAGCTTTAATTTATTAAAATTGTTTTTAATTTTAAATATTAACTCCTACACTTATCCTTATCTGACATTTATTATTTTAATATGTACATCAAAACCTCAGAAAATTTTTCCTTTATAGAATCTAAAGTCTTCGTTTTTTTCTCAATGGAAATCAACCAATATGATGAAAAAAAAGGTAAAAGAATATTTAGAGTCAATTGTGCTATCCTTTTTTTGATAAAAATTAGTTAGGATGAAGAATGAGATGCTGAAGTTGGTGATTTGATTGTGGTGGTTGTTGTTCTTTGTTGCCTTTGTCACCAAATCGTCCCCCTTCGCCTCTTATTCTGTTCATTGCATGCCTATGTCGACTTTCATAAAGATACTTAGGACGTTGTTTTGGTATCTTGCCTTGAGCTTCTAACTTAGCACGAGCCGTTCTTCGAATAAGAATTCTTTTGTATTGTTCTTAAATGAAACAAACATTCAATTATTTTCACTTAAAATTTGAATAAATCCTAAACCTACTGGCATTGACATAAAGCGGCTCCTCTTCTGACTCTACTGGTGTAGGTGTTGGGGTGTTTGACGTTGAGGCTTGAAGCGGTGGGCTTGCACTATTGCTGCTATTAAAATTATTAACATTTTGTGAGTTAGTTTGTTGGATTTGTGTTTCAGCTGATGCAGATGGTATCATTACAACATGTTGTTGAGATTGTTGAGAAGGAGATGTTGCTGTAGATGTTGGACTTTGTATTGCTGCCGGTGAGATAGTTTGTTGAGCCGGAATTTGAAAGAAGTTACCATTTATGTTTACGATCTGTGGTTGTGTTTGCTGTGTATCCTGCATTGGAACGGGTTGATGATAGATAAATGTTTGTCCATCAGGCAATTGTACTAATTGAGGTTGCGATGCTTGTGGCTGAACGATATAACTTGCTCCTTGTCCACCTTGTATTATAGGTAAGACTTGTATTTGTTGCTGTCCATTTCCATTAAGCTGTTGTTGCAAAGATTGAAGAATTATTTGCTGTCCATTTCCTAATACTGCTGTTGGCATCACTTGGATTGCTCCAGTTTGTTGGTCATTCTGTTCCAGTTTGCAATTCTGCATTGTTCAGTTATCCTCTTTTTCGTAACGTTATTCAATGTATTTATTATTACAATTAATATAAGTTTTCAAGTTTTCGTAAAAGTTTCTACATCAAAGAGCATCCAAGAAAACCATCACTGTAAAACCTGGAAGAATTGAGAAATAGAATTGTTTATAATTTCCAAGCTTGAAACTTATCGTACCAGAAAATTCATTTTTTATTTAAACTCCGATGTATTTCACTTTAAAAACAAAAACCGCTTCATCGATGGTAAAACTTTATGTTTATAAAAATATTTCAAAGCTTTTTTTTGTAAATACAATTAAGTAGATATTCTTGTTTCCAAGTTGTTATTTTTTTCTCTTTACACATTTTAAAAAAATCTTTAAAATCCACTTACGACTTTCTTCGAGTCCAATTTCGATTGTCGTGACATCCTTGCTGTGATCTTTTACAGTGTTAAATATTAAATCTTGTGCTTTTAGTCCTTGATTGATTTGATTAGTCCAGAAACTGTCCAATATTTTCTTAAATGGCTGCTGATTGGTGGCGACGTATTGAGGAAAATTCGAGGGACCAACAAATGAAGGGAGAGCATTCCAATGAAAACTGAAATTTTGAATTTTAAAATATCTCTAAATTCATTTAATATTTCATGATCATGAAAAGATTTTTTAAATGTTTAGCTTTTGTCTATGTTTGAGTTTACATTAAAAATTAATGTATCTACTTAATAAATTATCCAAAAATAAAGCCAAATTAAAAATTCATACGTGACATAAGAAATATTGGAACCAAATGTAGTTTATATTTGAGCGTATTGTACTTCCTAGGAAGTACTCACTCTCCACCTGAAACTGCACCCCCGGGGAAAGCAGTTTCAGGTGTAGAGTGTGAAATCTTCGGAATGACAAAACTATTCGAATGATATAGGTAGGTTTTTAATGTGTTTGTATGAAAATTTGAATTTCCGGTCCGCGAAAAAACGGCGCCCAGAAAATAGTGTTACCAGCAAAATCGTATAATAGTTGTCATTTCGTTCACAAGTTGTCTCTGCATTCAAAACTGCCTCAAAACTTTCCGGAAAACTGCAAAATAAACCTTATTTTCTTTAAATTCTGCTAGTATTTTCTAATAAAATACAACAAACGAAATAAACTTATCAATATGGTGGTGAAAGTGTACATAAGCTTGACGAGTGGGCTCAAAGAAGTATGTAAAATTATTTCAAAGAGGAACATAAAAAGTGAAAAGAATTGATAAGAAAATGGGAGTTTCCTGGATGAAATGGCACCTTCAATTTATAATTTTTTTTTAAATATCGCTGCTCTAATACTTATTTTTTAAATTTGCTTAAAGTTTCAATCATTGGGAAAATTCATTAAATAATCTGCAAATGATCACTAATAGATATATAAAATTTCCTTCAAAGAAAATTCTATTTTTATTTTGCAGTGCCTATTCATCAGTAACGAAATATATAAAAATACTTGTATACCAACATACATGTATATTCAAGTTAACTAGATATTAACATATCTGTCAGATTAGTGCAAATTTTAGTTCCGCTCATTTAAAAGCTCACATATATTTAAATTAATATCTAACACTTTACTCATAACATGATTCATGAATTATTCAGTCACCAATTGAATAACGCTTGCAACGATTCTTCTTATCGATAACAAAATGCCTAAGAAAATAAAAAGAAATTTAGATAGTTAATCTAATTATTCTAATTTCTGTAGAAAATTTTGTTTTTATATTTGTAACACATTTGAAAAACACAGATTTTCATACTAGGTAGCTTTAACGCATAAAAACAAAAATACAAACGTAACCAATTAAGGTGAAGACAGTGTTTTTAAAAAAATTCTCTGTAATGTTGACTTACTATAATTGCTACATTGTGAGTTACCTACCATAATATGCGGTATAATTAGGTGTTGAATAAAAAGTTTGCAATCGATAAATTTTGATAAATGATTTAGTTAGTTTTTCTTTAAACTTATTGAACCATAACAATAAACTTATTCATAAAAATGTTTCATTTCAGGTCAAAAAGCGACAACAAAAAATTCTCATGATATTGGACAGTAAAAATATTAAGTATGAGATCTTAGATATCTCAGAGCCAGGAAAAGAAAATGAGAAGGATCATATGCAAACAAATGCGACGAGCAATGGTGGTACTGCTTCTGATCCAGATCCACGACATCCACTTCCGCCTCAAGTGTTCAACGACAAAGATTATTGTGGCGATTTCGATCAATTTGAACTTGCAAATGAAATCGATAATTTAGAAGTTTTCCTAAAATTGTCACCAGAAGAAATACCTCAACTTAATAGAAGCACACTTGACACCTCGAAAATTGACGAAAATCATCCGAATGGCAAAGTGATTGAGAATGACAAACCTGATGACGATAAAGAAAATAAGACTGAGGACGAACAAAATCAGGTTTGAAGGCACTTGATAAAGCTGGAACAAAATTGAGCTAACAACTGCAAATAAAAGCAGAATGGTTTCCTTTTTTCTTACATATATCTACTTATAAAATAAAACATTATATATATTAAAACAATTTTAATGATAAAGTGCTTCTTAAAAAAGTTTAGTTTTAAAAAAGATATTCTTTAAATTAACACTTCAATTCTTCTTTTTTTAACTAGATGAATGTGTATCAAATGCCATTAATTTTGAATTTTCTTTTGATAACCCTGCAAAACAAATAGTAAGAAAACTTTATGAGCTGAAGATACAATAATTGCTACTCAGAAAAAAAATCAAATTGTTTTGAAGCTTTGTAAAATTTGCATGATGATCATTTTAACCTCATGCTCTATGAATGATGATTATTTAAGTTAAAATTTCAATATTTCTATATTTATGCTTTGACTGTTTACGTGAATAATATCCTAGATTTTGCTAAAGGTATCGTATTATTTTAATAATATTTAAAGGAGAAAAGTAAACATTCAGCAATACAAATTGCCAAAATAAAAAAGACATTCACATGAAATATATATTTTGCATAGATCAGCAGAAGATGTAATTATAGGAGTCAACGTAAAAGTTTTTGTTAACGAGTGTTTGGTTAACTAAATATTTTTTTTTCAAATCTAATAAGAAGCCGATTGTTTAATTGAGTATACATATTTATAATACAAAAAGTAAATAGTTTTTCATTGAAATTATCTTATCTAACAAATGCTTAAATAATGAATCTGTATATTGTTGACCATTGCCTAAAAACTTTATAATTATGGTAATGAATGACATTATACAGCGTTTTTAATCTGAATTCTATAACTTTTAAGTTGTCATGCATTAAATAATGAATTTTGTAACTTGATTAACAAAGAATAAAAAAACTTTCGAGTTTAAAAAGAAAAGAAAACTGTGATGAGAACAGAGTTTAGAATTATCGCGACTGATCATTACATATTTAAATGTGTTAATCGATCACTGGCGAAAAATAAAAACTAACATATAGGTTTTAATATTAGGTAGTTATAGTCGAACTCATATTAAACTTTTTATTATTCGTCATGCCAGGAAAAGATGAACGATACAGATAATGGAAAGGTCGAACAGGAAGACTGTTTGGTGGGTAATGGAACCGAAAAAATAATCAGCGAAAAAGATAATGAAGTAGATGATGAGGCGAATGATGAATCAAAGGTTTTAAAAATATCAGAGAATCAAGATCAGGCAAAAGACCATTATTCAGAGGTAGTTGATGATATGCTTGAAAAAGAACTCAATGAACAGGAGGAAGTTCTTCCTGGTTTGAAAGATGAAGATCCTGATACTGAGATTATTTCATCGGAAAACGAAAATAAACTAGTGACATCAAAATCTGATGTTGAAAATAAATCAGCACAAATTGAATCGAAAGAGGTTTGACTATGTCAAATTGTTGTTTTCGCTGTTTTTGTTATTTTTGTCGTTGTAATCTTTTTATCGTATTTATTTTGCCATCTACATATTTCAGGTTAAAAAATTTGTAATAACCATGCTTGGGAGATAATTCTAACATAAGAAAATTAATATTTCAGCTTAAAAATCATAAATGTTTTGTCTACATTTTACTCTTTTCTGAAAATTTTCAACAGAATTTTTTCTTATCTCTTAAAGAATATTGAAACAACAAGTGACTTAACAGATGGCACTATTCAAGAAGAAGAAATAAACCAAATGAAAGAAGAACCGGAGAAAGAGGGAAAGACCGGTGATGAAGTTATGGATCAAAATGACCTGAAGGATTCAAAACATGTAATTAATGAGTTTATCATTTACAAAAATATTGATTTAAGTATTTTAATCATTGAATTTATAACATTGAAGGTTGAAGAGCAAGAAGAAGAAGAAGAAGAAGAAGAAAAACAAAAAGAAAAGATCGAAGATGAGAAAACAAATGAAGACAAAATGACACCTGAATTTGAAAGTGAAAATATTCCTGATTCATTAGACGATCAAGAAAATAATGCAGAATAAGAAGTTCAAACAGTAGCTGAATAAGCCTCAAAAAACTTAACATCGATATTGATAAACATACCTACATCTAAAAATTGGAATTAAGAACTGTTTCACAATCGCTAAAATCTCTAATCGAATAGAATGATACCTATTTTTATTGTTATTTTATTTCTTTATAACTTAATAAGTTCAACGACTTGCACTTAAAAGTTTTATTTCTTATTGTTATTTTGCTCGTTTAATCTTATTTCAAACTTTTTGTAATTCATATTACTTAATTTTTATATCCATTTGTAATACGATCGGATACAAAAATAAAAAGATCGAACGAACACAGAATTTACGTTGTAAAGAAAACCTTTTAAATCTAACTTCATTTAAGAATCTTTTTTTTGGATCTAATATTCGTTTTTATTTATTAGATATTGATTGTGATTGAAAATTTTAAATAGTTTGAAAATATTATGAACCCTTACGTAACAATAGCAGACAAACAAAAAGTTTTTAAATTTATCAGTAGGTATAATTTTTTTATGATATCTATTCGTTTCACAAAGAAATGACTAATGCTTTTAAAATTTAGATAAGTTGTTGACCTTACCGAGCTTTAACTTATGAATGATCTTAGTTGTCTGAATTTTAAAAGAAGTCATCTGATGCATTTTCTCACAAAGTACTTAGTGTTAGAAAAGCAAGAACTTCACAAATATTAACACAGATCCATCAATATACATACTCACCTTAAGCTGTGGAGTGTTTGTTAACTAATGGTTCTGTATATTTTAAAACCATTATTACTTGCGCTTTGATTGTTGTTCTCTTTTGCGTTTAACATCGCGAATGTTTAAAAATTTATAGTTTGCTTACGTCTTTCGGTAAAAGCGGTTGCTACTTAAAATCTATAGTCAAAGTCATACGTTGAGAAATTTTTTGAGTTTGTTGTTTGGATAACAAATTGTTAAGCTTAATAAAACTACTTAAATATTCAAAAATAGAGGAAAAATAATATTTGAACTAAGACAATAAAAAAAAATATCACAGCATGAATAAGAATTTACATTCGCCTGTGCTCCAAGATGATGAACGTTTTGCATTGATGAAGGTTTGTTTTATGAATTAATATACTCCCTGATCAAATTGAATATGGTCAATAATAGAAATTCTGGCTTTATAACATCACTATATTTAATATACATGTAATGGTTCACGGCTGTTTATTTTAATGCCTTGCGAGTAACACATTGTTGAAAATTAGTGTGAGTTTGCGTTGAGAAGGTCAATAATAATCGGTATGACGAATAAACATCAATTGTGAGGTCAAGCAATATTTTTCACTTTTAAATCAAAATTCACTTTCAATCTGAAACTAATTAATATGAAAGAAGAAATAGGCAATAAATAAATGTATGCTACATGCATTTATGAATATACTGTCAATTTCTTATTCAATTTGGTCGATAAAATTGTCAATGAGTCAAGTTTAAGCATTGGAAACGGTAATCAAAGCTTATGTACCTATTTAAAATGCATCTTGTTACCTTGACCAGAATATTCTCTCATGAAATCCATGATCAAGAAAATAAATAAGAGTGATGCAATCATATAAGTAATAGGTAGATAGTTGATGTGGGGCTAGATAACCTTAAGCGGTGTTTTTTTTTGCGTCTGCAAACATTAAAATAAATAAATTCTTCTAATTTCGTTCAATAAAAACATACAAGAATTTTTGAAAAAAATAATTATGGGAATGTAGACTAAATTCTTTCATAAAATTTAATTAAATCTATCTTAGTTTTAAAACATGACAAACAAAAATTAATCTTGAGATTTTTAAAGTAAATATTTTATGACCTTCAAATAATTAAGGATTTCTGAAAAAAGAACAGAGACAAAATTTGATTTCAATTTTCAAATTAACAAAATTAGTTTTCTTTTTAAAATTCTTAATTAATAATCGTTTCTTTTAAGTTTCGTCGATCAGTCTCAGACATTTTAAAACCTGAGCATGATGATCACTTTTTACTTCGATGGCTTCGTGCTCGTCAATGGAATCCTGAAAATGCTGAAAAGATGCTTCGTGAGGTAGAAAATATAAATTTTATATTTTACTGAACTAATGAATTCATCTGAAATAGTCAATGGAATGGAGAAAAAAATGGAGTGTCGACGAACTTGATAAGTACATCCCACCAGCTGTTTTTAAAGATTACATTCCACATGGTACAACTGGTTTTGACAAAGAAGGCTCACCTATTATTATAATTCCGTTTTCCGGAATTGATGTATGGGGCATACTTCACAGTGCAGAAAAGGTTGATATCGTTAAAAATACTATAAGACTTTTAGAATGTGAGTAAGGTGTTAAAAAATATTTGAGGCTAAGTGAAAAAAACTATTTTTGCCGTTCTTGAATATTAATTTAAGCTTTTATGAAAATTGCGTACAAACAAAGCCTGGACTATGGACCCGAAGCTCGTAAATTTACAGTTATTTTTGACATGGATAATTTCTCAATGAAACAATATGCATATCGGCCAGCTGCTGAGTTAGTTATTACAACTTTTCAAATGTATTCCAACAACTATCCCGAAATTTTAAAATACTGCTATGTCATAAATGGTCAGAATACTAACTGAACATGAACTGTTCATAAATATGCTCATTGGAAATTAATTTGTTAATATTTTTAGCACCCAAGATATTTTCGTTTGCTTTCAACATTGTAAAAAAATTTCTTGACGAATATACGATATCAAAAATCAAAATTTACAAACAAAATCCAATAAAATGGATACCAGCAATACTTGAACGAATTGATGAAACCAATCTTCCGAAATATTACGGTGGTGCATTAACAGATAAAGATGGTAATCCTAAATGTTTGGAGAAAATTTGTTGGGGAGGTGAAATCTCTTTAAAATTTAATTGTATTGAATTTGTCATTTAAAAAAAATTATTTTCAAAAGGAAAAATTCCCAAAGAATTCTACATATCGTCTGAAGCAAATTATAACAGTTCTTCCAGCTATTGCACTGTTATTATAAAGAAAGGCTCGAAATTAAAACTTACATTCAATGCTGAAACAGAAGGAGTATTTCTTAAGTATGTGTTTTAATCATTTTATACTTTTAATACACAAACTCAATTTGCACAAACTAATACCTATATTTTTTTAATTTTAATTCGCGCTAGGTGGGAGTTCAGGGCACATAATCATGACATAAAGTTTGGCGTCAAAGCAGTCAATAACCAAACAAAAGAAAAAATATCAGCCATTGATCTGAAAAGGATTTCATCAAATGAATCTCACGAAATTGGTTTTATTACTTGTATCAAAGATCATACGTGTAAAATAATAACATCGAAGATACAATCAATACAAATAATAATCATATGTTATCTTTTTTCAGACACCGTTGTTTTTGACAACAGTTATAGTTATTTTAAGAGCAAAAAAATTACTTACTCTGTTGTAATGATGGAAACTCCGTTAGAAGAAATTGAAAAAGGAGCCAGAAAAATCGAGGAAAAACTTTTGGATGAAAACAAAAATAATTTACCAATTAGAATCGATTAGATAAATGTTTATAATTTTCACATATCTTTACATTAGATACATAATCCCTTATAAAAAAAATTCCCGATTTAAGACTGGTTTAAAACAAAAATTGATCGGTGTACCTAAATATGTACTATATACCTAATTAAAATTATTGGATCGTCCAGCTCTGATTATGTGAAAAAATTTTTAAGAAAAATCATAAGAAACAAAAAATATAACATTAATATATATGGTGATTTATTATCTACAGATGTTTAATGATATTCAGGATGAACTTTTATGATATGAACATGATAAATATATACATATTCAGAATCATTATTTTGAAATAAATTTATTAATAAAATAATTGAACAATTTCATCTCTTAATTCTACAAGCCGAGAAAAATAATTTCTTTTGATTAACTTTTTGTCAGTTAACTCTTAGATCGGAACGAAGAAGCAGAAGTAGGTAATCCTTTACTGCAATTAGAAGCGAAAAGTGAAAAAGATAAACAGAAACGACTTGTAGATCAATGAAGAGATCTTTCAAGGCAATCTTAAGTAGTCAAACTAAAAGAAAGGATTTTTTTTTCTATTTTGAAATCTCTGAAGAATTCTCTAAATATTTTTCAAGAGCTAGTTGTCACCATGCCTATGTTTGTCTCTTTACCAATTTTTTTAAAAAAATTCTCTTTTTCTTAGAAAATTCAAAAAACATTAGATATCTTCGCAGGGTTTAAAAATAGTAAGACAGAAGCAGTTTCTGGCAAACGTGAAGGAATATTATGCTTGATACCCTTGAAATTGTTCAAGAAAAAATGTTTTTATGTGAAGAAAAACAAACATCAAATGAAATTGAATCTCAGAACAAACCCACGACCACGATGCATTAGAAGATTTACATTTTTAGATACTATTCAAGAGTCTATTCACCTCTTACCTAATGTCTGTATAGTCAGTAGATGTACAGCAAATGCAAGCTTCTAAGTTAAAAATAAACTTTACCCGACTTGAAGAAACAGTATAAACTAAAAAGAAGAAAAATTATCCATTAAATGTACACAAAACATGGATTTGATCTCTGTTGATGTTTATTTAGAACTTAGTGAGCGGAAATTAACTACAAATATAATTATATTTGGATTCTCTTTCTCTTTAAATAGTATTAAAAGTGGAAATTTTAAGCAAGTTCAAAAAGAGTCTGGCTCATTTATACATATAAATTATTCTCTAAATCGAAGTTTCAAACAATTTCGTGAATATTTGAGATTTTTTCATTCGTTCCCACTGCACTGTCCGTTTTATTAAACTTTATTTCTCTTTACTTATTCGTCAGCTGCTAAATATTATTGGCTGAAATTGGCCATGATTTTCTTAAAATCCATAATTTCATTCACTTATTTATGTAAATTGAGAAGAATAAGAATTGAAGTTGCTAATCAAATGTGTGGCATATGAAAGAAGCGGCAATGCATGGGTAAAAATAAAATTCAAGTTGGTTGCACTCTCCGAGGGTTACGTTTCATTTTGTTAATGAACTGAGAGAAGTTTTCTGCTGTTCTTACTTGTCGTTCTTAAACATCCACGATTGTTGAAAGGCATAAATCATTCAGAAGCTAAAATTTCCCTGTTCATAAAATGCTCTTTTTTTTAATTTTGACACGCGCAAGTCTACTTATATTATAACTTCTTTTATTTGGAGGAATTACATTTCAGATTTCGTTTTAGAAATTATTAGGTAATTTTTCCTTTTATACATTTATGAAAAAGAACATGTTAGATTTTATTTTTTCACCGCATTATGTTTTGTCTGTTTGTTCTTTAAATCTTAAAGAGTTTTTAATAATCCATAAAACTCAGCACATGTTGAAAAGACGTGAAGATTAACTCACGAGTTAAGTTTCCCTTATTTAATTGTCAGTCATATACATTCACTCTTCCTCTGTTTTACTGTAGTTTGATGTTCTGTCGCATATGATTCTGGTTTGTTTCTTCCGGTTTTTAGGGGTTATTGAACTAATTTGACGATATTTAACTAAACTTTGTGTGAAAGTCATGCTTTTTTTAAGAAAATTCTTTGCACTATTTCAATTCACGTAGTCTTTTTTTCACTTTCTGTCTCTTAAAATTACTAAATTTAAAGAAATCTATTTTCAGTTCGACGTTGAAAACATGAAAGTGGATTTGATCTTGAGCAAATCTTGAGGCTGTAACAGAGCATATGTGTGTTTATTGACTTATTTTCTTTGTCGTCTCACAAAAGATAATGAACTGAAAGTTCGACAAGACGTCATACAAAAAAAATAAAGAACAAACTTTTTTCTAATAATATTGCAACTAACTGATTTGAATCGCTAAAGATTATGAAGACAGTTATAATTGATGTATTATGAGATCACAAATGTGTTCTTCCAGTAAAATGTGACAATCCTTGTGTGTGGTTCTTTATAGAATTGTCTATCTGCAACATGTGAAATAAGTTTTGTGCCTCTAGCGAAGCCTTTTGATTTTTAAACAATATTTAACGATGCATAAACGATAAATTATTCACTTAACATCAAAACCAGGATTCTTCTTAAACGTGCCCGCCTGTTTCCATAAATTGTCTGCTTCTCTATGACATTTCTTAATAAATTTACTCTCTTCTTCTTCAATAAATATTTTATTTTTCAAAGATAGGAAGAAAAGAGAAAATATAGTAGGCATGTTTGCTAGCTTTGCAATCTACAAGTGCATACTTACCATTTATAATTAGTCCGATTAAATTTACATTTGATATGCTTAAAAAAAGGAAAAAAGATCTGTCATCGGAAAACCAACTGTCTTCAAAAATGATCAAGGAAGAATGCATGATTTACGTAAAGTAAACAAAACTCATCGAAATCAGTATATTTCTCTCATTTTCACGCTCTCATTTCGAGACGCGTTGTATGTTGTATTGCCATGCCATTGTACGCGTCTCTACAAACATCCGGTAATATTTAATTTTAAAACAGGTGGATAATTAAAATGACTTGCCAAGAACCGCACACGAGAGAACGAAAATTAAAAACATCTTTTCCTGAATCATCATCGTCATGTGAAGCTCAAAACAACCTTTCAACTTGATCTTCAAAATCAGTGTAAATATTCTTAACAGTTTTCACTTGTGATTGATTTTCTTGTGAAAATTGAGCAAGTGATGAGGATTTGGATATTCCCCAAAAATAATTACTTATATGACAATAAATTCAATCAGTTGCAATTAGATAATATGATTGATATTCAATATTCCGTTCAATGATGAAATCATTTAAAAAAAGTTAAATGCTTGAAAGAAAATTTATTTAGCGGGACTGAAATCTACATCAAATGCATGTTTCAACAAAGAGATTTATCGTGGAATGTTGACGTGTAGACAAAATTCTGGCGCGCGCGTTCGCACAAAATTATTGCTTGCAAAGCAAAATATTTGTCGCGAATCAAGTCGAATAAATCAAAAAGGAAAAGTTTTTGTTCATTTTGTTGTGCTAAACAGATGTGGTAAGTTTACACGATGAATGCGCTGGTTTCATTTTCTATCGCCTGATACATAAGGGAGAAAAGTCTTAAATTAAATTTTAAATGAAATGCGGTTCATTCGTTCTATCAGAACATCTGAGACAGAAGTCGTGCACAGCATGATGACTGCACATACAGAAATATGTATAATTACAATATGCAAACCAAGGAGGGAAGTGAATATCTTTCGCAGTTGCATTTTCTTCCATACTTGAAATATTTTATCGCCTGTAGAACCGTATTTAAAAAGTTTAGACAGAAAATATTTAGCATCATAACAGCAATAGAAGTTAGGTAATATGATAAAAGGAATATAAGAATATTTTATTTCGTCATAAGATCAGTATGAAGGACCAATTTTTAAAAGCTGTTTATGGTTCATTAAACCAATCACGTTTTCTACTAAAATTCTTGCGCAAAGTATTCGTTTTTCATCACCTTTACTGTCGTATGTAAGGCGAAATAATCGCTTGGTGATGGACAGAGTTCTCATTACAGTTCTATTGTATGTATATATAGATTTTAAAAATGGATGTTTTGTATAAAATTTATTGTATCAAATAATATTTGCATGAATAATTGCATTCATTAAACATTAGATTTATTCTATGTTTATATTTTTAAAATTTTGATCGTCTTAAATATTTCAATATTCAACTAGTAAATTGTTCATGATGATCCCAAAGTGCGTTTTCCCCTCAAACAAAATAACAAGATCTTGTGAGGTTGCGAGCATGTTTGATCGTCTCGCTGTGTGTGAGATTAAGAACAAAAACAACACAGGAGAAAAGACGAAAGAAAAAAAAGACGATTTTAAATATAGAATCATATAAGAGAAAATCTGTTCGTAATGGGGGTTGGTGCGAACTGATCATCGACACACGACACATGAGAGAAAACTCTGTGTTGTTATATTTCAAAAAAAATCCGTGAGATTGGATGAAAAGTTTCGGTAAAGATGTAGAAAAACCGAAGATTTCATTATAATTTTCCTCAGTTTTACTTTAACTCTTCAAGGATTAACAACGTGTTCCGATCAAGATTCATAAGCAAAGATACGGCTTGAAAAAAGAAAAGAAAAAGTATAGCAAAATAAAGTTGTAAATATAAACAAATTAAAAGAATTAAATCATATGTGAAAAGAAAGATTTTGAATCAAAATGTTCTTTTCTGAAATCATTGAATTTTCTTTTGAAAATATTGGTGAAGTTGATAATGCGCTAGGAAAATCCAAAAATTATTCCTTTACAATATTTTAAAATTCAATTGAAACAGTAAAAGAAAAGAAAGAAGCAGAAACATTTTTTATCGACGCAGTTATAATATAAAGGGAAAATGGCGAGAAAACTTATTTCAAAAGAAAAAATGCTGATTCATGATCTCATCTTTGTCGATGATCACTTCCGCCTATCCAGAAAAGAAACTTTCATTGTTTTCTTATTTAAAATTTGTGCGACTTAGAGTGAAAAATAATACACATTAAGAATTTTAACGTAATAATTTAAACATTGAAAATTCTTCTTTATCATTATATCCTTGATTATATCTTTATATAAATAATTAAATGTTATGATTTTTATCGCTTATTGGATGCAAGAAAAGAAAGAGAAATTCATGAAACCCATGTGAACTCATTTAATTTCTTGAGAATTTGAGAAAAACCTGTGAATTATTCTTTTTTGTTGTATTCACATTTTTCGTATTCGCATCACAGAAAACACGGAAAGTTTCATGAATTTTTATTTAGGTAGAAACAAGCTAATTAGTGCGTCACAGAAATTTAATTTTTTTCTCCATGTTGGAAAATGGCCAAGAAAATATTTTTGCGCCGACAAGCATCATGTGTTCAATTTAATTTGTTTAACTTGACAAACGCAAGCAAAACCTTTGTTTCTCTTTTTGTGACGAATATTTATCACTGATATAGTTTTCCCGATCATCTTTCAGATCAAATAATTAATTAAGAAAAAGACGAAAGAAATGGTTCAAGAGCTTCAGCATCAGCCTGAGGATTTCTTCAATCTCAGCACATTGGCCGAAGTAACAATGATTGCCGGCAAACTCAGTACAACTGACATCAATGAGATAAAAAATTACATTAATAAGTCTGATGATCTCCACATGGAACAGAACAAGAATTATCAGGAAAATTCTGAAAAAATATTACTTTTTCATGACTCAAAAAATCATTACGAATCAACAAAGAAAAAATGGAAGAATGATTGGGAAAATTTCAAAGACCGAAACCCTCATTACAAGAAAATTCTGACACTAGATAACTCACCAACGTCAGTATCATCAAAATCTTATGCGTTTCTTTCCTCCTCTTGTTCATCGGTTTCATCAGACGATGATTCAACCAAAAGTCTTCTTAGCTACTCACACAAAGTATTTGATCGAAAAAAACAGCGTTCATTCAAGCAATCTTCAACAGAAAGTGAATACGACTTTCATTTTGAAAACCATAGAGAGGTAAATTATGACGCAATCAAGGATACGTCTTGTGATAATAGTAGTTCCGCTAAGAAGTTAAAAAGTGATGAAACATTGAATGACAAAAATGAAATTGATAATAGTCTGATGGATGAAACTTCTGATGGAAAGTTAGATGATCAATCAATGAGCGATCATATTTGTATAGAGTGTGGGAAAAAATATAGCACAAGTATAAACCTTTTTGTCTTATATGCATAAATTGTTTAATAAATATTTATATATTTACAATTTTTTTTCAGGCTCAAATCTTGCCCGACATCGCCAGACACATAGGTCCCTTCAGGACAAAAAAGCTCGCAGATGTCCAATATGTGATAAAGTTTACGTTTCAATGCCGGCATTTTCGATGCACGTTCGTACTCACAATCAGAATTGTCAATGTCCGCATTGCGGAAAATCATTTTCAAGACCTTGGTTGCTTCAAGGGCACATCAGAACACATACCGGTAAAAATAGATAATTATTAGTTTGGACTAACCACATGACGATATTAAAAATTAAATATTTTTTTGATTCAGGTGAGAAGCCTTTCAAATGCAACTTCATAGGATGTCTAAAAGCATTTGCTGATAAAAGCAACTTAAGAGCCCATGTTCAAACACATTCAAATACAAAGGTTTTTGTTATTATATCTTTTTCTTTAAATTCCAAGCTAAGATTTGTAAGTTTTTTTAGCCTCACTCATGTGAAAAATGTGGAAAAAGGTTCGCACTGAAGAGCTACTTGTACAAGCATGAGGAATCTTCCTGTATGAAAAATAAGTCGGAACCGAAACAGAAACAGAAACGTTTGGGGAAAGCTAGAAAACAGGAAAATTTAAATTTTAAAAGCAACCAAGCAAAGTTCACGTCAAACACATTTAAAAGTCAGCAAAGTGCTTTTGTGAAGGAAAAAATTAAAGAAATACTCGAAGATGGACAAAAGAAGACTTTCATTACATTAAAGCCTCGGCAGGAAGTTAGAATGATAAATGAAAATAATCTTGAGAACAGAATAAGTGTTATTCGTTCAGTTTCGTCGTTACTTGATAGCCAAAAACAAATTTCAACTTCTGAATATCAGCTAAATGAAAAGTACAAAAGTTTTCAGTCGTAAAAATAATAATCAGATTTTACCTTTTTATCAAGAAATCTTAAATACAATCTGCAATCTTTTTTCATTATCTCTTTGTTGATGTGCAAAATATTTAATTATATATTCACTCACTTATATTGAAAAAATGTTCCCTTGAAAATACAAAGAATTTACTTTGTAGTTATCTGGAATTTCATATTATTTTTTCATTTTGATATTCTTTAACTTTTGACGAGCCCAATATGCTAGTCAAACCAGAAACATGCTTATGTATAGACATGTTCATTTCGCATTATATGATGCCCATTGCTATTTTAAGATTCTCTGTGATTGTTCAACACTTTTTTTTTGTAAATTCATAAAATAGTATAGATATTTAACATCTGAAGTAGAATAAGATATAGATCAGCAATTTTCCTTCCGGAAATTTAAATATTTTATACGAGTAAATAGCTTAAATAGCTCTGTGATGATAGATAAAAATATAAAGATTAATCTCTTGATCAAAATTATTATGAATACTTTTGGGCTGGAATGGTGCAATATTAATAGATATTAAAAATATTAAATAGGTAAATATTTAGACACTTAGAAATAAAAATATTAGGGAAACAAGAAAATTGCGTTAATGTCAAACTGATAATATCTGTCAAGTTGTGTAGACTTAAATCACAAGATTTTTTGTGTAAAAACGTTCTGGCATTTATAGTTTTAAAAATTTTCAGTGGCTTCCAGCTGTAAATAAGCATTTCTCTTTTATAAATGACACATGTTAATATGTTAAATTAAATTTCAATGAATGCAATTCAAATTCTAAGAAAAAAATATAGAATGATTCCAAATATCATATTAGATATCAACTAAAATATTTCGAAGAAAATGTTTGAAGAAATTGTCGGTAGTAATTTTAATTCGAAAGTTGATTTATTTAAATCAAAATATATTCTAAATATCTGCATATGTATCAAATTTTCAATGTGAAAGTTTAAGCAATGTATCTATTTAGCACAAACATAACTTATCTTTGACATTCATAGTTAGAAGCATTAGTTTCATATAGATATATACATCTCTTTTGTAAATATGATTTCTTTTTGTACTTTTTACCAATAAAATGATGATGATGAACAATAAACTTGATTTATTTATTTTTATTAGATATTTATCACTATTTCATTTTTGTACAAGATCATAATGTTTTATATAAATACTTCATCATAAAAATGTAATGGTGACTTTAATGAAAATAAGTGTTCCAGAATTTGTAATTATAAGACACTTTAGCCATCTGTTCAGAAAATTTTGCATACTTGTTTTATTTAGAGCAACTTATGTAAATATTGCAAAGCAAATAGTTCTCATGTACATATATGTATGCTTATATATTTTTCCCATATTTTTTAAATATGGGATAAATATATAAATATATTTATATACAAATACGTTGGTACATCTGTTTCTCACAAGTATTTTTATTTATTTCTAAGATTAAAAACTCCTCACTTTTGTGTTTTTAACTTTTTATGTTCATCGCTCTTCCTTTTTTAAGCAAAACAGAAAAAGTTTACGCAGATTTCGATTTAATATGATCATTTAATGTAAAACACTTTGGTTTCTTAAAGATCAATTTCGATAAGCTCACTGATCATGTTTGACACAATGAAATGGTTTTAAACTAGAAGCATGAAAAAAATTCACACACTTTCGACAAGGCATTTAATTAAAAAGAAAATCGACATAATATATGTACATATAGATTTTAATTCATTTACGAGATTGAACATTGAAGAAGTCATCTGGAACAAATTTCGAAATCGGAATTATTAAATACTTACATATTTATGCTTGGATAATTGATATTCTCCATCCATGAACTTTTTCAATCATATGGTTTCATTAGGCACTTAAAATATCAACCATTGCTCTCGTTGAATTTAAGAGTGTTTGACAATCTCATTAATGGTTCAACTCAGAGCACATCATTTCACTCTCAATGTAAGGCTACATATGCAACATAATGAATTCTTTTGAGACAAATCGAAGGGATTGAGTTTATAATCAGTGAGAATTTAAGAAATTATTTCATTCTGTGTTCATAAATCCATCGAGTCAGTCAGAACAGATTTGAAAGTTCCATTTCTACTGGCCTAAAGATCAGTTTTAGTGCCTTAAATATATGTCAGTGTGATTATCAATCGGGTGTAAAAAACATAAAAATTAAAGAAAACTAGACTAAAGTTTCTCGTTTGTAACAAATATTTTCAGGACGATGATTTCAGTGTTTGAGTGATTTAATGACTTCAATATATTTTTCCCATAATTTGTAAAATATACATACTGATTGGAAGTGAGAAAACAGAAAATATTTTCAGGATAAAAAGTATCTTTAATATTAAGTAGTATTATGGATACTATGAAATGGTTAAAAATTTTCATCATTGTAATTATCCTAGTGAATGGATGTTCATCTGTGAGTAAAGTTATGACAATAATTAGAAGAGTCTAGTTCTTATCGTTTTCTACTTTAAAATTCCGGAAATTGAATACATATAAGAGAGATACTTCAGTGTTGAGTTGAAAGGTCAATCCGTTAAATGCGAAATTTTTTCTATACAATTTGATTTGTCTAGATTTGTAGCTATAGTTGAGAATGAAAAAAAAACACGCACACAATATTTTTGGTGTCAAAAAATGTGATCAATGTTAAAAATAATAATAGATGATAACAAAATGTTTTGAGTTACTGACACTTTAATAGAGGGTAGACGCATAATGATTTAACTGACTGACGTTTAATGCATCTTAAACATAATCAATGGAAGATATTCCTCACATTTTTTTATTTATCTTCGAAAAGAAAATTTCAAATTTATTTAATGTGTATATATTATATTTAAAAGCAAAAACTAAAAGAAAATGTCAACCTTGAATACTAAATAAATTAGGTCAGTTAAAATTCCAATATAAATGTGTATATACATCATCATCATCATCAAGTCTCGGACGAGTTTCTCCTTATNGTATATACATATATATATATATATGAATATTTTGGATTATTTACGAAATAGATAAAAACAAATTCGTTGTGAAAATTTTAATTGCATAATAGACACGTACTTAATCAAACACACGTAATTATTCTAAATCACCTATTTCGTTCATCAAATAGGATATCTTAACACAAAAAAATGCAAACAGAGAGAAGAGAGCTTCGCATAGAGGCCAAACACAATCACAATATTTAAGTTTTGGGGGTGATGACGATGGAAAGGCCGAAGCAGAAGCCACTCATGTATGTAAATTTCAATTGAATACTTTATAGGATTTTTTAATAATAAATTGAAAATGATTTAGACTGGTTCTCGTGCAACAGTTTGTGAGTATCAACAATATAATTTATGTAAATTATCGTTTGTATAACCATTTCTCGTATCGATTACTTCACATCTCCATAAAGATGGAAAAAATGGGATGGGACAAGCGCAAAGTCAGTCTATGGGAGGTGATTGTACTGATTGTTATGTATCTGGTGAAGAAGGCATGTAAATTGTATTCAATTAAAATATCTTTTGAAATAAATAAAAGATTCTTGAAAAGGTGGAAGATCAGATTTTGTGAAACGGCCAGGAAAACCAGGTGGCACACGACCAGAAAGTATTCGTCGACCAGGAATACCTTCTCAAGGACCTAATATTATTCCTGATACATGGAGTGATGCTAGAAAACCTAGTGGAATCCATGTGGGAGAAGTACAGCGACCTGGAAGATGGGGTGAAGGCTCTAGACCTGGTGAAGTAATTTCTGGAGGAAAACAACAACCTGGAGGATGGAGTGGAGATGCTCGGCCAGATAGAGAAGGAATACAACAACCTGGAAGGTGGGTTGGAGAATCAAGACCTGGTGATGTCATTTCTGGAGGAAACCAACAACCCGGTGGATGGGCTGGAGAATCTAAAGCTAGCGGCCCTTTTCAAGGAGGCACACAACAACCTGGTAGCTGGGGTGGTACTTTAAGACCCGTTGGAGGTACACATCAACCTGGAGGCCCTTCTCAAGGAGAAACACAACAGCCAAGAGGATGGGGGGGAGATTCTAGACCTGCTGAAGTGAGTGTTGGAGGGTCACAACAACCTGGAGGAAGGGGTGGAACTTTAAGACCCGTTGGAGGTACACATCATCCTGGAGGCCCTTCTCAAGGAGAAACACAACAGCCAAGAGGATGGGGTGGAGGTTCTGGACCTGGTGAATTTCGTCCTGGAGGCACACAACAACCCAGAGAGTCTGGTCAAGGAGGATTACAACAACCTGGAGGATGGGATAGAGGTTCTAGACCTGGTGGAGTTATTATTGGAGGAACACAGCAACCTGGAGACCCTTCTCTTAGAGGAACAGAACAACCTGGAAGATGGGGTGGGAATGCGAGACCTGGAGATGTTATTATTGGAGGAACACAACAAACTGGAGACCCCTCTCACGCAGGAAGACAACAACCTGGAGGATGGGGTGGAGTTGCTGGACCTGGTGAATTTCGTCCTGGAGGCACACAACAACCCATAGAGTCTAGTCAAGGAGGATTACAACAACCTGAAGGATGGGATAGAGGTTCTAGACCTAGTGGAGTCATTATTGGAGGAACACAGCAACCTGGAGACCCTTCTCTTAGAGGAACAGAACAACCTGGAAGATGGGGTGGGAATGCGAGACCTGGAGATGTTATTATTGGAGGAACACAACAAACTGGAGACCCCTCTCACTCAGGAAGACAACAACCTGGAGGATGGAGTGGAGGTTCTAGACCTGGTGAAGTGAATGTTCGAGGGACACAACAATCTGGAGGTCCATCTGAAGGAGATACACAACAGCCCGGAAGGTGGAGTGGAGGTGCTAGACCTGGTGATATCATTTCTGGAGGAACACAACATCATGGAGGTACATCTGAAGGAGATACACCTAGAGGCCCTTTCCAAGGTGGAAAACAACAACCTGGAGGATGGAATAGAGGTGGTACATTTATAAACCAACCTACAACAGATACTACGAAACCTGATGAAATAAGAAAGCCGGGTGGTGTGAACGGTATTCACCTATAAAGCATATTATGTTAAAAATTAAAATAATCTAATTTTAGGAGTTTATGCTACTGATCATAATGGCGATCCACATTTCATTCCTTTACCACATGGCTCAGATCATAGCGTGATAAATCCTGGAGGATTGACAGTTTTAGTGGGAACGGGTGGACCCCGTCAAACTGTCATTGGTGGGGGGCAAATTGACGGCCCATTGAGAATAGTTCCTTCGCCTCAGAAAGTTTCAGGTGTAAGTTCACAAACCGTTTATGCTCCTTCTGGTGGAGTGACTGTTTTAGTTGGAACAGGTAGAAATACTTTTGGTTTATTTTGAGTTTGATAATACAATTGTTTTTGATTATAATAAAGGAGGACCAACACAAACTGTTCATCACTCTTCATCTTCTATTCAAACATCTCAAGATATAAGCAAAAGCAGAAGTGATGCAAATGATTTATCAGATATTGACAATATATCTGCTATTGATAAAAAAAAGTACAGAGATCGAGGCGATCAACCAGGTTACATTATAACACCTGGACAATTAGGAGCAAATGGGGTCAAACCGGAAACATTTTCCAGGGATGGAAAAGTGAATAGTGGCGATACTTACTATCCTAGTCATGCTGTAAAAAACGAATATCATCCATTAACTCCTGGATCTCAAATTGTTGACGATAATGGAAGAAAAATTTTAGATGGAACTGTTCAACCACCTATCATGAAAACTGAAAATGACGGTAACAAATATTTTCCAAATATAGCAGGAACTCAAAGTAGACCACATGGTGATGGAAATATTGGCTCAGTATATCCCATAACTTACGGTAAAGAAAGAAGTGATTATCCTTCTGGAACAGGAATACACCCAACTAACAAAATTAATGGAAGAGGAGAGACATCCAATTACTACCCAGTTTCAGGTGGTAATAATGGTGATAATTTTTATTATCCTAGGGTTCCAGAAAAGCAGGTCCCTAGTGGCAGAGAACATGGCTTCCTTCCTAGTGGGACAGATGGACAAAGAACTTATTATTCACCTGATAGGGGGAATGGAAGAGGTCCAATAACTGATTACTACCCAATTCCTGGTGCTGGTATTGGTGATAATTTGTACTATCCTAGACGACCAGGGCAGCAGGTTCCTCATGGTAGTGATTATGGATTCAGACCCAGTGGGATCGATGAGCAAAGGAGATATTATATACCAAATTCTGGTATACAAACAGGTCGTGAAAATGTTGGAAGTGTAAAATATCCTACAAGTTCTTCACAGCCTGTGGGTAGAGGAGACGGAGGAGAAGTCTATTATACTTCAGGTAACATGTATCCACATGGACCAAAAAGACCAATTGATAGAGGAGACTACCACCTCTCAGAACCTGATATGAGAACTACACCATGGAAAGACGGAAATGAAAATACATTTTCGCCAACTCATGGTAGTGGGGGTTATTATCCAGCAGATTCCAGGAAAACTTACGAAACTGGGATTCCTTACCCATCAGGTTTACCAAAGTCTCCTCTTCCAGTAGATGGCAGTAGAGCATTTTATATTCCTGGAAAAGATGACAGATACTATTCTTCAGGACCTTCCAATAGAGGTTACTATCCTTCTATACCTGAAACTATTTATCGTCCATCTACAACTGATTCTCAAGATCATGGACCCTCTCAATATCATCCTCCAACTACAGTACACTCAGATGGGGTATACTATCAACCTGGGAAAAATTCTCAAACCGTTGATAATTTCGGCTCATATCCATCCGGAGAAGCTCCAGCTGTTAATGAAAAGAATATTACTAAAATTAAAGATTCTGATGTTGGAGCACCAGACAGTTTAACTGAAGATGACTCATTTTCTCAAGCTGGTAATGAGTAATATTATTGAATGAGAATCGTTAAATATGTTGCTTTTTCATATTTCAGAGTCGGCGATAAAAGGAGGAGAAGTTAGTGCCAGTGCTCAAGGAACAAAAAATGGAGGAACTGCTCAAACTCAAGTATCGGGAACATACACTGGAAAGGGATCTTTTTCGGCAACTGCCCAAACATCGGACAAAGATAGATCGGCTCAAGCACAAGTATTTATACCAGATTATCTAAATGAAGAATACAAAAATGTAATATATATTTTTACAGGTATCAGGTGGAAAAGAGGGGGCCATGACATCTTCACAAGGTCAAGGTGGATCCGCAAAATCTCAAGCTCAAATTGCTGTTGATGCCAAAACCGGTGGAACTTCAGCTACATCGCAAAGTGGAGGATCAGACCATGAGAGCCAATCCGAAGTAGTTGCAAATGAGAAAGGTGGGTTAGCCGATGCTCAATCAAGTGGTCCTGGTCAAACATCTTCACAAGCTCAAATTGGTTTTAAACCTCAAGAAGAAGATAGTGCAGAGTCAGTTTATAATGTTTTTAATGGTGGAGGGACTGCTTCATCACAATCAGGTGCTTTAACGGGTCAAAGTCAAGCTCAAATCAACGGAAAATTTAAGTTAGTAACACTTTGTTTTAGATTTTAAGAAACTTTTAACTTGCTTTTAAAATATTTTAAGATTTGGCATATCATACCATGGCGCTGCTCAATCGGCTTCAGGAACTAAAGAAGAAGTGAAAAAAATACGAGATAAAAGCAAATCTCTATTTAGAAACATAGAATTATTTGGAAAATCGAATAAGTATGTTCTATAAAAAATTTAAAAAAAAATTGGAAAATCAACTTTAATTTTTTACTTAGAAAAATAGAAATTAGTCACAATGATTACGACGATCCGAATAAATTACGTTCTCGTTCTTCTAAAACTGTAACTGGTAATGTTTTTGATTATAGGATAATATAAAATATTGTTTACATATAATCTTATTTTAAAACAAAAAAAATTTCTTTACTGTATAAATTAGTAACATCTTCAAATCCAACGCTGCTTTCATCACCTAAGATTGAAAATACATTAAAAATTGAAGATGAAGAAGATTATGATGAAGACGATGACGATTTAGACGAAGAAGATGATGAAGATTACTACTCACAGCCTGAAAGATACGAAGCTAAATCTTCTAAAACAATGACAACAACCGAATACCCTGAGGAATTATTAGAAACTACAGCTAAGAATTGGAATGAAGACACAACAATAAGAATTTTCTCTCAACGAACTCCAACACAAAAACAAGTGACAACGATTATCAATCCCGACAAGAACGTACGACTAGTTCAGACTCAGAACGGTCGTACAATCAAATATCCACCAGTTTTTGACTCACAAAAAATAGATAGATCTAGTGGCTACGAGAAATCAGATTCTAATCCTCAAGATATAACAATATCTAAAACGACACAAAAGATCAAATATAAAACCAGATATCTGCCTTCAAAGCCAAGCGGGGATAAAAATAGTATCGATAACGATAATAAGCAAAAACTCTTGAAACCTGACAGTTATGTTTCTGTTACAAACTCGCTTTCAGGAAGTTTGAATGAAAAATCTAAGGAAAATGGAAAATTTGCTTCAACTTACTTCACAAAATCTAGTACATGCGGTCATTTTACATTCAGTTGCAATATAGTATATGGCTCCGAAGGAAGATCTCGTATATGCAGACCAAAACAAGACAATCAAAAATGTTAAACTATTTTCTCAATCTCATCTAATTACTTCAATGTTCTTTATCTTAATATTTTGAGAAAATATATAAAGATATATCTATCAATTTTTATATCATTATCAAACAGAAAAAAACAGTGGCCTAAGAAATATTAAATGTCATTTAACACGTGTTTACATACATTTACAGTAAAGGAACAAAAAAAAATGTAACAAAAGAGCACCAATTACTAATAAGCAAAAGAACTTTCCACAAAAAATTCAATTTTTCAATTATTACCTAAATCAAAATCATCTTAAATTGATAATAAATAGATATTCAGAAATCAGGTTTGTTTTGACACTAAATCGTCAAGGAATGTTTTTAATTTCAGGTTGCAATATAATATTTATTAAAACGACAATATTTGCTATTAAAGTACTTCACATTACATATTTGTATTATAGATAAAAACTATTAACAGTTTCACATTTCCAAAAATAAGATATAGGTATTTTAAAAGTTAAATATGAAAAGCAAATATCATGACTGAGTTGTTTATTACATATGACAATTATCATAAACTTTATTTACAAAGCTACATAAAGTAAGATTATTTTGGGAGGAAACTTATGAAAAGTAAAAGTGCATATAAGAATTATTTTGAGATCTGAAAATTATTTAATCTAAATATCAGTTAATCCGTATGCAGTGACGGAGTTTCGACTGAAATTTTTTTTTATAAAGGATCTAAGAAAAAGTGTCACGTCAAGTGTTGCAAATTTTTTCATTAATCCACATATATGTGATATTGTAAGATGAATCAAAAAGATGATCATCAAAAGCAACAATATGCTTTGATTAGGTTTTCATGCTGAACGTTAAAGAATTGTTTGTGGCCTGCCTCCATCGTAATCATTATCTGGCTCGTATTTATGAAGTCTAAAAGTAAATAAGGAAATTACATTATTAAAATTAATAATTATAAATTAACTGTTTAGAATGAGGAAACTTCAAAGACAACCAAAGCAGGCATGCATGTAATGAGATAATTATTTTAAAATTTAAAAGAACTACACTGACTTACATCTTCGTCATCATCTTCTGATACTTTAAAACCATCAAGATTAAAACTGTCAGCTAATTCAGAATTTTCTGTTTTTTTAGATTGAATCTGATTATAACAGCTTGATTTGCTGGATGAAGCATTGCAATCAAAGCTTTGAGAATTTTCATGTATATTTAAACTAGTTCTAGAATCGTCGATAGAAATTTCGGTACTTTTTACGAATCTTTGATTTGCAATGTGGCGTTCATTTCTCCGTGAAGAATTTTTTGAAACTGAATTAGCATTGTAAGATTTTACTGAGTGGCGATTATCAAATCTTTGTTTCACGCGTTCAAATTCTGTTCGATTTTTTCCATCAAACGATAGATCATCTTGAGTTAAAAACGAGGTCTTTGCATCAATATAGTGCTTGGGCTTCGCGCCGAAGTTTGAGCACTTTGAATTGTCAAAGAATTGTTTCAAGTCATTAATATTTGGGCGGTATTCCTTATTTAATTTTGGAGAATCTGCTGCATGTGTGAAATGCTTGGGGCTTGAATGCCTATTTCGAAATGTTTCATAAGATGACATTGTGAGTTTGTTAATAAATGATTAAATAGTTTACATTTAACGTTAAGCAATTTGCAAGCAATGAAGAGTTAATAAAGTGGTTTTTAGTGTGGTTAAAAATGTCATAAGAAAGCGTGAAGCAGCGTCCAATAATGAAAATATTACAAGCGTTAGTTTATTTTTCTTTTACAATCGTTATTTTTACCTTGCATGAAGTTCTTCGTTAGTTCGTTGTAATCTTCGAACAGCCGATGAAGCTGAATCAAGTTCATCTTCGGCAATAGTTAATTCCTTTTTTAATTCTTCCACTCTTGACCTAAGACGCTTTACTTCTGTCTCATATTGTTCTGCACGACGCACTGCATGTCCCATCTCAATATTAGCTTCAGAGAGCATTTTTTTTACTTTGCTTTGAGAGTGGCGCAACTCAGTTATTTCCTACAAAGATGAAGGTGACAAAAACATTATTCTATATTATTCATAATCAGTAAAGTTATGTAGGTACTTTGTTTTTTTCCATTAATTCTTGTTGAAGCAGACGAAGTTCAGAATCCAAAGCATCTTGAGGTCGCATGGCATTAAAACCTGATCTTCCAGTTGAAACTTGAAAATCTAATAGTTCTGCTTTTATCTTTTTATTTTCTCTTTCAAGTGTAATTTTTTCTGATTCGAGGCGTTCTCTTTTTGCCCATTCACAAGCGTTTTCTGATTGAAGTCTTTCTAGTTCTGCTCTTGTTTCAAACAAACGACGTTCTAATGACTCACGGTCATTCATCTCTTCCTGGAGAGAATTATTGATAATTCTTAATTCAGCATGGTGAGTTTCTTGCATAGTTAGAAATTCTCTAACAGCATCTTTCTTGCAGTCTTCTAATTCTTGACGAAGCTTATCAATCGATTTTAACAAGTGTTTTTTTTCACTAAGAGAAATATATCAGAGAAGAATATAAATTATATATACTTAATAAACTTTATAAGTGTTTATATTTGCTCACTCTTTTTCTCCACTCAAAGCCTTAACAGCATCATCTAAACGTAACTGCAGCATTTTCAGTTTTTGAGTGAAATATTCAGTGTCATCATCATCGCTTTTTGAATTCAATTTTTGAATGAGTTGTTTTTCTTCAAAATCCGCATCAAATTTTTTAGACAATACTTCGTGTGACTGCGTTTCAATAATTTTATTGTCTTTGTTATCCTCATTTTCACCAACAGACCTTGCTTTGGTTACCAACCCATCTTCTGAATTTACATTCTTTAGACCATCGTTTGAAAATTGATCGGGAGATTCATTTATGTCTCTTTCAGGTTCTTTTTGCTGACCAGCATGCTTCATTAAGGAAAGATGTACTTTTTCCATTTCTTTCTTCAACTGCGAAATTTGAATTTCAAGCTCATTTTTTTCTTTTTTAAAAGAATGAGATTCTTTCACAGCTGATTCAAGCTGACTTCTTAACTGCTTTGCTTCTTCCCTTGCTTGATTTCTCTCGTTTCGAACTTTTGCCCATTTTTCACGCCAGTTAGAAGTGCATTCCGACCACCATCTCATAGTCTGAAATCAAAAATAATTTTGAAAGAAGAAATAAAACATGAAAAAATATAATTTCTTCTACGATGATATGTAAATAAACTTAAAAACCTTTTCCATTTGTTGAGCTCTTCCCTTAGCTTCTTCCAGCTCACGTTGTCTTTGAGTTTCACGAATTTCCCATTCATTTTGATTCATCTTAATTGATATATTATTAAATATTTTCTCAATTTCGTTTCCTTTTTTCAGATTCTATCGATCACACAAATTTATGCGACATACTTTCTGAGCAACATCATAGGGTGATCATGAAGGATAATATACTTATAAGCTGATTTTTGTAGATACAGTGTACAAGTTTTTTATAATAAAATCGCCATTATAGCTATGAAAAATTGCTTTGAATTAATCAAGTAGGTAGATGTACAAGAAATGAAGTGTAGTGTATATGATAAATTTTGGTTGCAATGTCTGACCGACATACTAAATTTTCCTACCTATATTGTACTAAAAATATAACTTGTACTAAACTGTATTGCTGCTTCAAACAAAACTTTTAGTCTACATAAAAATCTTAAGAAAGAAACTCAAAAAATGGATTAGTCGTCAAAAAATAATTATATTATAGGATTTTTCCTTTAATTAAATATCAAAAAAGGTTTTAAAGTTTCTGTGTTAATATGGTAATCATGAAATAAATGTGAAAGTGAAGAAATTAAAACGAAATTTTGTGAAATTCGACGCTTAAAAAATTCTTGTTCAGTCGCTCACCAACACAAACATCGTAATTTATGAAAATGGAATCCACCATTTGATTCGAGTCAAAGAAACCAAATTTTTTTTTCTGTAAATAGTTTGATTAATTTTAAGGGTTTTAAAAACTTTCATCTTACGTTGGTCGAGTGTTTTGCTGATTCCTGTTTTTTTGATTATTCAATTGTAATCAGTCTAATGAAGTAAATGCATTTTCGCCATATTCAAGAAAGAGCACTCAAAATAATATGGTGGCAAATAATTAATTGAAAGATAAAAATACCACATACGAGCAGTCATTTCTTTTTTGTCTTAGTATATTCAACATAGTAAGCAAGGAATGAAAAGTAAAATATCCAAAACTAAAAAAATTGCTATTTGTGTGATACGAAATTTATAAAATTGTTGGATAATTAATAGATTTCTCTGACACAAAAAAAAATTCGTGCTGTAACGAAAAACGCAAATGAAAACTTCGCATTTTTCGGAAAATTTTGACTTGTGTCACCCGCAATCGGGTAGTGAACATTCAAACAGTAATTTCACGTCAAATACAAACTTTTCAAGTGATATTGCATCGAGACATGGCTCGTTTGGCACATCAGCAACACTAAACTATTCATTATCATCTACATCGTCAGTCTCTGCGATTGTTACAACATATGGAAGCAGCTCAAGTGAGCAGCACTCAGCGAAATTCGAAAAAAATGCTAATGAGCTATCTCTAAAAAACCATCAAAATCAACAGCAGCAACAAGAACAAAATAAAAAGAGAAAACGCGAGACAGGTGAATACTTACAAATTTTTATTTATTTTTATGAATAATTTGTGTCCTGAATTTAAAATGAAGACATTTTTTTCGACGATCTAATATTTTATATAGATTGAAAACTAAACATGAAAAACCGTCAGATTTTCACAGTCAGTTTATATAGATATCTAGAAGATTAAATATTAATTTGTGAATTACTGGACATGTTCTGTAAAAATATTTTTTATTTTAAAAATATATTTTTGATTTGTTAGTAAAATGTAAAAATATCATTCCTGCAAATTATGAGCTACTCTGACCTTATGTCCGTTCGAAAATTTCTTTAACTTAACACGAAATATTCCTGAAAGTAACTGAATAGAAAGTTTAAAGTAAACAAATTTAATTTTAAGGCAAAGGATGTCTTAAGAAATGAAATAATACTTAAATAATATTTATAAGTATATATTGAGTACATAGATATAAGTTAACTGAGAAAAAGTTTTTTTTTTGTTTTTTGTAACAAAAATTGTGAGACATAATTTCTTCGTACGCAGAATAAAGTCGTATAACTATGTTTAATGTCATACAATCTTTGCAAGATCAAATGAAAGCAACCAGTGAAGCCCCAATGTGATTAAGGTCCACAATAACAATAGCTTGTTACGAGATAATAAGAGAAATTAATTTGCTTTCCATAAAGTATTCTACTTTCGAAAGCTTCTCTTCGAAACCTTTCTCTCACATTGCTTACCTTTAATTAAATTAAAAATATTTCATTTTGATCAATTATTTATCATTTGAATTCATATATTTGCATCAGTTTCTTTGTTAATAACTTCAGATGACATGCCGAAAATTACATTCTTTGGTCTTTAAAGAAGTTAAGAATATATTTTAGTTTCAACATAACGTGTTTCTGCACAACTTTGCTTTATTTTGTATTTGTTTTTAATTAACTAACACAAATATATGTGAAACATCAACGTAAAATCCTTTTTGCTATACTTCAATGCTATAACACTTAAATTGATTACAAATTCCATGTTTCGGCAACATTCACTAGGTACTTATACATTTTCCTTTCGTTGTCGAAGTTACAGCTTGATTTCTTTCAGTGACTCGCAAAGTGAAAACACAATGGGATTGCTAGATTTTGCTTTAATCATTTCGAACACAATCTTCGTCTTGTTTGTCGAAAGTTTCTTTTTTCTTTCGAAGACAAAAAATCTCAGCTTCATGAATTTTTAAGTCGTTCTTTTTTCGTTTTATTTTTAAAATTAAAATTAAAAGAAATGAAAATATAAAAAATTACAATTTTACGTTTTTCGTTTCTTTTGTAAACGTAAAACTCGCAACATTCATGTACGCAAAGAGTGTGTAAGATAAGAAGAGTAAAGCATATAAAATGAATAAATGCAAATTACCTAAAAGATATATTATCGAATACTAACTAACTAACATAGCTTCAGTGTGAATTTTTAATAGATAAATAAATACGTCATATATCTCGCATACATGCATATGCATAAATATGAGTATAATATATGAGTATATATTTTATATTTTATGAAAGTGAAGTTAAAATTTATTTAATACAGAGAAAAATTATGAATTCATATTTAGGATGTAAAACCATTAATTATGAATGCAATTTCAAATCACCAATTGACATTTGAAATTGAAAATACCTAATTTGGTAAGAATATGAATGTTTGAAATATTTCCGAAAAATGTTGCAATTACTTTCTAAACTATAAATACTTCCTTCAATTTTCAAAGAAAAGTGTAGTCATAAATAATTTTATTTATTTGAGTTGAGATTTTTGGTATTTATAATAAAACTATAACAAAANTTTTTTTTCACATCACAAAAAAAGTTCAGCAAATCTTGGAATCTAAATAGATCTCGTAAAAATTGTTATTTTTACTTGTTTTTGCTTAAAGTTTGAATATAACAAGCTATTTAAAAGAAAAAAAAGATGATTCTAACGCAAAATAAATAGGTAATTCGATATTATGGGAACATAAACTAAACATTCATACACAGAAATCAATCGTTTAATAAATTCGTACATAAAGTTTCATTTCCAATATTTATATTTGATTCTCCTTATTATTCATATTGTTTGATATATTTTAATTATACTTTTCACATACTTTCAATACTTTTAAAGATATTTTTGGAATTACATACGCTGTATCATAAAAAAAATAATCATTTGATATTCTATTTCTTATAAGAAAATTTCGCGCAGGAAATTTGCTAAAATAAATATATCAAAAATTAACCACTAAGTATCTATGTTAAATTTTGATGTTTTTTACTCTTTGTGCCAATTCCTGAACCATGTTTTCTTCGGAGCTGCTAAAACCTATAAATTTTTTTATTATAAATAAATATACAGCGAAGTATACAGGTCTTGTGTTCTTTTTTCCCTGTTCAGAAAAATACATTGAAATTCATTTAAAAACATTTGCGGTGTGGCGAGAAAAACAGACAACGCTGTATATGATCATCTACAGAGCAAATTTATATTTATTTCTCTGTCTGTTTATTACTATATAGATAATTGAATTTTGGTTTTATATTTTATTTTCATTTGTAGTTCTTAAGCACTCTTAATTAATTCTTTCAACTTTCATAAAAAGAGTTATATATGACATGACATTACTAATGAAAGTCAAAATTTTAGAAAAAAGTTATACAAAATCTCCCATGTTCTTAAAGATGTCTGATCTTGAGCAGAAAGGGGAAAAATATAAAACATTCAATTAGTATAACAATTTTATATTTTTCATATTTCTTTAAATATAATATTTGTTTATCACAGTTTCATTCCAAGAACCTGTCGTAAACCAGAGGGAAAACATAACTACATACAATTTTCATGTTGAAAATAAAATCCTATTGATAAGGCTGCATACCCAGAAATATTCTAGACGATAGCCATTTACATGTTCTTATTTTTCGCTAGAAAAATCTATGTTTTAAATTGAGACATCCATGAAAATTCATATTTCATTATATGCTGGATAGAATAAAAATAGCGATTTCAATAAGTTTAACACTTATTAATAAATATGTCAGGACCTAGAACATAAACATTTTTAGGTGTGAATAAAAAGAGAGTGGTAAATACGCATATCACACGCGAAAGGTCTGTTAATTGACATTCTCTTTTATTTAGTGTTGCGAACGTATATGAAAAAAATACAAACAAACAAAAATGGAGATTTAAATAAGTGGATTTTCCATGTAAGCCCCAAACTAACCTTGGTAGAGGTGAGAAATTATTGGAGGTTTTCCATGAAACGTCACTCATTTTACAAATATAAACGTAATACTAATCTAAGAAAAGTTCAAATATTGAGGTTTTCTTTGATGACTCATGCGTTTTTCCATTGGAGATTCCACTATTTTAATGCTTGAAAAAATTATATGAATTTCGAATGATATTTCATAGTAGTTGTTTCATTTTAGAACATCATTTTGAAAAGCCAGACTCAACATTTATAATAGAAAAGAACAATGATCGTAATTTATTAAAATCAGAAGCTTTCTAAAACTGTGACTTTGTAATTTTCCAACATAAGGAAAAAAAATATCCTGGTTGAAAAATGGTTTCATAGTTTTTTAAATTATTTTAATATTTTTTCTTGCATAAAATGTTTGGAAAAAACAGTTTGAAACTTTGAAATGTCATAGAAAATAAAATCGATTGAACGACCGCATTTTAGTTTTTTTAAATCTCAACTCATTCGCTCCTTTCGCCATCATGGTATTATTTTTAAGTCGCAATCATGGTGCTTTTCAGCAGCTCTTGTTTCATTAATAAAGTCTCCCTCACACAAAACCATACTTTAATATGTGATGTGTGTAATATCTAAAAGTAAACGTTTGGGTGTGTGTGTGTGTGTATAGATGTGCAAGTGAATATTAAGCTGAATAATGAATCAACTTGTTATTTTGTTTTTGAAATGCGTAGATAGTAATACTCATAATACTTTAAAAAAGTGATATGCCTCAATCATTGGAATGATTTCAATATAAAAAAAATAATTTATCATAAATCCATTTTAGAGAATACTCTCGACCTTATAACTTCGGGAATACTGTTATCACTTAAACCCTCAACAATAACATCAGATAAAATTCTGAACACATAGGTTAAAGTATTTAGAATCTGTTTTGATTTGTATTGGGATTTAATTAAAAAAGTTGTTGATATTACCTGAGATAAAAAAGACATTTTTAACAAAATGATATGACAACAATCTTTTGTAACAAAATTGAGAAACATAATGATGCAAATTGAGAGCCTTAAAAGAATTGAATTTTAATGAAATATGTAGGTACATAGTTTTCACTCTTCAGATGTATTTTAATTTTAATATTAGATACTAGTGTGCTTGTGAAATTTGCAAAATTAAAAAACTAACGTTATTAAATGCAAAAAATATTGAAACTTTTCTATTTTGTATTTAGTCTCCCCATATCTAAATATCTCGTAACAAAATTTATTTTTCCATTTGTTATAGCCGAAGGGATATTGGATTTTTGTCAAGGAATCCTCATGTAATGAAATACTTAAAATTTAAAATTTTGAACTTTTCTTTGGAAGCTTGTCATTTGAGTTTCGAATCCCAATTAGGCGTTTGAGTTTTGTTATGAAGCTATTGACTTCACATAAGATTTTCTGTTCCCCTTTGTTCCCTATGTTAACTAATTTTTTTTCCCTTTACGCTTTCTCCCTTTGCCTACAATTCTCCACAGCTGATGCGGGTTGTGATTGTGGTTGCGTTGATAGCCAAGTAAGTTCCTTTTACTGTCTTCATCTGTTAAGTTTATTTATTAATAAGTATTACTTAATTACTCTTTTTTTAATTTATTTTCAATATTTTCTAAAAATAATATTAATTTTCAACAAAAATTTACGCTTTATTTACATGAACAGACGATTATCAGCACGACAAGCACATTGAATCCATCGCATTCCCAACAACAATCTTCAATAATGGGCGCTCCATCTAATGGATCTAAAACAGCTCATTCAAAAGTTGCAAATGGAACGAACATAGGAACAAGTGGTAATACAAATCAAGCAACAAGTAAAAGATCAAGCAGTGGAGCTGACGGTGATTATCAATTGGTACAACACGAGGTGTTGTACTCACAGTCAAGTCAATACGAGGTGAGTTGTCTTTTTTTAAGTTTCTCGACATCAATTTCGAAGGTTAGAAAAGCACTTTTTATTTAAAAGTATTTGTTGAACCTTTCAATGAATATTTCCATTCAAAAGAATTTAAGCTAGCAGAAAAAGCGCCACCAAAAAAATAACGTTACGTGAAACATTTCAACAGAGACGATTTCTATACGTCACATACAAAATGAAAGATTAAAATTAAAAAAAGAATCCGAAAAACAAAATATCATATATTTGACCATATTGAAATTTGAGGGGCTTACTAATACCAATATAAATACTACTCAATAAAAAAACACAATATCTGGCAACGTTGCACTCTACATTCGCCATTACTTTGCTTATAATGTTCATCGCTTGGTCCATCCGTTGAAACAAATACGTTTTCATTTATTTGCTTGCTTCGTAGCAAAAAAAACAACTAAAAATGAATTTTTACGTAATTTGTTTTTGAAATGGAAAGAAAACGACGTCTTTTATTTATAGAAGAAAAAGAAGTTGTTGGTTGATGTGTATGACAAGCAAGCACACAAAGTGAATTGTTGCTTACGCGTTACAAAAAAAGCTGGAAAAACATGAAATACAGCAATTGAAGTGAATACATAAATAAGAAACTAAAAATGATTTCCGAAACCAAGTTCGACAGATAACCAACTAACATATTTATAAATTTTTCCCAATATGCTCATTTTTAACTTATAATTTCTTTGCCAAATAAAACTTCTCTTGTGCTATGCAAATAGAATGTTTTAACATAAAAAAGAAAAACACGAAAAGCAATGAGAACGGCCCTAAAATCGATTGAGTGCTAGATTTTACACTAAGCTATGCTACCTTTTGTTTTAACCTAATTTTACATAGGTAATGGAATTTTTTCGCCCACAAAACTAATAAACTATGAAAGTGAGTTATCTTTTAACTAAAGATCAATAAACTCTCACATTACGTTACGTCGTGTGGTTATGATAAAACTTTTTTTTACCTTTAATGTCTATTTTTTACCATTAAGCCTTTAATAAACAAAGTATTTCATTTGTAAATTAATTTTTTCCTTGTAGGTTCTTGAATTCCTCGGTCGTGGCACATTCGGACAAGTCGTAAAATGCTGGAAAAAGGGTACTAGCGACATAGTTGCTATTAAAATCTTAAAGAATCATCCATCGTATGCCCGCCAAGGCCAAATTGAGGTTTCTATCTTGTCACGTCTCAGTCAGGAAAATGCAGACGAGTTCAATTTCGTTCGAGCGTTTGAATGTTTTCAACATAAGAACCACACATGCTTAGTTTTTGAAATGCTGGAGCAAAACTTGTACGACTTCCTGAAGCAGAATAAGTTTTCGCCATTGCCTTTGAAATATATCAGACCAATATTACAACAGGTATGTGGAGAGAATTATTTCATTGATGTTGTTCATCAAATTCATCAAATTTGAGAAGAATCAAAAATTGCTGGAAACAGATTTTATTTTCTCATTTTTTATTTTTGTGCAACAAGCGGTGCAGTTTTATTGACTGAATGTGAAAATAGAATTGTAACATACGAAAACGCCGTCATCGAGAGTCGATTCCTATTTTCTTTTCTATTTTCTCTTTTACTGCATGTTTTTAAAATTTCCATAGGAAAAAAAATCTATTAAATCAATCAAATACATAATTTGCCTTGAAAAGAAATATAAATAAGATTTCTTATTTAAGTCTAAAATTATTTTATAGCTAAAGCTTACATTTCTTCTTATAGGTCTTGACTGCATTATTGAAACTAAAACAACTTGGTCTGATTCATGCTGATTTGAAACCAGAGAATATTATGCTTGTTGATCCCGTTCGTCAACCATACAGGTAACAAAGAATTTTTTGGCTATAATATATAATGATAAGAATTAAAGGAACAAATTTCTTATTCCAAAAGAAAATTTAGTTGTAATTGTGTTCAAAAGCAACCTTTCCAAATAATAAAATTTGCTAACTATTACAGAGTGAAAGTGATTGACTTTGGAAGTGCATCCCACGTAAGCAAAACGGTTTGCAATACCTATTTACAATCACGATATTATCGTGCACCTGAAATCATTCTTGGTTTGCCATTCTGTGAAGCGATTGATATGTGGTCGCTGGGATGTGTCGTTGCTGAACTTTTCTTGGGCTGGCCTCTTTATCCAGGCTCATCTGAATATGATCAAATTAGGTACGCATTGACGCATATGTAGAAAGATAGATAAAAGTTACAGTTTATTTTTTGTTCTTGTAGATACATATCACAGACGCAAGGCCTTCCCACCGAACATATGCTGAATAGTGCAAGTAAAACTGAAAAGTTCTTTTATCGCGATGAGGATTCAACATATCCATTCTGGCGTCTTATATCACCGGAAGAAAATGAAATCATGACTAATATAAAGAGCAAAGAGGCTCGTAAATACATTTTCAATTGTCTTGATGACATTGGACAAGTAAACGTTCAAATGGATATTGAAAGCAGTCAGCTACTTGCGGAGAAAATCGATCGTCGTGAGTTTATTGACTTGTTGAAACGTATGTTGACAATTGATCAAGAACGACGAATTCAGCCTGCACAAGCTTTGCGGCATTCATTCACGACACTTTCGCATTTAGTTGACTATGCACATTGTAATAATGTGAAAGCGAGTGTTCAAATGATGGAAGTTTGCCGTCGTGATCCTCCAGTTCATACTGTCCCGCAAGCTACAGCAACACTTGTTACTAACTTCGGACCAAGTACTACTGAAAATATGACGTTTACAATCAACAATCAATTGACAAGTCAAGTACAACGACTAGTAAGAGAACGAAATCCTGCAACATATGATAATGTTTATCAATTTTATGGTACGCCAAGAAATGTCGTGCGTCAATATACAACTAATACACGAGCTGCTGAAGTTTTGCCACCACAATTAAGCTTCATATGCCCATATAACCCCATGCCAAGTCCTACCACAAAGCATGTTGTTGTTGGCAGTGGCATGCAACCTTCAATTCAAGTTCCACCACAACAATATGTTAATGTTCCTGTTCCTGTTTCTATGACAATGGAACCAAATGGACAAAGAATGCTTTTAACAAATGCTGTTCAATCAACAGTTGCCTGGCCACAAGGGGGAACACGACAAGTTGCGATTGTTCCATCATGGGGACAACATGGAGCTGCACCACATTCTTTAATTGTCGATTCAGCTCAGTTCTATAATGTCGAGGAGATTTATGCGAAGCAACCGTTGAGTATACATAAGTATGAAAAGAAAGAGTCGCCTGTTCACCATTTGAATGTTCCACGTCATGAAAAGAAGGAAACAAATCAATTGTCCCCGGTAAAGAAGCGTGTCAAGGAAAATACTCCACCACATAATCACAACAGTCACCATCACCATCATCATAACAATCATCAGCAGCATCATCACCACCAGAACAATCAAAATCAACAGAACCAACATCGTTATAGTAATAATCACCGGTCATCTTCATATCATCATCTCTCACCTCAACAACAAGCTACACCAGCAAATCAATTTTACAATTCTTCCTTCTACACTGGCTATCAAAACAATCCAAATGGACATAATAATAATGATGTTAATCAGCAACAATATCCATCGACTGTTGTTATTAATTCAAGTGCTAGTGGTGGTAGTGGTGGCAATGGTGGCAATAAACAACGTAATCAATCGCAAAATCATCATCAAATTATTAACTCAACTATCACTATAAATGATACACCTTCACCAACATCAGTCATTTTGATATCAGATAGTGAAGATGAAGAAGAAAATTCTAATAACAACAGCAATTCTAAAAATTTTCGTGGATCATATAATAATCAGCAAAGCTTTTCAACAAATATGTCGACACAATGTAACAAAGTCAGTGGAGAAATTACGAGTGTAATTAGTGGCAACACATCCTCGGGAAATCACCAGCAACAACAACTTCAACAGCGACAATCGCAACAGCAACAACTTCAACGAAAAAATGTCATTTCTTGTGTGACAGTTGGTGATAGTGATGGTGAAGATAATTCTGCTCCAAAATATCAATCAGCCCAAAATGTTAAATACGAGCAACAACAAAACCAACAGCAGTCAAATTCTCAACAGCAACAAAATAATGCTCATAGTCAGCAGAGTCAAAAAAAGCGTTTGTTGGCAATGTCTCAAAATGAAGCTAATCAGACTGTCTCAGTTCCATCAAGTTCCTCAGGGAATCAATTGAAACAAGAACCAGTAGAATTTGCCACAGCTTTTATGAATCAGTTTGAATATCCATCATATGATCATCAGAAAAGATCGTCATGGGTCGGTGCAGGTCCTTCAAGTTCAATTGTCGTTCAGCCACCTTTGGCTCATGCTCATAATCAGCATAAACGTGAGTTATCAGGAAGTGGATCGACACAACAACAGCAACCACAACCTCCAGTTGCTCATGTCAAAAATGATATCCCATCCACAGCAAGTTCTTCTACCTCTTTGAATACTACACCAATTTACCAGCATCATCAACCACAGCAGCAATCGCAACATCATCACCATCGAACGCAGCCTCGAACATCAAACACCACGCCCATGGGCAACTCACCGATCGGTACAACTGCAGCAACATTGTTGCAACCGCAACCACCTGATATTTATGCACAAGCTGAACTTTATCGTCGTCCGACAGTTTTTGTTTCACAAGCTTCGTATGCTTATAATACAGCTCGTGTAGTGCCACCACCAGCACATACTAATAGTCGACAAGTAAGCTCTCTTCTTTTTTTCTCATTTTTATTATGATTTACATATCACTACTATACAAAACTATATACATAATATATATTATATACATATTTTCTTTTAAGGTGCTGCCTGCTCAGCCTTTACCAGCTCATATTCAATTTCCACAATACGGTCAGTTTGGTGCACCTTTAAGTCCCGCGCAATTGACGGGCAAAGCTTATCCTGGAAATTTGTGGTATGCTGAGTAGATTGTAGGACTATCTAAAAGTATGAAAAAAAAGAAAAAGTTTCATCATTGATTTATTTTTGCATTTATTTATGAGTTTTTAAAATTGAAAATTACCTAACAAAAAAAGAAAAAAATAGTGAAAAATAATTTTCCAATGTAAACTATAAATTAAAAATATTATTTCAATACTATTTTTATTGGTTCATTGATTATGAATATCCGATGAATTTGAAGAAATAATTGAAAGATAAAGCAGTTTTTGTCAGATCGAATAAGAAAATCGATTAGATATTTAAATATCAATATTGATCAGAAGTCTCAAACTCTATCAGTTTCTTCTTAATAGATATTAAATGCATAACTACCACATACTAGTACATACATACTAATAATAAAAATATTAAATGGATGATCAATGTTAATTCAACAGTATAAAGAAGAAAATTATATTTCAAAAAAAAAAATGCGTAAATTTAAATATGCGTGGGTGTAGGACATTTGATGAAAACTTTAGACTATTACAAAAGTACAATACAATATTAAGATTATTAAATGAGAAAAGAAAAGAAAATTGTTGATTCAATATCTTTGAAAATGAATGAATTAATCGGTATCCTTAAATTCTTCATTATTAACACTTTCCTATAAAATTAATATATTTATAAATAAACAACAACATAACACCTATTCGTAAACACACACCTAGACATAAACAAAGAGAGTTTTTGATGTATGTTTTGAAACAATTCGCAAGAATTAGTACGTACAAATGAATGATGAAAAAAGATGAAAAATTCAATCCTCCAATCTTCTAATATTGCTATTAAATTGAGCTTCTAAATGCTGTACAATATTAATCGGAATAAAATAAAATTACTGTATGTAAAATCTTGAGATGAAGCAATTATGTTTTGAAATGCTAATTATTTGACATCAGATTGCTTTTTTTCACTTTCAAAAACTTTACTTTCACTTTTCCTTTAAATACTTTTAAAGTTTATAAATATTTCAATATATCCAAATCCATTCTAAAGAGTGTCGATTTTTAACAACCGTTCACTGATAAAATTAAAAATGATCTAACAACGGTCAACTAGCTACCATCTTTTGCAATCAGGGAACTTTAAATCTGTCTTAAGAAATTGTTCTATGCACTTTATGTATATATATTACATAAATTTCACAAAAGTTCAAGTTTCAACCACAAAATCGAAAAGAAATTTAAATGGAAGTGTTTTTCTACTCCCCGACTTCGCTTCTTCTTGTTTAGTTAGTGTATTGTCTTACGAATAATCTTATGAGGAAATTTTCATTTGAATTGAAATTTATAATTAAGAATGACAGAAACTATTTCTTTTCTTTTCCTCAGCTTCATTATAAAAGAAACTTCTTCTTGCTGTCATTATATTTTTTTTAAATATTTGCGAAAATTTAACCTTGCCTGAATTTAACAAAAAGAAATTTAAACATAACATAGAGACAAAAGTATATATTGTCGAGCAAGCTGATATGATTATTATGAAATATTAAACATCTTTCAAATTTTAAGAAACAATAGAATATCTTTTATATTCTTTTTTTAATCAAAAGATATTATAGGGAAGTTTTCGCAGTGAGAGTTATTTTTTTAAGACGTCAATAAATTTAACAAAAATGTGAAAGAATTTTGTAACAGTACCTAAATTTATTCAGTTTTCCTCCATACTTATTTTAATTGGATGAAATATTAGTAAATACTTATATTGGGTAGATTAAAGTACTAAAGAAAATCAAAATTATTTTATGCATCAGTCCACTATTGAAAATAACTGAGAGAAAATTGTAAACTTTAGATCTTTGAGGTCGTAAAAAGAGCGGAACAAAGAGGGTTTTATGATATTTATTTAATCAATTTATTACTAACATGATCTTTTATATTATTGTTTACGTACATCTAAATATAACTTTTGAAAAATTACCTTGGTTGGAGAGTTTCACATTTGTTTTTATTTTCGCGTATCGGAGTTCACTTAAATTGTTCATTATTTTAAAAATGAAAATCAAAATATATATTTAAAGACAGATTTCAATTTTATAATTAAGCACTTAGAACCTTACGTATTGAGTAGATATATATGTAAAAATATGGATATTACGCAAGCACTTACTTTATGGATTATATGAACACAAAATTTTAAGGAAAATCACATCATGAACTTTTGATTAGTAATTCTTCTGTTTCAAACTTATGTAGGGATATATAAAAGTTAAACAATAACAACAATCTAAATAGATGAAATCTTCGCAACATTTAACAAACAATTTTTGATAAGATAATAAGTAGTAAATGGTATCTCTCTTTCATTCTCTCTTTCTCTATAAATTACAGTAAATAATCAAAGTAAAAAATTCGTTAGTGTTTTTTTTTATGTTAGAGAAAAAAAAGAAGACAGGTACCTAGTGAAGGAGATGTAAAGAAGAACAATAGAATTATACTTCATACGAATAACTAACGCAAAAAGATGATAGTTAATATATTATATATAAACTTATGCCTTACAAAATGAAAGAAAAATAAGAATGAAACAATACTTTTAATGATTTAACTTGGTTTATAGTGATCTAGATTATTAACATGAATACTAGTGAATGTATATTTAAATAAATGTATTTACTGATGAATTGACTACACATATAATATATTGATTTATATAATTGATTCAGACGAAAACTTCATCTTTATATAAATGCGTGGTAGAATGGAGAGTCCTTGAAATCTTGTAAATAATTTGTAAATATTTAGATGAGGTCCTCTTACATGATTCCGCGAACCACAAAATACAATAAGAAATGGGTTTCTATGGGCTTTTTTGTACAATTTCATGATGAAACTAGATACTAGTATTTTGTATTTTTGAAATAAAAGAAAAAGAAAACTACTCACATGATGAATTATAATCAAAACAAAACAACAAAGCAAAACAAAATCAATCCTAATCCTTTACACATATGAATATTATAATAAATACATATTTGGGGAAAAGGTGTTTAGTTCGTAATTGCAAGAACCATTTTAGAAAATAAGAAAACATATTTGACTGGATATATAATAAATAATAACGAAGAAAGAATATTAAAACAGAAATCTTCGTTAACATTAAAACATTTATGTATATTTTTTTTTCTTTGATTTTATAATATAATAACACTTAAGATTTCACAAATTTAGTTTTAGTTACAATTTTATACTTAACAACCTACTAATAACAAAGATTTGGTATTTAAGAAATTTTCAAGCCATTTTCTGGTAAATTTTTCTTTTTGTCTTCTTAAACTTTATTAAAATTTCAGCCTACAATGTTGAACTATGTCTAAATGAAAATAATAGCATGAAATTTAGATTCTCATCTTTGAAAATTTTATTCAATAGAATATTTAGTTGAAAAATTTTTGAAGCATTTCGTAAAATTGCAATATGGCAGTCATTATTTTGCAATCAAATAGACATAATTTAATCATATTATTAAAATATAACAAATTCGTTCAATTGAATTTTATCTTTTCTTGGTTCTTGACAATAAAAGTTTGATGATAACACATAATGAAGGAGTTTTTTTAATACTGCAAACATTTCTTATATCCTTTAGAAAAACATAAAAAAGTCAACAGTAAAAAGGAGAAATAATTTAATGGCCTATAAATTTGATGTGATTATACAAACAAAAATATTTCTATAATGAATAAACGAATGTAAAATTTAAGAATGCATATGTGTAGGTATGTATTATTTAACATGATGAAATCCTATATTTTAACTTCAAATCAATTTTATTGAGTCAGACCTCTCATATCTCTTTTAATAAACGACCTGAAAAGTAACACAGATTTAGTAACCAAATTAACGAAAATAATCAAATTGAATTTATGACGATTGAAGATGAATACAAATATTTTTTGCAAATAAAAATTTTATTCAACTATCAACGGCTTGGGAAAGATAAAATCATACAAACAGAGACTGTTTTCTAGCACTGCAAAAAAAAATTCTTCTGGTTTTTTATGATAAATTGTTCTTAATCTGTTTATTCGTTAGTACCAAAAACAAATATAGATTTGATAATTCTTTTTTTCACAAATACTTAGAATTATGATGAAGAAATTACAGTTTTCAGATCTATTGAAATCAGATTAAATTTTTTCAGTGTAGTTTTCTTGATGTGCATATAGATATTTTAACTTTAAAATTTCTGCTTCTTCTAGACTAAATTTTCACATTTCTAAACATTCACGTTTAGAGGTACATTAAGATCAAAATTTTATGTGTAGACGCACAATGGAAGCGGAAAAATATAAATTGAAATTGATTCTTATCCACCAATTCTATTTCAAATAACTTACCTCGAACTCAAAAATCGATGATGTATTAAATTCTTATTGAAATAAATATCTTAAAAGTAATTATGTAAAATCAAAAATTCATATAAAAATAAAAGCAAATTTTGTTAATTTAAAAGGTGTAACCAACTGACGAAAGAGATCCTTACTATGAAATAAATACATCATAAGAAACAAGAGAAGTAAAATACATATATACATAAATATTTTTTTATCAATGAAATATTAAAAAGATAAGATGATGTAAATAAAATATAAGAAAAATAAACAAATTTACATTTAAAGAATCATAAAAGAAAAGGAAACTTTGATCGTCGTTATTTAATACTGAATTTCTCTCGTTAGCTTTTCTAATTTTTATAAATTACAAATGCACTTGTCTTTTAACAAATTGTGATGATAAAAAAGAGAGTCGAAGTGTGAAAAATGAATGAAAGCTGCATTTCCGTATGTGACGTATTCTCATAAACTGTTGTATACAGAATTGAAGATTATCAATACATCTTTCAAGGCGTATTAACAATTTTGTGAAAATACGTAACTTACGGAAATGGGAGCATAGCACAGATTAATCTTTTTTATCATCACCAAATACTTAAATAAATATGCCATTTCCATTTAATCAGAAATAAAAAAGTGTTTACTAAAGCCTATTTACTACAGAGACCTTAAATAAAAGCACAAAAAGCGTTTGACAAGGAACAATACTATAATAGTTTACAAATAATATACAAAAGAAAACATCAGTTTTCTCTAAATAGCAGGATTTTGAAAGATTGTGAGTGTATCAGCATTTGGTAATAAATACTTTTTGTGTTGGTTGTTTTTATTATAATAATTATAAAATTTAATTCTTATTTCATCTATGTTGCATGCATCTTTTAAAACACAACTCAATATGGGCTTGTTCAGCGTCACACGAGCAACGATCAAAAATTCAAAGCTTTTACTGAAACCACTTACACTTGTAAATAGGGCTTACCAAGTACTATTTAAAAGTGTAAGTGGTTTCAGTAAAAGCTCAAGCCATACATATGATATCCAGCTTTGAATTTGTGACCGTTGCTCGTGTGACGCTGAACAAGCCCATATGCTTATACATATTTAATATCACATTAATAATGACTTTTATTCATGATATCTTTATCTATGAAAAAAAATCAGGCACTGAAATTTTTGATTATTTTTTAATTTTTAATAAACAAAATTTTAATATAGACATTGTTTGATGCAAGTAGATAGTAGTTGTAGGATACTTCCAGATAACTGAAAGTTTCTTGTCTACATAATTTCAATCTACTTATTTTACAACTAACACAAAGTTTTTCAATCCAAATACTTTTAAATTCTTTACAATATTTATTTTAAATTTGATATCAATGAAAAACTACAGATAATGGTGCGATTTATGAAAGCGTTATAGGCATATTATTTTCATACCTTTTCATAAATAATTAATATTAGCTCTAAATATAAGAAAATAAAAAATCTCGCCATAGACCACCATACTATTGGCAATATGCAGTTTAAATTTTTTATGTTTGTTTTTATGATTTCCACATATCCAAAAAAAATCGAGAAATGAAAGTTATTGACTAAATCATGACATGAGCAAAGTCCTTCCAAAATAAATAAAAGTAGTTTCACAAACTAAATTATGAAAGTCAGGAAAATTGTTAATTGGTTCAACATCAATGAAACGTCAAGTTTAAAATTTTAATCTCACTTTAGATACATCTATCTACTTTAGAACTCACAAAAATGAATTATCTAACAAGTTTTAGATTTTGTTTCTTAAAATATAATTAATTTTCAGCAATAAACATTTAAACAGTCAAATCAATCTAAATATTTAACGAATGAATGGAAATGATATGCTTCAAAGTTTTAATAAAATGAAAAAAAAATTAAAGGAAAATGGTCAAATTAGATGAACAATGAAATAATTAAAATTATTAAAAAGATAATTAGTTATAATGGCTGTTTTATATCAATATAAATAATAAACCCATGAAAACCAACATTGTATCATAATAAATAAAAGCAAATGTATAAGAAAATAAATATGCTGTGTCCAGTTTCTAATTAACTTTAACTCATTGTTTGATTCTGCATACATATTTTTTATTTCGTTTTTCAGATTATAATGTTGAAATTCACATTTACCTTTCATGTCAATAAAACAAATTATAATAATCATTATTATTGAAGAGTGAATTGATTAACCACATCGAGTAAAAAGTTTTGTTCCTCTTCTTATTATTATAAATTTTGTAAGCTTCATTTTCTTTTATTATCTATGTGAATTTTTAAATACGTGAAGATTTCATGCGTTAACCAAATTAATATATTTAAAAGTTCTTCTCTCGTTACCTTCCTGATAATGATTTTGCAATGAAACTTCCATATGAAACCGATTGTAGTTTATTCTACATATTCAACTTTGGTACACGGTATGTATTAATTAATGTTACTTGAACATAAGTTTGAAATATATTTTTGAGAAGTTCTCTGATATTTATTGTCACCGAAATCAAATTCACCTTGGATATTCTTGATATCTTGTACTAACCTTTCAATTGAATTGTTTATTCCAAAATCTGTTTTGTATTTTGTGTGTTAGATTTCAATAATGAAGAGTTCTTGTTTAAGAGTGCATTCAAGCTGAGAGAATACTTATTTATTAATAGACGTAAATGATATTTTTTATCTCAAAAAATTTTTACTCATGCTCTTAATAAAGTTTTTAAGCATGCAAATAGAGCTTTTAAAATTTGTAAAAACCTTTGAAATGATTGGTACAGAATTTGTATCGAAAATGTGTTTAGGTGTGTATACTGTTTCCAGAAACTTGTTTTCATATCATCAAACTTTAAACTGCATGTTAAATAAGCAAAACTTTTGATCAAAAGGTAACTTTATTTATAACCACAGTCTAATGCTCTTGAAAAATGGAATGCGCTCGAGAGAATGAAGAACCTCTCTTTAAAATGATCTGAAATGATGGAGATTACTTCCAAGAAAATTCTTAAAATTCAAGAGAAAAACTTCCATAATTTATTCTTATGTAGTCACACATTGAGGAATTGAATGTTTTCATTATATAAAATGAATTTAAAGTGGAAAATAAATACCTACATAATTAGTTTAAGAGAAATATGAGAAAATCTTAGTTTACTTTACTTTAATATCATCCTTCACTTAACACATTCGTGTATGTTCACAAAAGAGTTCGAGGGTACAAACAAGTATTTATTTCCTTCCAGTCTTTCACAATGCATTTAAAACAGAGAAATTGGGAAACTTTGGGCGGGGTGCTTGATGTAGAAAAAATTTCCTCGCAGTATTGTGTGAAAATTCGGAGACTGATATCTCTCTTGGGCCGTGTGGTGAAGTGAAAAATTAAAAGGACTTTGATTAGTAAATTAAGACACATTAGTGACTAGATAGTGAGTTGAGTATGCTGAAATACTAAAATATATGTCACTAAATATCAAATGATAGTGAAAACTGAGATAAAGTTCGAATTTTCAACAATACCAAAACCTAGACGTGAGAAAAGCTCAAGAGAATTCATAAAAAAGAAATAAAGAGGAAATATATGTATGTAGTGTTAAAACATTCCATCTAAACCAAAATCTTATCAATATAAACCATGATGGAAGAAAAATTATAATATGTTGAACGGTTTTACTGAAATGTAATGAAGAGTGACTAAAGAAGAGAAAACATTTTCATTAAGGACATTACCACCATTTTACAATAAAAATTGAATAGGATTAATTTTTTCTCTCAAATTCATGCATTATATTTAGTTACCCTATATAAAAAAAGCTTTCTTATTTTATGTTTGATAACGAAAAAATTCATAATAATGTGTGAATTTTATTGAATTTCTTTTCTTTATATTTTTAACAATTTGTAAGACTGTTAGTAAAATTCAACGCGAGTACTTCAATAATGGTAAAAGTTATCGAGCAAAATAAGAATTGTTCTTACTTTTATTCTTAGGCTCTCTTACTTTTATCATTTACGAAAATTTCCTGCTGCTGATGTTGTGTTCTGAAACAATTTAATTTGAGTGAGTGAAGTCAGAATTTTTTTCTGCTTTTAGTATGACTGTATGTGTATCGGCTGTATGAACATGTAGACCTAATTTTCATATTATTTAGAGAAAGGATAATACGAGTATTTTATTTTTTGCTCATTTTTTTCAAAGAGGGCAGGTCAATGCTTGTAGGCATATTCAATTTATAGTTTTTTTACAATGAAGGCAAACATATCAACGAGTAAAACAACATACCATTTCTTTTTTATCCATCCTTTCTTTTTCTTTCAACTCAAACATATTTTATTATAAAATTCTTGAGATTTATCAAAATAAGATACCTACTATAAAGATTTCTAGAGTTGTCAAGTGCTTATAGACATTTCCATTAGAAATCAGCAAAAAACAACATAGCATTAATTTAATTCTTACATGTTAATTTTATGTTGCTATTGCAACTGCATATCAGTCTAAACCAGATAACAAAGTCATTCAAATGACTGAGGAAAGAATTGTGACTGCTAACTAGATGGAAGTGACAATCCTATCCCCGATTTGAATGTGTCATGTTGTGCTATTCGTATTTGTTTCCATTTTATTTTCTTTAATTGTTACTTCCTTGATCATTTTTTGTAAAATGAGATGATTTATCAAGAAAACCAAGTTGTTGATTTATTACATTACCCTTCAGAAGTTTAATGAGAATACAAGAACATATTTAAATTTGATTCCCAAGAGATTAAAATTATATAATAAGTAAATAATTTGAACCAGAGTGGAGAAGCAAAAATTAAAGTTAACACCCATAATATAATAATAATACGAGAACAATATCATTATTATTTAAATTTAAAGATATACAAATATAAATGAAATTATTAAAGTTGAATTAGATACATAGACT